TCCTATCACTGCTTTTAGTTTGCAGTACCTCCAGTGGAAATGACCGTCGACCCCCGTCCCTCCCTCCGCTTGACCAACTTGGTCTTGAGCAAACACCTGCCGCCCAAGTGGGCTCTTCTGCTACCCAAGTGGGACCTTTTATTGCCGCCCATGTGGGTTTCATCAGGTTTCATCCTCTGCTTCGTCACTGTCTAGGACACGGCCTTGTACAACTATCACAGCCAATTACAGTAATACTCATGTATATTCCTTTGTCTCTGAGGATGGCCATCGTTGCCCGAATATAATATTTGCTGCCCCTTCTGACCCTCTGTGTATGGGTGCTGCCATCTCCGACTGATCAACACAAATTTGTTTCTGTTGCGGTCATGATGATTTGCTACCTATAGTCTTCATCCTGAGCATTCACGAAGTAAGTTTGTATCCTCAGAATGAACTCCTTCTCCACTTCACTTGTGGAAGAAATCTGCTGGTTCTGCACGTAATGATGTCAATGAATGTGCCCTGCAATCTGAGTCTGTTATGATCTGAAGGCTTGCACCCTCGCTTCTATCCATAAGCCTAAGTACCGAGACCAAACATCAAAGCGTGTTCCGATGGTGCATCAACATTACATTTGAGAACGATGACAGTCTATCCCGAGAATACTGAAAGCTCATAAGTAGCGGGACCTGCCGTTCACCGGCCTTACGCCTGCGTTATGTTTATGGAGAGCTGTGAACACAGCTGTGTGCACAATGCGATTATCCAGTGACGTCCCCCAAGAAATCGCCCCAATATATAAATAGGGCTGTACTTACTCATGGAAGGATTTGCTCGTCGGTTTCTCGTGTTATGCCCTCGAGATGAGCTCCTGACCAAGTTTCTTCGTTCCAGCGCCTTTCTCCTACTTTCACGCTGTGATCTTTCGATAGACATTGCTTGTAATTGGGCGTTAGACCGAATATGGCGTCTAAAATTCCTGCGGCGACTGTGATCACGACAACGAACACACCTAACGAGACGTCCACAGCAGACTCGTGGACAGCCCTCAGCCACTGAGCACACAGAGGTGGTTGAAGGTGCTACTATGAACCCATGAAATGTAGGTTTGTTAACACCAACGAACATATTTCTATAGACCGGCGGGAAGCGCTCGTATGTAAGGGTACGTCGACAACGATACTAGTAATGTAGGCATCAGTGCGATGACAAGGGAGGTCCCGGAGAGCGAACTCAGACTACTCAAACCGCTCGCTCTTGACAACTCAAAAGCTACAAAGAGACCAACTGTAGCCCTCGGCTTGCGATGCTCTCGTATTGTGTATTTTTGACTTCGGCTGCTGTCATCCTTGTGAAGAAGTATTCTTAAACTTCCATTCATTCTTTTTGAACCGATATAGGTGAGATATAGTGTCCTTCTCATCCTTCTCGTTATCGGGTGGAAGGAAGGTGGACCGTATGTCCGTGATTGCTATACAACGTACTTATTCTAAGCTTGCCTTGCGCTTTGAAGGCGGCCATATCATGATCCTGGATTTCCCTGTAACCTACATGGTCTGTGTTATACGCTTGCCTCATGATATGAACGTACTAAACTTGGAATTCCGATTATCGAAATGAGAGAAGTGCGGTCGAGTGTTCTTTCGTCATTTGAGATGGTCATACGAGGCGATGGTAAGTGGGAGGTACGTACGTACCAGTCTGTTTTCAGGGCGCACATAGCTACGATGTCATAATCGATATTGCACTTACTGCTGGAGGTAAATTTTTGGAGGGATCGGGCTTTTCTTATACTTCTTGTCGAATGGACTTTGTAAGGGCTATCAGAGTATTTATTGCGCCTGTTTGCCGTAGCCTCAATGTTTGGACGTCGCAGCCCATGTTGAATATCGAGTTTTCTTTCCTACTGGTTTATGTTCAAGTTGTGACAAACTTCCTTCCTTCCTCATGACCCCCAAGTGTCAAAAACCCTTAATAGGGTGCGTCAGATGCTGTTCTATTTATTCTCGCCATGCATACTAGGCTTTCTAGAAGTTCTCCATGCCATGACACGGTTATACTTATCCGTGGTTGGTTTGAACCACCCACGCGCTTGGATCAGTGGCACGGATCAGGAATAGTGAAAGTCAGTGAAAGTCACGACGGCATCTCAATCAACACGAGTCAACAGCGTTCGGAGTTCGAAATGTTGGGCAAGGTTGGGCAGCTACTCGTTGTTTACATACCGCTCATCAACTCTTCCCCTCACCTGCCTACTAACTTCACTGACTCTCCTACATTCTCGCTCTCTTCTTTCCACCACCACGACCAACCTCAAAGTTAATGCCTCACCTTAGCTCTTCATGCAAACCCACTTCGTTCTTTGAGATCTGCTCGATTCGTTGCGGTTGCCATGCCTGTCTGCCAAAGCCATCAGTGAGTACGACAATGACACTTATATCACCATGATACTGGACTCTATCATCTAACCCTCGACGTGCTTAGGGATCAACTCGTAACGAAGTCACCACGATACTGGTCCCAAGCGAAGCGTCTACTTATTTTGAAAATTTATACTGCTGCGTTGTCTTGATTCTTGATTCTATATATGCATCACTTTCGCCACGATCTTTTCCTGCAATTTGGACACTAATATCTCCTCGATGTGGATTTTGTACCACAACTGAGAGATGGTCGACGTGGAATATACTCATTGGAGAGACTTATTGTCGATGGAGGCGTGCGCTTCAAGAGTATTGCCGGATTCGCTTTTATCAGAGCACACTCCAGAGCTATCTCACCGATGCTGAGGATCTCGGTCCACACCGAAGAGATGGCAACGTCTCGTCGATGTGGCCAGGTTCAAGAGCTAGAGATGGTTGGTCTCAAGTTCGATGTGGATCACACGATACACAGCGCAGAGATCTACTGGGTGGGGCGTGACCTTTAAGAAAGTTATTACCCGGACTCGCATTCGGAGTCAAGAACGACCGATAGATCTTGACGATGCTGAGGATTTTGGCCCACATCGGAGAGACAGCATCTCGTCGATGTGGACTGGGTCTAAAGCAAAAGATAGTCGGTCTCGTCGATGTGTCACGGTGGTCCACAGCGGAAAGAAATATTTTAAAGTGTGGTGAGAGTCTTAAGAATATCGCCCGGTTCACCTTCACCGTGGAGGAGCCCAGAGCTATTTCGTCGATGTGCACTGTCAGGTCACACAGCGGATGGATATGTTGTGTGCTTCAAAAGTTCAACATAGTATGAGCGCTGACAAAAACTTGCCCACGCCCAGGCGAATTAGGCAGGCTCTCGGAAGCTCTGATCAGCGCCACCCAGACTTAAAGGCACAGAACACGTCATTGCCCTATCGTATACTCGCCTCCCTGAGTTGCCACCAAAGGGCGCGGCGGTCCAAATTCCGTTCAACTTCATTGACGTTGTTTTCCAAACGACAAGTAGGAACAAGGACGACCAATTGCATACCGAATGGAAATTTGCTTACGGTGTACATTCTTGACGCTGCCTGGAAAGCGTCATGGCCTGTTGCCCGGCAGAACCAATGTCAGTCTCAACTCTATAACGATATGACCGAACCTGATACTATGCTCAATTCAACAATCCAGTTATCCGTACCAGTCCGCACCAACGCGATTACGATGTTTCGTCCAATGAATTGTCTCTCCCTGTTCCGGGTTACACTGTCGTCCTACCTATCCGGTTCTTTAATACATTCGTGCGTCTATAGCATAGATTGTTCGGTCGGATCGCCACGAACGTCCACGGAGCTCAAGAGTTTATCAATACCCCTTCTCCCAGCCGTGGATCCTGGTCAAAATACAATGATCATCTCAGTATAAAAGGAACCCATGGTGTACGATGAGGGGTCTTCGAGGATCACAACACTGGATCCCCCTGCTCCTCCCTACTTCTACAGAGTTGGTCACCCATGGCGACTCACCATTGGACCTCAAGTTTACCGATCGTGGCACTATCCACTGTGTCGATTTCGTGCCGCTCAATCAACAGCGAGGTGTTCCCTCAGCCAGTGTAAGTCCTCAGTACCTTATTTACTGCTGGTGTCCAGTATTTGTGGCGTATGCCAATAAATATATTCCAGATGGGTCGCGATCGTTGATCAGAACGGTCGCACCATTATTGACTGTTGGGTTAAGCCATACAATTGCCGCGTTGTGAACGATTATGAAACTCTAACAGAACGAACAGGGATTGACCCGTATCACTTTTTATCCCGTGAGCATTTGTTGTTGTTGGGACCGTGCTTACCTCATACTCAATCAATTGTGTAGCGTCAGCCTGGACACTGGAGGATATACAACCTTTGATTGTAATGGCAGTGACAAACAAAAGGATCGTGGGTCACCAGCTTTGGAGAGACTTTAACGGTGAGCGTGCCAATCTCACTGTGATACCATATACTTAGCACTAATGATGTGTGCATGCTTGCCAAGTCCTTGGCCTCAAGCATGCGAAAGAAGCGACGCGAGATGTGGCTCTGTATCAGCCGTGTACGCACCTTTTGAACGACTATTGAGTTCTGCTGGCTGACTTGACACGTATCGGCGCATAGTCCGAGATAAAATCAACAATGTCTCTCAGGCTAACCATATGCTGGGACTTCCAATGCTTTATCACCGGATATGTGGGGGACATTGCCAATTTCCGGTGGTGAGGCCTGTAAGTCGTCCCTTTGTTGCAGTTCTGTTCCGTCCCCTTTGAGCCTCTCTGATATAGTCGATCCATTGTTATTCAGCTCGAGAATGCTCTAGTTGCACTTCAGCTCTATCGGTCTGTTGATGCAGAGTGGGAGAGTGCTATGAGTCCGTACGGTGATCAACCTTGCGGGGACCTTCCAATGCAAGATAGAGGCAAGTTTAATCACGTGTATAATTAGGACGATCATAAACAGAGGCAGTTATCTGGGGGTTTTTTTTTGGGTGAAGGGCGGAGTCTTGGGACTGTTGTGCGGGCATTCAGTTACCGTGCTCACTGTATTACTGACTCTGTAACAGTCGTAGATAAAAATACCTTAAACTAACAATACTTATTCACAAGAGGCAGAGAGTCGCGCGGATTGAGTACTACGTCCAGGTCTCTTACCCGAAGGTATAATTTAAGCTGTTAGGAGAGCAGATATCAATATTGCCGAACTCTCCGAAGGCTGGAAACATTCCATATTAGTTCACCGTAGCATAAGTACACCGACTCCTCTGTCACCTCCAAGCATTCGCTCTGTTCTTACCTAATTCTTACCTCCGCACAGATCTCTTCAGTGCATACTCTGTCAGAAATAATGCACGTTCGATTTTGTGGTAATGAACACAAGGCGACACGGCGGGTATGGGTCAAAGACATGATCCCCCTCGATTGTATGCAAAAAAACAAAGTCCATGTATTCCATACGCGAGTATATATTAAGTCCAAAAGAAAAGAGAACGCCCTCCATATCCATCGAGGGAAAGTGACGACTCTGAGCATGGTCATCACCTATCTCACCCTCGCCCTCAGTTCAGAGTGTTGTTCAAGTTCTGCGTGATTCCGTTGGGCGAGATCACCAATTGGGAACAGTTCGAGTTCGATCCCGGCCACTCCGACGCTGCCTTTATCTCTTGGGCGATGGCATCGAGGAGGGTACTGGTGATGGGGACGTCTGAGCGCTTCCAGCCTTCCTCGATGGGGAGGCGATCCTCGCGGAAGAAGATGTTGACGTATCTGACCGAACAATTCAGGGGTCAATGTCGAAGGCACCAGAAGGAGCGAAACGAAGGGTGAAAGGGTGGAAATAATGAGACGTACTCCTTCGGGGCAATCCCGGTCGACGCATTACCCATAACCGCTAAATAGAGCGAACTCTCTCTCGTCCTGATCGTGAACTCCTTGTTTGTGTTGATCAACTCCGGGTTCCTCGCAATCGAGTCCTCCAGCCGCGCTTTCTGGGACTGTCCAGCCGTGGTACCGTTGTAGGTGTCGAGGTTTTGGTCAGAGACATTGACGAGTGTTTGGAAGATGGTCTCGTTGAATGAGTGGTTGTCGCCGAAGTAGTAGTCGCCGCGGGAGGTGGAAGCATCGTGTTCGATGTTTTCGTGCCTATGGTACGGGCAATGAGGTTAGTATTGAACAGGTATATATGGACGCGCAGGGAGTTGACATGGAGAGGGAGAGGAGGGATGACATCGATGTTGACGTACATATTGATATCGTCGAGGGAGAGGGTGTCGCTCTCGGCGCTGACGAGCATACCAATCTTCGCTGCTAAGGAAAGCACGTGAGGTTGCACATTATACGCATCTGTGAACCCAAAACAAAGCCGATCGTCCAAGCACTTAGACCACCTTCTCGGGTGAGTAGCACAAGGTTGACGTACCGACAGCAGCCTGAAGGATCATATTCGTCGTGATGTTACTCCCGTTCCTAGGAAGGATTCCATGGTTGGCTAGCGCACTATACAACCGCAGAGGGTCAGAGAATCAGCAAGAATTCGAAAAGTGAAAGAATAAAAATGATCGACATACTTCAAACCAGGGCAGGGGGACCTCATATCATTCGGACCAGGAGCCATAAACGGGTAGTTACTGAAGTTGAACCCGGGAGTCACAGGCGCACTACCGCTAGAGTCGTCCCTCACTAAGCCGTGGAAGGCCATAGTGGTTCCCGCAGCGGCGAACACGGTCGTCAGGAAAACAGATAATATCTTGAAACTCATAGCTGAATTGGAAGACAGTGATGTCGAAGTTGGATGGATTAAGAAGAGCAAGAGAGGTTGAAAGAATTGAAACTGTGGGGATGGCAAAAAACTTCAGCGTTCTCCGTTGATCTTATGTACCTGCGAAGGTAGGCGGATGAAGCGGTGGATTTTGGATGGGCTCCTCATCCGTCGTTCATTGAAGCCTCGGCACGCCAAATGATACAGCATAACCAAGCATGTATCCAGCCAAACGACTCAGGCGGTCACAGGTCCATATCGTCGTGGACTCCTCCGTGATCGAAAGGGGAAATGAGAATCTGCCTGTAAAGCGAGCGCTGTGAGTGGTCCGTCGGGTACCCTTGCGTAGATCACTCAATCAAAGCTAAGATGAATCGCCTCGCCGTAAACCGGATGCACGAGTTCGAGTTCGCAGCTGTTCGCAGTAGACCAAAAGCTGTGCGTGATATGCGAGTCGAACGCCAAGAATAGACCTACCCGTGGGGATGAGCCTTCGTCGTGACAGTGGAATTTGAATGGGATTGAGGATGGGCCATAGGCGCTACGACGGATACAGCTCTGGGGTTGCGAGCCGTCGGAAGGGAGGAGAGACGATGGGGGCGGCTTCAGCGAGAGTGCGTCCATCGGTTTCTATGGATCAGACTGCAGCCAATAGGAGCACAGCAAATACCACTGTTTCTAGTCGACGTGCTACAAACAAAACAAAAATGCTGTATATCCTAGGCAATGACTCAATACAAGGTCTTTGATTCGCGACCCACGACAGAGTCAGCTGGACATACCTCTTGATCACCTACGCAAAGGTCCATCTGCCAGTCACCATCTCCTCCTTCACCTTCTCGATTTCTCACTCACCTCCTCACCGCTCGGCGCAAAAATTCGACTCTTCCCGTTTCAGTATGACGATCTTGCTCTCCCCTCGTCGAGCGCATCATGACTCGCCTCGCCGTCCTCCATACACTCGATCCCTTCCATATGTCACCCAATATCCTCCTGGACTTTGTGCGCCCTCCCAGTTCTTCTTTCCTCTTCCCCCGGGCACCCTGTGAGGATGCCGACAGCGAGGGCAGTTCGAAGAGCGACGCCTTACTTGGGAAAGTGTAAACCAAATTGTCTTCCAGGCCTGGATGTTCTGCGTCTTCCAAGGCCCCAACCTAGTCTTCACCACCTTCACCGTCTCCTGCTCAGATCCTCGGTATACTCACCCACTCCCACCCGGCGCAAACAATCGGATATGTCCACTCCTAAATGACGCTCTCGCCTTCCCTCTACCGTTATGGCTTCCCGAACCTCCATCCATCCTCTCCGTCCACTCTATCCCGCCAATATTCTCCTCGACCTTGCGAGCTTTCCTTAGCCTTTCACCTTCACCATCGACCTCCTCCTCTCCAGCTTTGATGTATGCGATTGGCGGTAATGAAGGTGATGACGGCGATGCCGAAGACCCTGAAACGCCCTGTATCGCAGTAGTCGCTCCTGCTAATAGCGTGGAGGTTACATCAGTCCATCGTCCTGGGTGGATCAAGCGCTCATGAGACGATAACGACGTCGACGTCGGGATGGCCGCTGGAGAGTTCGAAGCGCGCGGGTGCAAAGTTGGCTGTGTCGATATCTGTGACTGTGGCAATGCGAGCGCCGCACTTTCACGCGGATGAGGATTGGAGTTCGTGTCCTGCTCGTCGACAGTATCTTTGTTTTGGCAGGAGCTGCTGGCCGTCAGTGCGGATGTGGATGGGTGGATGGGTGAGGTCGTGGAGAACGTCGGGATCGTGGCAGCGGCGGTGTTGTCGTTAGTATTAGGGGTTTCAGTAGCAGGATTCACCGGAAGGCCAGGTGAAGGAGGTACAATCGAAGTCGAAGTCGGGGTAGATGCCACAGTGTGCCCGGGTCGTTCCTTCTCCACTCGTGCTCGAACTAAATCCAAGCGGCTTGATTGGGGTCCTGATGCATCCGCATTCTGATGCCCTCTGGCGAAATTTATGCCCGTGAGCCCAGGAGTCGAAATATATTTCACGCCCTCCGTGGCTTCCACGGCCTTCAGAAGAATGGCGGGCTTTTTTCTTGGAAGTGAGTCCGGAGAAAATATGGTGGCGGAGCTGGGAGGAACGGGCGAGGTTACGCGTGACGGTGATGATGAGGCTCTCGGTGGGAGGTTCCAGATGTTTGACGGGGCGGCAGAGAAAGTAAATAACGAAGATGAGGCGTTTGGTTGGGTGGACGGAGACGGATGAGGAGGTGACTGGTTTTTGTGAGTGACGGAGGCGGATGTGGATGGTGATGGCAGTCCGAATTGAATAGACGCGATGAAGGAAGACCTTTGAGAGGGCAGAGGCGCAGTATTATTCTCAGCTATGGTAGGCTGAATATCGACAGCGTTCGCTGCTGGAAAAATGGAAAGCACCAGTCAGTTCCGTGCTTAAGCAACAACATCTGCTCGACCAGGAACGCACCATGGATAACCGGCGCAGACGTCGGCGGAGGCGTCGGTAACGGGCTTTGCGCTATATCGCGATGATTTTGACGAGTGCGTAAAGCTTCGAGCCGTGTGATATCAGGTTTTATGTCCTCATCCACGGTGATGGTGAAGGGTACGGCGCCACCGTCACTCTGTTCCAACGCGGAGTCTGATGCGTCCATCTCCATCTCCTCTTGTATCGTTCCATTTCCCTGCATTTCGACTGTATCCATCTCATGCATTGCGTCCTCATGCCTTTTCCTTTCCTTCCGTTCAACGACTCTTCCCTGCCCAGTTTCCATATCTACCTCCACCCTGCGTCCCCCAAAGACCTCTTCAGCCTCATCGTCATCCACTACCGGGAACTCAGCTACCTCCTCCCATAAACTCCAAACTAACCGCAACCTGGCATAAAGCCTCAACATCTCGTCGCTCAATTCTTGTACACGTGCTTGGATCTCAAATTGCGACGTTGCGTTTTGGATGACGAAATAGGGGTGGCAGCCATGTGTTAAGTCAGGTAGAGAGGTATAGGGAGGGTGGTGGTTGGTTATTGTCGATTCGACGTTGGGAGAGGGTGAGGGGAAAGGGAGGCGTGTTATGATTGTTGAGTCGAGATGTAGGGGCACAAAGGTGTAGCGGTGGCGGGGACCATCTGGGTATACCTGTGATTGAGAATGGTCATTAGAGGTCGAAAATAATGTCATGGAATGCGTAGGAGTGGTACAGTGGGGAGGGAGAAGGACGAACAACATTCCATGGCGCGTTTCGCTTCTTCGTTTGAAGCAGCCTAAGGCGCTCTTCTATGATGCGTAGCGTTTCTATCGGAGGGACCCAAGTCCATGCGTTGTATTTCTCGCGAGATGATTCTACCCAGTCGGCACGTACTAAAAAGTGGTGGCGTGATGAGTGGCCACAGTGAAGATGAGGTTGGTTGAGGGGAGTGGCGGGGAACTTGTATAGTAGAGACGTACACCAGACTGTGTTTGCTGAACAGTTCCAATCAAAAGAGGAGGGCAACACCCAAAACTTCATCAGCTATAACATATGAAAGGTGAGGTTGTAAGAGAAGACTTTGGGCCACATAATGTTTAGGTAGGGCTAGAACAAACTTTCTTCGTAGAAACTTTAGTTGGATCAACAACCTGACATTCCCGGAGTGCACCTGGAGGGCCAAGAGCGTTCGTTATAAGACATGGCTGCCGTTCCTCCATGTTATGAAACCGAACGATGCCTGGAGAAGATGGTGGTTAAGACAAAGGCGCGTATTTCATCCACGCCACACGAGCACTGCTAGAAACTTGAACCGTAGCGTCGAGTCAATCCGATTTCTTGAACCTTGACTGCTTTCCACCGCGGACCTGCATGCTAGCATAGGATCTTCCTGGGTTTCAAAAGTATTTCTAGACTGTCACTAGACGGCGACGACAAAGCTGCACATAGAACAAGAAAAAATACCTTGTAATCAGTCGATATGGCTCGCTCACGCCCGTGCACGATTGTAATAAAACTTGGTATGCCCTCTAATATGCAGGAGACATCACAAGGAATTACCTCAACCATCTTTATCATGAACAGGATCATCTTCGATCGTCCACGAAACCTCACATCAACCACTCTTATCCATCCTTTCCTCTGTCGTCGAAGTTGTCGTTCGTCTCCGCTCTCAGGGCCACAAAGTCGTCCTCGTCTCCTCTGGTGCCATCGCCGTCGGTCTCCAACGCATGTCAATGCCTTCAAAGCCGAAATCTCTATCTGGTAAACAGGTCAGTTCATGTTCACAGTCTGTTCAGCCCACAGGAAGGAGCTCTGGTGCTTAAAAGTGGGATTGGTATATGGTGCTGACGCCTAGGCTCTGGCGGCGATTGGTCAAGGAAGGTTGATCGCATTGTGGGACAATCTGTTTGGACAGCTAGGGCAACCGATTGCACAGGTGTTGTTGACGAGGGGTGATATTTCCGACGTGAGTGTTCCTCCTGTCCGAATTGTCTTGGATGCTGACAGGATGAACTGGGAATGGGATGTGACGTTGAACGACGGGCTTGCTATCCTAGAGAACAAGATACCTCAATGCGGTCAATACCTTCAAGGAGCTGTTGACTATGGGAGTCGTGCCGATCGTCAACGAGAACGATACGGTATCCGTTAGCGTGAGTTCTTCTTCCCTTTCCCTTACTCTCCATACCACTATGCCAGTGTCCTAGGCGGCTAGTAAAGATGCCAGTTGTGGATACCGTACTCCCCAGTCTTCCGTACCCCCCAATCTTCCGTATTTTCTCCACATCGTCCGCAGCCCCTTCGTCCCAGTCCTTGTGTGGCACTCAGCCGCATGCTGGGCCACATCGCGCCACCACACCTGCTCTATTTATAGACCACACCTTCCTTCCACGGAGCCCCTCCAAGGCCTTCATCAAATATAATCCCGCCAATAGATTATAGCCTACACTGATCTACTCTTGCACACAGGAAATTAAATTCGGAGATAACGACACCCTATCCGCCATAACCTCCTCCATGATCCACGCAGACTACCTCTTCCTCCTCACAGACGTCGACGGGCTCTATACTTCTAATCCACGCAAAGATCCCTCCGCCAAACTTATCGAAGTTGTCGCTTCGACAGCGGCTATTCGGTCGCAAGGTTCGTTTGCACCCTTCATATCGCCTCCACCATTCCCATGAGACGTCGTAACGAAGCTTGTCGATATGGTATTCGCTGACTTTTTCGTCGCTTATCACGATTTTATAGTGAGCACAGAAACACTCGGATCCTCCCTTGGCACCGGGGGGATGGAAACCAAACTTATAGCTTCAGAAATCGCGACAGCCGCCGGCGTATCGACCATCATCACCTCTTCCAAAAATCCATCCAACATCTTCTCAATCATTCAATACAACCAACATCACCGAGATTTACATTCGGCCAATAGTGTGCATGGAGTAGGTGCGATACACGAGCAGACACCGCTCGTCACGCCCGAAACTACGCGTCCTCCCACCCCTACTCTCACTCATGCCTCTACTCCGACATCGCACTCTCCATCCGAAGATCTCCCACGCCCCCCACATACCCTCTTCCTCCCCTCCCCGCATCCCCTCCGCGACCTTAAATCATGGACGACACACACACTGACACCGTCCGGCTCCGTCATCATCGATCGGGGCGCGTACGAGGTCTTGGCGAGGAGAGAGTCGGGGGGACGGTTGTTGGCGGCGGGCGTTAGGGGCGTTAGGGGCATTTGGGCGGGAGGTGTAGGGGTCAGGGTTTTAGTTCGGAAGGGCGAGGATGGGAGTAGTAGGAGTAGGTCTGAGAGGAAGATCATTATGGCTGGCAATGGAGATGCTGGTGAGGAGGAGGGTGAGGGAAGGAGTACACCGCAAGGATTATCGGATGGAGACGCGGTTGTGGTGGATCGGAGCCCGCCGGGTGTTGACGTTGTGGATGAGGACAAGGAAGAGGCGGCGGCTGCAGAGGGGTCACATCGGGAAAGCCAAAGGGAGGAGGATGTTGAGACTGAGTTGATTGAGGTGGGCAGAGGACTGGCGAATTATAATTCGGCGCAGATCGAGAAGGTCATGGGGTTGAATAGGTGCGTCCTTTCCCGTCCCGCCCAAACCCCGCTCCCGCTTCCTATCCATATGTTCTGGTTCGGCTGTGAGGACGTTGTCACTGATTTGGATTACGGGTTGTGCGGGTTCTCAGCTCCTTCCTGCCACAACTACTTGGTTATGCAGATTCGGAGTACGTGGTGGAGAATATCACTATCAGGGTACCGCCGGAAGGTGTCACATTGTAGACGCTTGTGTTTCTTTCTTCTTTGTCGGTTCCTGCCGCAGAGCATCGCTGTTTCAAATGTCAACGCGCCACTGTCGTTCTGCGACGGGTAATTCTGAGCCGTTACACCCTTTCTATGAAATGGACGCCTGACCAGCTTCTTGATACAACCCGCCCTCTAAGCATAATGATGGACACGCCACTTGCGGAAGTTCCGTCGTAGACTGCGCATTGCTGCTTTCTAAGTGCCGCGGCGTTGAAACTTGATTTCCAGGACGAGGTGCGTGTAGTTGTAGACTGACATCGTGCGCACAACCTGGAACTGAAACGCCCATGCGACTGTAGGGGATGAAGCATAAACAGCATAGTGTTGTCAGCGTCATACTTCGCGATGGTAAGCTCTCGGGATATTGATTGAGCTCAATATCTGACATGGATGCGGGTTAAGGCGTGGTATACTTTTTGTAAGTGCCACCATCTTACCAGGACCTATCCACGCCTCAATCCCTTCCTTACCACTTTCGCATGTTCATGTTCTTCAGCATTGTCTTCATAATTGGAAGTGCAAGTACGGGCATCGCAGCTCATTTTTATGTCTCGTGCGAACCTCCACGCCGTGCGTGGCATCACTGACGTGCCAACAAAAGCTGACCACTCGTGGTATGCTCTCTGCCTCAATTGCACGGTACCTGCTAACGTTCCCTGCAACAAGTAGGATATCACGGTTCCACCGTCATCGATCAGTACTTATTGAAACTTGGCGTCCATGATGAGACGTGCACGTCAGTCTATAACCCAGTTTGCTGCGTACGGGGTTGTCACCCTTGTTGTGCTAGAAGAGCTATAGTCGCGCACATCCAAGCTTGGCAAGTATTGGAACGTTCTGGGAAAGCTTCCGTCACCATCAGAAACAATAAATTCAGACCCCGTGAGACGATGTATCCAATTCATAATCTTTTGTCCCACAGAGCTCTGTGTAATCCTCAAATCAACATATCGTTGGACTCTGTGTTGAATCCCCCGCATTATGTCTGGACCCTCTCACGAACAAGTCGTGACGACCTTCGAAATCGCGTACGTTGACCGGTTGCTCTGTCTTTTCTTTTTCATTTAGAAGCAACAGTCAATGACACGTTTGTGCAGTGTCTTACAGAATCAAATCACCTTAGCCGCTGTTGGTAGGAGGCCCTCTTGGCTTCAGTCGACAGTCATCTTGATATCTCACTATATTTACCTCTAGTCCTCTACTCGTATGACACTCTTATGACACTGTCTATAGAGAGCACTGGCGTATGGACCAAGCCATGGACAATCAACTCGGTGGTATACATCGCAAATCGATACATATTTTTCCTGCATGGAATATTGATGCTCATTGGGACCTTCGGAAATGGCACCCCCTACATTCCGTAAGTAGATCTATGTTTGTTTTCGTGTTCATTTGAGCTGGCGCTCAATCTCGTGATGCATGCAGCTGCTCTTCCTTGGGGACAATAGAGATGGCAACTGAAGTGCCAAGTCAAATTCTGACTGGCTGTGAGCATTATCATGCGTTGTTATGATTATTGCCTTCGAAGTCAGTGACCTGGATCTCGGGCCGTTCCAGATCTCCTCATGCTTAGAATATACGCCATCTACAACAAGAACATGGTTATCCTGCTCGTTTTGTCCCCTGTCATACTTGCGAGATTCGCACTGAAAATAGTATGCAGGCCGCCAGCCACAGAAGCTATACAACTTGCGACTGACAATTTATGTTCGCGAAGGTTTCCAATTTTATAGAGCTATATCTGGAGAGAACCGACAATTTCTTGGACACAGGGCTACTGAACACTATCGCATGCACGATCGCGTATCGCAAAAATCTCCCTGCGAGCACCGCGCTCACTTTATGGTTCGTTATCATCCTCCCCGAAGTTCTTTGCTCGTGGCTCACTTTTGATACAGGAGTTAGTAATGAAGATATTTCGTCTATATCTTGCTAATACCACTATTTACCAGCTGTTCTCGCCATATCATTCCTTTCGCTAGCCTTCGACGTCATGGTCTTTGCGCTGACTATCATTAAGACCCATCGTCACTTTGAACACATGCGGAAGCAGAATCAGGCAAGCATCACTGAAATTGTACTCCGCGACGGTAAGCACAGCGGTCACTTACTGAGCCAATATCTGACTCCGATGACAAGTAGGGGGTATATACTTCTTGTACGGGGCCTAATCGACCAGGTCTCATCTACGTATCACTAACAACACTCTCGCAACTCTTGTGTATCAATTTTTCGCAGTTTTGTCTTCGCAATGGGTAGTGCGAATGCTGCCTTCGCGACCTACTCCTTCGTCTCACGCAATCAGGTTCGTTACAGGCTTTACTTACAGGCTTTACGTCAAGACCATTGAGCTTCATGGCTAACCTGCTACACCGTTCTCAACAGGTTTCGACCCCCTCTTCTAGTTTCTTCATCCTTCTGGGCCCATTCACAGACACGTACGCTATTTCTTCCGTTTTTCGAGACTATGCAGAGTCAGATCTGACGAGCTAGTCTTCTACGTTTGAAGCCTCTCGGTCATGCTCGCAAATCGCTTATATCTAAATATGAAAACATGGAATGATCCCAGGCTTGGATTTTCAGGACACACCCACGATCTTCCGGCCTTAAATTTTGCCGATCGTCGGGTACTTGGAAGGATTGGAGTGCCAGTGAGAACCATACATGAGGATGGAGGCCTTTACGCCGATGCCCTAAGCGTTGAAAATAATTCAGACAGATCCGGGGATCCCGTGGTAGATCAAGGAACTCCGATAATCCCAGTGGTCCGTGAATGATGATTTCATCCTCAGAATATATCCATTGATTCAGACTTCTGTATCCCCTAGGTGTATGATGATGTGACGGAGAGAAGGGCAGACACCGAGGCGGTGCATGATCTTAGCTCAGTGTAGGGGCGACGTAGATGTCCTGCTGCAATCATCAAGCCATGGAGGGTTTCATCGGCGAAGATGTTTCAAGGAGTGAAAGAAGGCTCAAAGTCGGAACAATAGCCCTAGAGGCAAGACGGCGATCGAGAACTGTAAAGATGGGACGGAAATCTTCGATGTTGATGAAAATGGAGGGAAACGCCACAGCTGTTTCCGAATAAGTATTCAAGGTGTCGTGCGTCAGAAGAAGGAGGAAGGAAACGCGGCTGAGTTGTCAATGGAAAGAAGGATAGGTGATGGAGTAGAGAAATAGTGACTCGAAGTGGGAAGGGAGAGGATTTTGACGCTCAGGAACCCGGATGAGCAGGTATGTTCTCCCTTCACAGAAGACATTTTCTGTTTCAAATGTCAACGTGTCGGTGTGGCATTGTGGCGGGTAATGGTGAGCTCATTCCTTCTGTCCTTGGCTGCTCGCTACAGTACGGCCAAAAAATGATGGATGCATGCGCTTGCGCGGGATTCTCTTCGCAGAGTGGAGTCATAACTTCCCGCAGCAGAAAGTCTAAAAACTCGAATCGGTGTCGAATAGACCACTGGACGGAACTACGGGAAGTCGTTTGATACTACTGTACTGATCATCACGGGCGGATCATGAACCACAATATAGATGTTCACAAGCTCGCTCAGTTTTATATTGAAACACTAATCATACATATCAGTAGGATTATATAACTAAGCTCTTCCTTTCGCAGTAGACCGTATCTGCGAGGGAATTTTTGACCTCGCTAAAGCTCGCTAAGGCCCAACGGGACGCGTCGATTGGCCCGATCGCAGTTTTAAACCCGTTTTAAACGGTTGCAGATACGGTCTAGTCTCAAGCCATCATTCTAGTTTGAACAATTCTTTACTGCCTCCAAGTCGTGCACTGTCGTCGTTTAAATATGTCTGCCCCCCTCAGCCGTGACCAAGTTGTATCCACCATCGAAGTCGCGTACGTCTACTCTAACGTTCTCTGAGGAGCAACGGCTGACTAAGTATACCTTTGACAGTCAATTACAGGACCAAATCGCTCTAGCCGCTGCCGGTGAGAAGTCTGCTGACTACACAAATCGCCCGAGCGTTGTTTAGCTTACGATGCTTGTTATTAGTGCTCTACTTGTATGAAACTCTCTTGGTACTATCCACAGAGATTGTGAACGTATGGTCCAAGCCATGGACAATCAGCTCCGCAGCGTATATCGCGAATAGATATATGTGCCTCCTTTCTGAGGTCCTAACGCTCTTCAGATCTTTTGGGGATGGCCGATCATATATTTCGTAAGTAATCAACAACCCGTCTTGTCCATTCACTCACGCGTTGATGGCCCTTCTGAGTGTAGATGTTCTCCCCTGCGCATCATCGGGCTAGGAAGCGGATTGGCAAGTCAAGGCCTAACTGGCTGTGCGTGTTGATTCACACCCTTGTCTACAACTCTGTGGAGACAATTATATGGTGTTCAAGACTATTCTAGATCTTTTCACGCTTAGGGTTTATGCCATCTATAACAGGAAAACATCAATTCCGCTTGTTCTGGCCCCAGTAATATTGGCAAGGCTAACACTTCAAATGGTATGCATACTGCAAGTTGCACTGTTGACTTGACTTGTCGCTGATCATTGATATTCACTCAGGTCTTCGATTACGTGGAGGTATATTTGAAGGAGACAAGCAACTCCTTGGACACAGGACTGTCAAAGGCTGTGACAACGTGCACGACCGAATATTCTAAGAAACTCTCTAACGACCCCGCGCGAACGATACGGTCCGTTCTTCTCGTATTTTAACAGCTTTCTGCGTCCCTTGCTCACGACTTACAAATTTTCAAAGGAGTTAGTAATCAAGTATCGCTAATCGTCCTGATGCTTCTGATCTGCCGTTTTCCAGCCTATCTCGCCATAGCTCTTCTTTGGCTGGTATTTGATGGGCTGGTCTTTGCGTTGACTATCAGAAAGACATATCGTCACTTTAGGCGCATGAAACAACACAACCAGTTAAGCATCACCCAAGTTGTGATTCGCGATGGTAAGCCACACCTATCACTAATTGAGTATATTTCTGACGCGAATGCGGATTAGGGAGTGTATATTTCTTGTATGCGTTTCGCCTAACTAGTATACGTTATTAAAGCCATCGCCATCGCCATACTTAATTGATCCGTTCTTTTTAGCTTTGCATTGGCTGTGGGAAGTGCGAATGCTGCATTCGCAACGTATTCATGCATCACCCACAATCGTGTTCGTTGCGGTCTTTCTCTCTACAGCGTTTAATCTCTTGACCAATGTGTTGCATGCTTCCTAATAGGTGTCGTCCCCCGATTCGAGCTTCTTCATCTTGCTGGCGCCATTCACAAACGTGTACGCTGTTTCTATGTTCTTAGTATCAGACAAGGTAATAATTCCAGGCCATGGCCTTGACGTTCAAAGTCTTTCGGTCACTCTTGCCAACCGGTTATATCTTAATCTGAAGGCTTGGGCCGATCCCAGGCCTGGCTTTTCGAGACATACATGCGACCTTGCAAGTATGAACTTTGACAACCGTCGCGTCTCGGAAACGATTGGGGCATCAATCGACATGGATGATGAACTGTATGATGATGCGTATATTAATGGTGACTATCCCCTAGATGAGATACATCAAGTTGACGGGTCAACGTAGGCTGAAAGCTCCGCGACGGTGCCAGTCGTACGTCCATGCGCCTTTCGCCCTTCAACTCGTCTTGTCATATCCTCACTTTTGTATTTTCCAGGTGTACAGTTGTATTCTAGAGATTATTAGAGATATAGAGATGGTTCCCGTTCCATATTCGGTGTCAACGACTCGATTAGGGCTGTTAATTCTAAACACAGACTATCTTGGAATGTTGCATTGTGCTTTGGCAGGTCAAGGTTGGATGATGACTGGAAGATTAATTCACATTCCTCACCGAATGTTATGAACTTTTTGTAGTACTATAAAATATATTAATATTCTTACCTACGAATGCATGAGCGCAAGAAAAAAGAAAACACCCTCGCCACAAATGCCGCGGTTGAGTCAAATCAGCGATGATTTGACCCGGCTGCCGGTCCGGCGTTCTTACTTACGCCACTTCGCTCGGGCCACAGTACTGATCTCTATCGAGATCATCTCCTCCTCGTTCCTTACTCTCCTCTTCGAGTCACCTTTGGTCTTGTGCTGCTCAGTCATTCACCTGATTATTCATGTACTTGATTACTGAGCTATGTCTTCATCCTTGGCTTTCTATTCGTTACTCTTGAATGTTGCTTAGATGGCTTGCCTTTCTATTCGTCGGCACTTTCTATGGCAACATCATTTGCTCTTGAGCTTATTCATTCGGGTCATTCATGCTTAGGTAGATCTCCTCAGTCTGAATGTATATAAACTCGTAGATAATTACAATAAATGCCCAGACTTGTTCTGGTCTGTTTCCTCCCTTGGGCACCTCCTCAGCTTTGTCCTAAACAGTCAAGCGCGACCTAGAGAATCCATGAAACCATTCTGCACTCGCTTTTCCTGGAATAAAGGGGCAGGTATAACGTCGCGCAGTATCAATTCGTGGCGTTCCAGTCCGTGTGGAGTGAGAGACAAGGATCTCGATTTTTTTTTTTGATTTTTGATTTCCATACCGGAGGCTACAGAGTTTCTCATTCATGTCCTCTTAATTCGGCTCCATTGGGCCAATGGATCATATATCGCCTTCTGGTTTTCCCAGTCCTTTCCGTAGTTAACATTCGTCTATCTTACGCTCGGTCTGAGTCAGCGCTCGGCTCCGGTTTTCGCCGATGTTTTCATTCTTCGATGTTCTTCCGGTAAAGCCTTGCCACACACCATCAAACGGATACTACGGACCACAGCAAAACATTACCGTCACCGTAATTGAGCTTTCAGAGGGAGGATTAGTGGCTGGGAATAAGGCGGTGTTGAGCGTGATTCATCTCAGTCTCGTAGGGGTAAGTGTTTGTTCAAATCCCGAGTCGTTCGAGGATGGGAGAAAGAAGTTTTGGTAGTGCGTGTAGAATCCCGCTAACGCGTTTACCTTTTATCTCCCGATAGGCTAGTCCGGAACCCCTTGTTCGAGATCGAGAATGTCACGCTCACAGTAGAATGAAAGGCATCACACATGGGCACGACTGACTGATGGCTACTCCTTCGGACGTTATCGTACTCGTCAAGGGGGCGGCAGCCCCCCGAGCCAAGACCTGATGTTGGGTCCTGCCTAATCCGGTAATTATTTCCTTATATGGTAGGAGTTTGGGGGGGGAGGGGGGGTCTGGTCGAGGTCAAAATTTTTGGAAAATGCTCCAATGAGTGCGAGCATTCCAGAAAAATACTCAGAAAATATTCGAAAATCGGCATATTTCCCCCCTTCCTGACTTAATCCGGAAGGCTTTCGACCCCACAAAAATGCTTAGAATTCCCTTCTCCAGTGAATAAAGCCTATGGGAAGATAAGGTCTTTTTCTTGGGGGCTGCCGCCCCCTTGGTACTCGTACGTCACACTGGACTTTTTCACACTACATACTGTACAAGCCTAGCTGTTGTATCTTGCCGTTTTTTATCTTCTTCTTGCAATGTTCAGTGTTTATGTAGCTGCAAAAATAGACAACCCAGACAAAGTCACCGATGAATCCGACTTCATCGCATAATTTTGGCACCCTGTCACACGCACGAAATCATCATCATTGGTCGTGAATTGTCGTAAACGGCTTTATGTATCGTACACAGCGATATTTGTAGCTAGTAGTATCAACAGACAAGCATACCTCCCTACAACAACTCCATACGTACTGTCCGATCATAGCAAGTAAGTAAATAGCAAAAAGAAAACAAACAACACAGAAGAACAAGCTGGAAACACCAGCATCAGCATCAGCGTCAGCACGGCGCGGCGACTGAGGTGTGAGCTGCGAACGAAAGGAATAAGTTATACCTACAAGAAAGGCTCTATGCCGGCGCTGATGCTCGATGTCCGAAAAGGAGAAAAGAGGCGGGCAAAGATGAAGCCCCTTGAGATGGCAGAAAGGGAAGAAGAAAGATGTCGGTGGAACGTAGAGCTCTCACTTTGAGGGCCAGCCTCGTAGGATCGGAGGGTTGATATAGGTCATTGAGGAGAGAGGTGACGAAGAGAGGTGGGGTGTGAGAGGAAGATAGACAGGGAGAGGTGTAGCGAGGAAGGGTGAGGCGGGTTGTAGAGGAGAGGTGTCGCATGGAGAAGAAGGTGACGCAGTGTGGAAAGATAGAGTGACACTGGAAAGGGGCACGACAATAGGAAGGAAAGAGAAGAGAAGGAGACAAGGCCATGTCACCTGTCTATGGCGATTGAGGGTCTTCGCTCGCACTGCTCGTATTTCGGGTGCTTCGAAGGTAGAAGAGAGCCTCCCGTTTGGATTTGGGCGAGGTCAATTGTACGGGACCTAGGGTTGTCATCCAACCGTCAGCTCACAGAACAAACTCGAAGACGAGCAATGCGAAAACGGAGAGCAGGTTTTGACGTACCGATACGTTCGTGAATCTTCTCCCAATCGCTACCAAAACGATCACGTGGACACCATTAGTTCACAGCACATAATAGAGCCGCAAGATGCGGCTGGAGAAGAAAACATACGTTTCAGCGAAGACGGGGTGGTATGGCAGCTCATCGAGCTGGATACGTTTTTCTGGGTTGGAATGCAAAAGCTAATTCCTTCGTTGAGCACGACGGGTTATAGGTAAAGCGCAAGGAAAACGCACGCAGTATATCAGATCCCTGTACTCGGGGACATCCACGTGCTCTTCGACCAGCTCCTGCGTTGGGCCGACCTGCCAGTCTTCGCCCTCGTCCCAAGGCTATACAACGCACATCACAGAAATCGACTTCGTCAGTCTGACTCAAAAAAGACATGAAAAGAATAAGACGTACCGTTCCACGGAACATCTCGATTATGAGAAGACCCAAAGCATAAAGATCTGCTCTGCGGTCATAGAACGCCTCCTCGCGTTCCGGATCAGCGTCTTGCATCTCCGGCGAACGGTACTGTCTCGTCCCATGGGCCTTCCACATTTTCGGCTCTGTGGACGCGCATCCGAAATCAGCAATGAGCAGACGACCGTTGCGCGCGACGAGGATGTTCTCCGGCTTCAGATCGCGATGGGTGATATGGAGGGCATCGAGGTCGTAGAGACCCATAATCTGGTGAGAACGAATATGGTCAGCAGCGGACATTGGGCAAAGAAAGAGGCAAGGAGCGAGAGGTGATACGTACAATGTCTTCGATCCATTCCCGAATCGTGTCGATGGGTTGTCTTGGTTTGTCGAACAATACTTGCGCCAACGACCCACCGCACAGATCCTGTTATCAAACGACAATCCAACCAAACGCGAAACCATCAGCTAGAGAACACTGAACTACGAAGGTTCATATGGACGCACGGAGACCAAGAACACCTTCTTCCCACCGTCCCACCACCAATGCTTCGTCCTCATCAGGAATCGCGGTTCCGCCCTCTTACGACGCGGCCTCATCAAATTGAACATCCTAAACTCCATATCCAGATTCTGCGCATAGCGCTCGTCCGCCTCCAACGTCGGGACCGAATACACCCTGATCGCGACCCTATCGCCGAGATCGTAAATCCCCAAGACGGCCTTATTCCTGCCCTCGACCCTGACCACGGTGGCCGAGAACGCGCTCGCGAAGCTCCCGGCGCCGATGAGGCCGTGGCAGAGGAAGGTGTAGGTCCCGTCGCCGACGTAGATTTTCTCGCCGGGGGCGACAGGGTCGATAGGCCCGAGGCAGGGAGGAATGACGGGGGAAGAAGAACGGATCTGCGCTTGTTTTGCGGGAGACACCGGGGGAGTGCGTGGACTGTTTATGCGATACGCTTTCGGGATGGTTAGATGGTCGTCGGTGACGGACGGAGAGCCGATGCGAGCGGTTGCTGAAGAGTGTTGGAGAGTTTGATGAGGGGAGAGGCGTTGGGGATGGTGGCGTGGGGAGAGATACGGGGAGCGAGTCGATGGCGTAAGTGAGCCGCGAGAGTCGACGCGAGTGGGGATTGCCCTCCGGGCCACTGTGTTGTCGTTGGTGCGGGCAGGCGCGGTATGGGTCAGCACCGCCAATAAGTCGTCATCTGCCTGATCATCTTCGTCGTAGAAAGGATTGCGGTCCTCGTCGACATAGAAGACGGGAGAGCTGGTTGGGGTGTCCACGCTACAACAGACAGATGCCCTCGCATGACTTCCAGAAGAAATACGACGGAAATCTTCGCACAGCGCGCGACGAGTATCGACCGAAAGAGAAGTAGACGGTCCATCGATCTGGTTGTAACTCTCCCCATGACCAACGCCGGCGATGGACAATCGAGTGAATGTTGTGTCATGAAATTCGTCTGTATTGTTCAAAACCGGATGGTGGGTAGGACCGCGACGAATGCTCTCCATAAGACCCTCGAAATACGCCATCCGCCCCTGGAGCTCGAAAACCTGGAGCCGAAGATCTTCGACGCTATGTTCGAGCCCTTGGGTCGTTATCGAGGATGGAAGGCGCTTGGTCTGGATGGACTTGCTCAGGTCGAATGATGTCGACGTCGGGGAGGGCTCAGGTGTGTCAGGAAACTCGATGACGACAGCATTGTTATTGACCTCTGCAGTTTGACCCTCTCCTTCCTCCTCCTCAACGTCTGCAAAAAAGAACAAAGGGTACAATCAGTCACCAGCGAGGAAACTTGCAGGGAGCTAACAGACCAGAGTAGACATCCTCCTCATCAACTTCTTCGATATCTGCATCCAGGTCGACCGCTTTGCGTCTTACAGCGAGGGCAGGAAGCAGAAGGCGTAAGAGCCAGGATACGAGTGGCCGGATGATGGATATGAAGAGGACTGCCCAAACCAAGCCACTCATCCCGTAGACGTATGTGAGGACATAGTGGAATGAGATGAGAAGTAGAATGATTGGAGCCACATAATCGAGGTGAGGGTGCAGAGTTCGAAGAGCCTGGCGCAATGTCAGGCATGCTCGGTTTGAGAGAGGAAACGAACTTGCTTACTAATAACAGGCTATCGAAGGGCGGTCCAAGTTGAATTTTCTTGTAGTTGTATTGGTTACGTTTGTGGCGATGCGGACGCGTGCGCGCTTTGCGGCGTGATAGGCGTTTGGGAAGTATCGCTTGAACCATCGCAAAAGGCGGGATTGCAGAATTGGGGGAACAAAGGAACACGGGGCGTCAGGGGGAGGGAAGCAACGCGATCGCGAAAGCGCGGGTCGACGGTTATATAAACTCGTGGGATTTTGGCACCGCTTATGCAATCTGAAAGGGCACGGCACCTAGCGACGCAGCCTACCGCCGGGTTCATATTCATATATTTTAGTGGGTGGCACCTAGGGCCATGGACGGGGTCTCGGCGGTGCCCACCGTGAAAGTCCTACTGGGTTCTGGTAGGGCACCCTGGCAATTCGGAGCACATGTATATGTGTAGCGGTAAGTGGGGAAGCATCCTTTCGTAAGGGCACTGACCCGCGCGGTTGGTCACGCATACGAGGAAGGTCGCAAGTGGCAAAAACCACAAACGCCCCTCCCGGTGGGGATAACTCCCAAGACACCGATAAGATCAGATAATACGCGTAATAAGTGGGACCCCGAGAATCACTCTTCCACTGTTCCCTCGCCCTCGAGAAATCGCAGGTCTTAGTGCCTCCCGCCGTTGAAAGCAGATCAGATGGGCTTCTCAGAATGTGGATGGTCTTCCCTACAGAAGGCCCCACTGAAAAGAGCGCATCGAGGTCGACGAAGACGACGGCGGCACTCAACCAGACATCTGGTCCAGTGTCGGTTGCCACAAAGGCTGGCGGCGCTACGCCTTGGCCCTCCGGTGAGAAAAAATTGACGACAAAGGGCATATGTCCATTGTTCTGGCCATTTGATATTGAAGACAAAAGAGCTCAATCGCTCTAGAAAAGGAATGAAAAGGAGGGGAACTCGGCGAACCCGTCCCAGAACATGATGCCCCATCGCACCCCTGGCACCAGCGCGATGTGACACAATACGCTGCTCATTCCGGCGGGACTTCTGGCGGTATTATGGAGCCAGCCTCGTGTGAATCCAATGTCTAGCCCTCTTGTCACGATCTGAACACTGCGCTGCCCACTTCTTCCCCCTTCTACCACCTAGTCTCAAGCAGGCAAGAAGGCACAGGACGTCTCCCCCGGGTCTGAATGGTCGATGATATCGGGTACGTGGTCCATTTATTCCTCTGCAGAGATGCAGGTCAAATAGGGCCCAAGAGCTAGGGACCACCTCTGGACTGGGTGACCGAGGAGGATGGGACCGCTAGCGGGCCACAGTGGCCCACATTTGTCCACGCTCCACACAATCGGCGAACCTGGGGTCATCTCTTTCTTCCACCCACGATTTCGCTCGTCGAACGCAACTGTCGGGACCACATCCTCGACCAGCGTTGACTGAATCCTACGACACCGGACAACTATAGGCTCGCATGTGTATATGATATGCACCTTCGGCCCTACAAAGCGACTGCACAGACGGCAACGCCATGCCACATTTTTTCTCGAAACGAACAAGAGCATGCTTTCGTGGACGACGAGAATAGGATCGGAGGCGATGTCAGGGGATTCCAAAAGAACGTGTGGGCGGGCCCTGCGGCATGGTGGAACGCACCCTGCAGGAGGACCTTCCCACTTCCTTCGAATTGAAGCCGACCCACTGGCACTCGCAATCCCCGGAACAATTTTCGAATGCGTCGAGGAAGAAAACCATCCAAAGTGGACGGAAGATGGCAGTCGAGAAAAATAACGCAAATCATACCCATTAACATGGGTCCGCTTCGCGACGAATTACACGATACCCGATTGCTTGAATCACCCATGGATACTATGACAAGAGAAATGACACACCACGAATGGACATTGTCCACGTATGGGCGATGTATTGTCCTTGCACGACAACGAATTGGGAGCGGCTCATCCGTGGAGATTGTCATGGAGCTTCGGCACAACGGTTGGCACCTGGGGCGAAAACGACTCCTTGGTTTTGGAATCTTCATAGCAATTGTCTTCGTGCTGGATCTTTGAACGCGTGGAGAAAAACAATCGAAACGAATATTGTCTGTGTTTCATGCCTGCCGACTCCACGAAGGTTGACGTTTTGTGGGGGATACAATGAGCTTCGATCTTGCTGGTCCAGAAGAATACGGCACCAAGGCATTGCGAAGAGGGGAACAAACAGTGGACGAAGACAAAGAGTGAGCCGTAACGGGATGTTCAGATGCCTCGCCATGCAAGGATGGACAACGCTGATGAAGGGAAGACGACCGGCCGTTGTCGGAGCTTCATTTGGCCATGCGAAACCATCAAGGCTATTTTTGGACTACTTATAACGAACGTGGCGAGTTCTTTGAAGACAACAGTTTGGGCAAGGTGTCGGACAGACATATCTTACGGTTTATTGCAGAATGGTCGGGCAACGAGGACGATCCACAATATTGGGTCCCCAACTTGGCTTGATCGTCTGGGAGTGCGATTCTAGTATCTAATACTTGTACAAAGGACTCTGCAAAAAGACCGTCTTATGCCTCTCCACGTTCATCGCAAAAGCCATGACCGGTTCCCTCGCAATAACAACCAACCCAGTCAACACCGGCAGCACACCCAGCAAAGCCACAGTCCTGTGTGTCTTTCTACTCCAGCCCTTCCACTGCTTCTTCATCCCCGTCATCAGATTCCTGAGCATCAAATGCGCACCTTCGGAAGCATGCAGGGCTACAGCCAGCGTGAGACCGACGTAACCTACCCAGTTCCTCACTGGCCATTCTCGCAACGCGGTCTTCACGAATTCGTAGTCTAATTCAGAGGGCGAGAGGGCGTTGATAGGTGGCGCAGGAGAAGATGGAGCAAGACGGTGGAGGAAGTAGTGCACGGGGAGGTAGAAGGTCATGATGGCGTAGCCGGTCATAGAAAGAATGCTCGTCTTTGAACGAACAGGCCGGGGAGAAATGATGCGCTTGAGTGTGGCGCTGACTGCGTGGGCGCAGATGGGGAGGATGACAAGATAGCGCTCTCCGAATGAGGTTTGGTAATACTCCCGACCCAGGAGCTACATACGATGATAAATATTAGCTCTCCATCTAGAACTTCACGGAATTATTTGCTCACCATTACTTGAGACGAGAGGGACGAGCCGCCGAGATTCGCTACCATGGGCGCTGCAAGGTGGATCATCAAGAAGGTCGAGATGAACGGAGCTGAGCCTTGCGCAATGGGTGTCAAGTACGACACCAATGTGCTACGAAATGAAGTTGGCTTTGGTTCTGGACGATAGTCCTTAGCATTGGAATCAGCCATGATTATGGATTAAGGCTGGACATTCGAGGTCATGGAGGTTAGAGAACGCTTTGTGCAAGTTGAACGAAGGAGACTATCGCACCTCTACTGCCCAGATTTGACTAAATATCCTGCAGGACCTCAGCTTGGCTTGACAGCGACGTGTAGAGGACTGTGGTGGGGGGAAACAACGAGGTAGACATTATTGAACGCTGATGACAGCTCTAAGTACGCGTTCGCGGCCGGAGGCTGGATTGTTAAGGTTGATGACCACCTCACAGCCACCGCATGTCCAATTCCGTGTGTTCTGATTGGTGGCCACGCAATGGAGACATGTGTGGCCCTCACATCTCAGAGCCTTTCAACAAATGCACATTGCATGGCTCAGTCTGATGTGTATAAAAATGGTTTCGATAATCGAGACGCGCAACAAAGAGCGGAAGATTCAACAGGAAAGCCGCAGATAATCTCTATAATTCGTGAATTCGTGGTATTTTTACAGGACTGGCAAATCAGCTGTATTCGTGTATGTCATGGTAGTCGAAAAGAATTGGAGAGGATGATAGAAATAAACATAACCCCGTCGTCCATTTATCGTTATCGTGAGAATCATCATGCACGTCCACCAGACCTCATACTCATCGTGCGCATCGTCGGGACTGATCAATCAAATAAATCAGCATTTTAGCAGAAACGAAAAAATAACAGAACGTACACATCATCAAGCCTTTAATATCCTTCACCTTCGCCTGCTCCACGCTCTTCCTCATCAACAATACCCTGATACTTGCCCAAACCAACAACAAACACCCAAAAGCGACGGGAATTAACCAATACAGTGGGGAGAGGTGGAACGAGCCGCCGAATACGACATGTAGAGGAGGAGTGTAGATGATGAACATCCCGAGACAGGCACCGCCGATGATTCCGAAGAAGTTGTATTTGTTGCCGATGATGGAGCGACCGAAAGGGAACGAGAAGCGCGCTTTGACGGCGAAGACCTGTGATAGGACATATAGGGTGAGTTTAGTCAGGTTAACGAGACGTGATGGAGCTGGGGAACGTACGTTGAAGCATTGCATGATGAAGATGGAAAGGTAAACTGTGTACCGATATCCGTTGAGAAGATGATCAGGACGTAGCACACGAGGAGAACGTACCAATGCCCTGAGCTTCACCGAAAGCTTGGACTTGTTGCCATGCAGCGAGGCTTTCTCCCTTGTAATTGATAAAGTCGGGACTGCCTTTCAAGAAATACGCTGTTGTTTCGCACAATAAAAATCAGCGGTGCTCATGCACAAGAACGTGGAACGAGAAAAACATACTTCCACTAGACTGTTGAGCCCTGCGCAGATCGCTAGGCGAGAAACCGTTCTTGAAGAACACAACGAAATATGCAACCAAGCTAGAGCGCCACAACGTCATGCGGCCAATCAGCGACCGCCATCGTCACAATAAACCGATGGAGAACGGAATGACAACTTACGACCCCAGCGTCTCAATCATCCCCGCCTCCAAATACGCATAGCTCAACAACTTCCCATCCACCAACTCCTCCTCATCCGTCTGTTCCAGCCTATCCTCCCACCACATCCTCGTAAACGGCGCCTTTACACCATTCGTATACACCTTATCCCACATGCGCCTCGCGAAGCTAGGCTGGATGGGTTCCAGTGTTTCGGAATCACGGGCGAGGGTCTTGGAGCGTCGGAGGGCGCGACGTTTGAGTGAGGTGATGGAGCGGTCAGTTACGGGTTTGCGAGGACTTAGGCGCATAAGTCCGTCGACGGTTTCGGGTTTGTCCCATGCGAAGGAGAGCTGCGATCGAGAATGATTAACTATTGGTCACTAATAGAAAGAAAAGTGATGGACACGTACAGCAACGAAAAGTTCGAATCCCAGATCTAGTAGAAGCAAGTGAGCGAAGGGCCACAATGAACTTATATGGACTCAGCGCACCGATAACAAGGATCAAGATGGCCGACAACGGCAATGGGATAGGTACGACGACATCTGCAGAGGTGCTCGATTAACGGAATTAATATCAACATGAGCTCTAGCACTTACAAAGTAGCTGGGGAATAACTTCCGGAGTGCTGTGCGATATTGTGTACTGGATAGACCTCTTGAGGTTGACGAAGATCTGCCGGCCTTCCTGTACACCCTCTGCATCGTAGTTCTGATTAACGACGGTGCGTAGATGCAGGAGGAAAGTATACTCACTGACGGTAGACGCAAAGTTGTCATCGAGCAGGATCATGTTCGCAGCTTCCTTGGAAACATCAGAACCGGAGATATTCATAGCGATACCGAGGTCCGCCTATGAGAAAGCCCGATGTGGTGAGGCTCAGTTGCTACCGAGACAATAAGGTGGCGCGTACCCTCTTGAGAGCAGGTGAGTCGTTGACACCATCGCCAGTACTACAAAGACATAAGCTCAAGCATCAGAGTGTAGGGGCGAAAATTAAACTCACACTCCAACAATGTGGCCCAGAGCCTGTGCTCGTTTCACTGGAGTTCACAAACCAGGATGAGTATGATGATCTCGCAGTTGTATCGACGCTAAATAAGCATTGGGACCTACCGATCTCTAGCTTGTGCTTCGGCGATGTCCTCGCAAATACGATCTCTTGCTTGCTGAAGACTACGCGATACCACCCATATCGGTGTCAATGGCGTACCCTGAACCTTCAAGGCGGGTCGGACGTACTAAGATCCCACTGCCAACCCTCCAAAGTGTCAATCTGATCTCCATGAACGACGACAGCTGTAACCTCGTCATCGTATATCTGTTCGATGGGTCGGCCCGTTTTCATGCTGAGGGTCTCCTTCGTGTCTCCAAGGATGAGGTTGATTTTCCTAGCAATAGCTTCGGCTGTCTTAGGGTGGTCGCCTGGCCCCGTAATACCACGTTAATTTCAAACTCCATGACGAAGCAGGAAAGTCTATCAAGGAAGAATACGTACCGGTGACCATCATGACCTTGATACCGGCCAACCTCAACGTCCCGATAGCTTCTCTGACGCCGTGTTTCGGTGGGTCCTCGAGCGACACGAGACCTACGAAACAGTAGTCCTCGCTAGGGTAGTTCAGGTCATTCTTGGAGAACTGGTAGTTGAGAGGGTATTTGTCGCCTGGGAGGAGATATTGTGCGCAGCCAATGACACGATGTCCACGAGAAGCCATGTACTGTCCACCCAATAGCATGGTATGAGTTGCGGGACATAAATAAGGCAATGTTATGCGAGAGAGAAGGAGGACCAACATTATATGCGTTCTCGTAGTTGTTCCGGAACTCATCATCTACGGGCAGCACCTGGTCATCTTTGATGTATGTCGTGCACTTGGCTAAAACACGCTCAGGAGCGCCCTTGATGTACGACGTCAAAACTCCATTACTGTGCTCCTTGTTCACCTGTACCCACACATCCGTCAGCATTCTTCCCTCAGCACAGTCTAGACCAGCACCCCGAAGGACTCACCAACGTCAAAGCCCACTTATTCGTCGAATTGAACGGCACCTCGAACATCTTCGGGTACATCTTGATGTATGCATCATAGTCCTCCACATATCTGCCCGCAAACCTAGACAATCCAGTCTCGGTAGCATCGCCCATAATCTCACGCTGGGCGAATGGGATGTCTGTTTTGTCGAATTTGATGCGCGAGTTCAGGGTAGCGATGGAGAGCATCTCGTTCATTCCTGGTGCATCGATGTTGAAGGATTCGGTTTCTTGTTCATCGTTATTTGACTATATGGATTAGATACGTTCTAAGATGATGGTCATGAAATCATGGTAGACGTATAGATTACCTGGAAAGCAGAGTACATCTTGTCGCCATTCCAGAGGTTCGTGACCTTCACGAGAGAATTCAGTCACCGTGAAATCCTAGAAAGGACCGAGGAGGGTGGCTTACTGTCATCTGGTTTCTTGTCAGCGTTCCAGTCTTGTCAGTGGCCAAGAGCGTGAGCTGTGTGGCCCAGTTGTCAGCATTGAGTGCCTTCAAGAGGTGTATCATAGCACATACGGATCCTGCAGATCGACTGTTAGGACGACGACACAGCACAAATCAGAAAGGGATGCTCGAACGGACCTAAAGTCTCCACTCCTTGCAGATCCTTGACCAGTACATTGTTCGCGGCCATACGCTTCGCGGCAATGGATAAGCTGGGTCCCGATCAACCCAGCATCAGTATATAGCTCGTATCAGACCTTGGCGGTCGGGAGAACAATAAAGGCTCACAGCAGAGTGACGACCGATGGCAGACCCTCCGGGACGAAGGCGACCAAGATGGATACGGCAAAGGTGACAGTGGCGGCCCCATTGCCTTTGTATGAAGTGGTGATACCAACGATGAAGAAGACAATGGCGAAAAATATGGCGATGGTCGAGACGAACGCCACGAAGCGCGAACTGCAGCAGGACAATCGCGTCAGCAAACTAGATTATAAACTCTCGCGAATGGGGGTATGAATGAAGACGTGGAGACGTACATTTCGACAGCAAGTGGGCTTTTGTTGCCGGACTCTCCACCCGTCAAAGCCGCAATCTGACCAATAAGTGTACGGTCTCCAGTCCTGACGACCACTGCATGGACACACGTGTACACAGAGAGGACTCGGATCAGCGACCATTCGGAAGCCCAAGTAGGTTGAACGACGAAACGAACCTCCCCATCCTTCGCCATTCACCACCAACGTCGAGTTGAACGCCTGCCACACGGTAAATGAAAACCATGCCACACGATCAGCATCAGATAACCTCCCGTATCACAAAACAAAGCAAAGGAGAAAGAACAAAGAAAGGCAACGACGTACCAAGTTCTCAGCCTCGACGGGTCTATGCTTCGATCCGCCGATGACGGGCAGCCGCTCCTGGGGTTCCGACTCCCCCGTAAGGCTGCTGTTGTCGACTTTGAGATCTGAGGCCGCGAATAGGACTAGGTCCGCCGGGGTCTTGTCACCGGTGCGCTATCGTGGTGCAGTATGGTCCGTGCGTATATATAGAAATACATGCAGGAGACCAAGAATACGATGGATCATCGGTTGTGCAAGAGCAAGAACCAAAGTTAGTGCGATGTTTCTCCAGAGGAAGCATCGAAACGCAGGCTCCAGAGGCGGTGGAAAGGAAAGGCTAATCAGGGTGGAAGGAAGACTTGTGGAAGAATGAGGATGGAAGGAGTGGTGGACGGAAAGAAGCATCTCAACCGGAGTTTCGAAGTTTCAAACTGGACGTACGACAAGGACAATGTCTCCCTTGACGAGGTCTTGCGCAGGGATGGACGTGAGCGTTCCATCGCGAACGACCCTGCACGAAGGCGGAATCATGGCGAGGAAGGACGCAAGGATAGCTTCCGATTTCTGTAGCTGGTAGAACTCTATGAAGGCGTTGAGGAAAGCGACAGCGATAAGTATTCCACCGAGGTACGTGTTGGCGAAGTTATCCTGTTGAACAGCGAGATAGAGAGTCAGCCTTGTTGGACAGCAGCGTCGTCAGGGATTTATAAAAAAGGAAAGCTTTCCTTGAAGTCGACACCAAGCAAGACTACAGGCATCAAGCAGAAGACATATGCAGGCGTCAATCACCCATCCACAAGGAAACAATGGAAAACACGAACTATACTCGAGGATACCGGCGATGATCTAGAAGACCTTGTCGTAAGATTCCGGAACACCAGGGAAAACGCGTTGAAAGCTTACCAGGATAATGTTGAACAAATTCCTCAAGCAGTCGAAGTACTAAAAGCAATCAAAAACAAAAGAACCCACAACATCAGGGACAATTCCCCAAAATGTCACACGAAAAACGAGAACAAAACCTCACCTTCTGCAACGCCGTCTTCTTCTTCGGAGGCGTCAATGCATTAGGACCATCCCTCTTCAGCCTCTCTCCCGCCTCCACAACCGTCAACCCCACACTCGCCGCCGGATCCTTAACCTCAAAGCTCGTTCCCAACACCTCCGCAACCTCCATAATCGGCAGCCCATGCTCCGTAATATCAACATTACCGAGCTTCCCATCGTCCTTTTCCTTCCCGCCCTCCTTCTTCGCTTGGTCGAGGTGGTCGTACCCCGCCGCAGCGAGCTCCTTGTCCTCTTGCGTCATGACGCGCGGACCGAGCTCGACACCGCGCGGACGACCATCCTTGCGGTCGCGGTCACGATGCTCTGTGTCGATTGTGTCGTCGATTTCTGGGCCAAAGGCGACGGCGCGGTTCGTTAGGTCATGGTGTGGAGAGATCGGCTCATCGAACTCGGTTGTCTTTTCCGGGTCTGTAGAAACAGGAGAGGGCTCCATGGCACACGAGCGCTTGGTTATACTCTAGAGCGATAGGATCAAGAACAAACCAAGGCAAGGGCGATACTCCACAGAGAGGGCAGGGATAATGGGCAGTGGGCGGTGGGCAGTGGGTGGTGAGAGGTAACAGAGAGGCCAGGTGAATTGAGGGATAATAGCCTGTGGGAGGCGCAGCGGGGCAGGGAGGACAGAAGAATGGCCTGTCCGCCCTCTCGAGCTCAGACGTCCACTGGTATAAATCCCTCATCCCTTCTCCCAGGTCGTTATGAGATAGCCGCCGCCAAAAGCAGAACGGACCCCAGGAGCGGGGCGCCAGAGGAGTATTTCAAGTAGTCCATGCTGGCATTCCTGAGCCTTTAGTCTGACGGACCTTTTCCAGCCAGACGCAGGAAGAAGGGAATATTGACGCGATGCCTCGAAGAAACCCTCCTCGCCCGAGTACGCCTAGCTATCAAGAAGGAAACTTCAAGAGCCTACTGCGTGCGTTGGATGATTGGGTCCAGCAGCGTGTAGGACCAGGAATAGCTATCCCGCTCGGGTCGCGGGTAGGAGTGTGAGCTCACCGCCGGTATCGTTCGCGCAACGTTTTACCCAGCTCGAAGGCGAACAAACGGCCAAAAGCCCGCAATCACCACAATGTAGTCAGGGCGAGGGTCACGTGACTGTTCGACTCGATACCTTCCCCAATTTCCCCACCCTTGTCGTCCTGCTTTTGAGCGATCTTCCTGGAGATGGGTGGGGGAAGTGCCAAACGGCGTTAACTCCCGGGGTAACACTGGCAGATTGAGAAGAAAAAAGTGACGAGAGGAGGCAGTGGGACGCACGTTGTGTTTGTGTTGATATGAATGTTGGCCATGAAAGAGCGGATACGAGAAAGATCCCGCAAGAGGCGCTAATGCAAGCGCTAGCTTACACTTTAAAATCAGAAAAATTATGGAAGGCGATATGGAGCCGCTTCGATAAACCATGAAGACTTTTTTTACCCCCAGGATTGATGACCATTCATGAAGGGCCGTCGTGTGGCGTGGTCGCCTCACGGCGAAAATCCCTCTGCTCGAAAGATAGATGCATCGTGGTGCACGATGGCGCGAGTGGGAGCCTCTAATATCGTCGGATAACGACAGGTGCGTATGGTGACCTAGAAGAGCTGATTTACGGTGAGGTTCGCTAGAGCAGGGTAAGAGTCTCTAAATACGGAGAGGCGTAACGCACCTCTCAAACCCACTCAAGCAAAAGGGTTGAGAGAAGCCTAGAGAATGGAGTGACGGCGGCGAACTTCGGAATCTTCGAATCAGAACCGTTGCACCGATCTGCGGTGAGACTGCATCAGAGTAGAGACTACTATAATTATAGATGCAAGATAACAGAAGCAGTCGCCACCCACTGTCTTCAACATTCATCAGCAGGAGACCGCCATCGTTCTCTCTGTGAGTATGCTATATATGTTTCTGGAAGAAAATAACGACATTCAACTTAGATTACGGCCCAGTTGGGCTCAGAACGCTATGTACAAGGCCAGCTGTACTTGGACACCACAAAGGATAAGCAGTTTCGTGATATGCATCTGAAAGTAAGCCGTCATATGACTTGGCCCTTGGTCTGCATGAAATGGAATGCACTAAATGCAAATTATTCGCCAGAGCAAGTCTCGGAAAGTACAAGACCCTGGGGGAAGTAACCTGAAGTAACGCATCCTCGGCCACCCAAAAGCGATGGCACCGAAGCCAAGGCTATCGTCTTGGGACCCAATTTCAAGGCTACCAAGAAAACGACCCAGACAATACAGGCTCGCAATGGCGGGATCATTTCTAGAAACGCTGGAGGTACGGACCAGGAAGGGGGCCCCGGGTCATTGCCAAGAACGTGCGGATTCAGTACCAGGGCCTTGGGGCAAGACCGACCATAAAATGCAGCGTAGAGACGCGTGGCCCGACCAGAGGTGCTCTGGATGTACATGGATTCCATGTAAGGTCCGCTGTATTCAGCAGTGTGCTTCGATGAAGCGAAGAGGAGAGTTGCAGCGAGGGCCACTTCTACAAAAGATATGCATACAAACACATTTTGGCATCCCTACTGCGGCCGGTGAATTTCACGCACATTTGGCCAAATGGTCGTCTTTGTTGAAACAAGTGTACGCGAGCGAAATAAGGGGATGGCCACCATCAACGCGATCTCCTATGATTTGCCATCGCCACACCAGCAGAAATCATGAATAAGTGGGCCAAGATCATGGATATGACTCCGGAGCAAATAGCCGATGTCAAGAAAAGATATATCCTGTAAGAACCTGCATTTTCGAGTAGTCGATGTCAGTGTAGAGGCAAGGGTAAGGGCAAAGATGGGGGTTGCGGACAAGTTCAAGTTGTGGTTGTGGGTCCGTCGCCACCCGCTTTGCCACGAAATCATGACCAAAACTGTGGTCTTGGCGCTCGCATTCCCTCTCATCCTGGTCCCGAAATAGTGCAAAACCACACCATAAATCCACCTCGTGCTCACTATGTCACCGTCGCCACACCCCCGTGGGGTTCTCCACACTCCTTCTCGGGCCATTCTCTTCCGTCGTTGTCATCGTCGTGCTCGTCGTCGTGGCCGTTGCCAGCGTCGAGCAGTTTATGTTTTCTTGTCCTTTCCATCTTTATCATTGACGACGAACGTACGAATTATTATCATTTCTGCATACTTCAGGAGCCACACGACCATCACCCCACCGGAACAGGACAAGACACAAGACACGTCTGCTCCAAGAACCAAGCCAAAGCCAGACATATAGCCAGCGGTAGTAATGGCCCCACCAAGACTAGTCTTCCCCATCACACCCATCACAGGAGTTGTCCGACATGACGAAGAGGAGAATATTGTTCCCCGCCACCCCGATGCGCAGTCCGTGCCGAACGTGGAGGTAAGTCCCGATCTATTTATTCCTCAGACTACAACCTGTAGTCCCGGTTCATGGTGTCGTAATGTTCAGTTTTCTGATTTTAATGGTCGGTTGTGATGGACGTGAATAGGACGAGCTTATTCTCATACGATCGGGACCAGAATCAGTACCTACTTTGTCAAGACGAGACGATGTACCACGAATTAATGGCTCAGAAGGAGGTACGTCCGTCACGTTCATATAACACACTACAATATCTCTACAATCCTAATCTCCAAACGCTGACCCTGCATCTCTTACTTCACACTCCTCCCGACTCCTAATCATCCACCAACCGGTATTCACATATACAGCCTTCATCGCCGTCGTCATAATCCTCTCCCTCATCTTCATAGCATCCACAACCGCAATCTTCATTCTCCTCCGTAACCACGACCCAACACCCGCCGAACGTGCTTCCCGGCGTCGCGCCCACCCCTCCATCCGTCGCCCCGGCGTGCCCCACTCCCTCCCCATCGGTCTTTCCCACGACCGAACCCTCACCAACACCGGCGAAGACTACACCTACACCGAGAGACAGGAGCAAGGTTATGGGCACACGAGGGACGCGGAGGGAAGTTTCGGAGGATCGTTCACCGAGAAGTTAGGGAATATGTTCAGGAGTGTGGGGTTGAGCGGGAGGAGGAACGGGAGTGGATGGGGCAGGGTGAACGCGGATCAGGATTGGGATAGTGGGGACGAAGATATGGATATGCTCCAGCGACAACAGCAGGATAGCAATCACTTGCACCCGCAGTATCAGTATAATCCACAATCGAAACCTCAGCGCCCGTACCTCGACCGACAGAAGAGCGACCAAGTCGAGATCAACGTCTCCAAGTTCGCGCAGCACCCAGAGTTCATCGACGATGACCGGACGACGCAGCACCATCATGTCGGACGGTCGGCTTCGCATGTCACGCCCACGGAAGCGTACGGTACCCGCAACTTGGACTTAGACTCGCTACCATCGACGCGGGCGAGTACACCTGGGCTCGCTGGGGGTACGCCAGGGCTCGCTGGAAGTACACCGGTTCTCGCTGGAATAACGCCAGGGCACCCAAGATACGCAGGCAGAGACGACAGAGAAAGAGAAAGAGACAGCACATATCTCACATCACCCTCCGTCTACTCAACATGGTCCTATCGCGATCCATTCGATGCCTCGTCGCATCCCGCGCCTGGACCGAGCATCGAGGGCCACAGTATTTCTACGCATTCGTTGCATCATGATTCGCCGGTGGATATGTACGCTTCACCCACCTCGCAGGGATATGGAGCATCGCCGACTGGGAGTCGTGGTGTCGGGAGCGGAGATTCTGGGCAGGGACAGGCGGGACAGGGCGGGACTTCGAAGCATGATAGGCATCGGAGCGATGATTCAAGGTTCTCGGAGACGACGTTTGCGGGTGGGAGCAAGTTCAATGAACATATCGAGTTCGACTGAGGCTTGGAGGTTCTTTGTCGGACGGTGGGCTGGTTAGTTGAGAACCAGAAGGTCTGCGGTGTGCTGGTGTGGTGTGTGGGTGGGTGGGTGGGTAGTGACGATGCTTTGACGATGCTTTAACGACCTCTCGTGTTACGAGTTTGTGCTTTGTATCCTATGTATGGACTGTTTTAACATTCCTGTTCTCCTGTTCTCTTGTTCCCATATCAGGCTCAACGTTCTCAGATTTCTTGTATATTCCGTCCTGGTCGACCGTTTCTCTTCTTTATTGCCTTTTCGTGTTGAGTCCGCCACCTTGTTCTTCGTACGTATTGTACCGTGCTGTATTTCTGCCCCGGCTCCTTCGTGCTGTTGTTTTACTACGAACCCTTTTCGAGTTCGAATTTGTTTCGAAATGTTCAAAATGTATATATCCTTTAAGAACATTCCCCAATCAGTTGCAGCCCGAACCTAATAGGTGTAAATTCCCGCTACTTTAGTAGTGGGTTCTTAGGTTGTACTTGATTTTGCCTCCGTTTTGCAGTAAACTGATGTTTCGTTATTTCAGCGCATCCGCTCTGATTTCCGCGCGGATGCTCTTGCGCCGTTCAAATCTCCACGTGTCCTTCCAACTCCGCACATCCTCTGCCTCAGTCCCGACTCTTTCCCGTCCTCTCATTCGCCGGCAGCTGGTGTCTGGAGAAAACATCCCCCCAATGGCTGGTATCGAGACTAGGTGTTGTCGGGAGCAGTGCAAAGAACGGATTCGACGAGCCTGCTGCCCACCTAACCTTGGGGATAATTTTACAGTGGTGCTGGTGCTGTTACTGAAAACGATTGGTTCAATGTGAGTACCGGCGTTCCCACCAAGCGCCATGTCCATTGCAAATTGGCGGACTTTGAAAGCTGCCGGGCAAGCCGCATCCCATTTCGACGCGGGCCACAGTAAGACTCACCGATTTGGCTGGGTGGCACCTATGTACGAGACCTTGCGCGTCTAGGGCAAGGTACATCCCACCAGTAAATCCTATAAATTCTAGTATATTATTTGACATACATTCACTTCGTTTGGTCGCAACAGAATCTTTTCAATCTCCTCGAGTGATTTGATATGAGCGTGTGGCTCATTGTGTAGCTCGTTCGCGTTGAAATTAGAAAGTTCTGTCGCGACCAAATTAAAGAGAAGTATTTTAGATGAATTTAGGTATAGCTATGTTGAGTGTCACTATGCACACTGCTGCCTTTGTTGTGTTGCAATGTTCGTGAGTGACAGCCTGCAGCCACTCGGCTACGGGAGTAAGCGAGACGCGGCACAGCGGAGTTTGAACCAGCACGCAATGGGTGAGTGCCGGTACTCATTCAATGCTGATCCTATTACGTCTCCATTAGTCTCGAAATCCAGACTCAAAGATCGAGGAAGACAATCGTTCCTCTTCACTATAGAGAACTTTGTGAGGGGTGTCGGAATCGCGGGATCAGTTGGGGTAATAAGCCGCAGAGAAGAGAGTGGAGAGCACCGGGCGTTGATGCGTGAAGAGGAGGATGAGGCGTGGAACTCAGTACATCGTTTTTGGATGGTCAGCGTAGGTGTATCTCCGTTTCCAGTGGAGTTTGACACTTTGATTCACCGGTGTGGTTTATAGGACAACTTTGTGTCCGGATTTAACGCCGTGAAAGGGAACAAAAAGATAGCACAGCGCTCGGAGTCGTTCCGGTGTCTGCCGGTGCCGCCGCGGCTCTGCAAACACGAGGCCGGTACGTGGTTCGAAAATGAAATTCTTGTGCCACAGTCAAAGTACGCTCAGCTTTCGCTTCGTCACGATTCCTACTGCTTGTTCCCCCTCTGTCCGCTTTTGCCATAATATTACTGTTCAAAATGCGCACAAAGTGATGTAAATTTTATGCGAAACGGACCGTTTGTTCGCGAGGTAATCCTGCTTTTGTTCTCTCGACCACGCGCCACAGCTCTTTGTGGGTCCCAACATTTGCTTCCTAATCCGGACAAAGTCCCTATTTGGACACAAATGTAGTTCCATGACTCGCATGCGATACCATCAGATAACGCTCTTGTTTGTGCCATCTGGGCACAGTTTCTAGCCTCTTGGGCCTCGGTATGTTTCGCCGTCCAATGGTGCCAGTGCCTCTTGCCGGGAGGAGTTTGAATCGTTTCCCTGGATATATAAGACCCACTTAGGGCTCGCTTAGCTCTCCCATCTTCTCTCTTCTCTACCACCACCATCTCCTCCCTTCCCTCCCTTCCCTCCCTTCCCTCCCTCCCGGACCCGGACCCAAGGTGAGTCTCTCCCACCTTTCTCTTGTCTGTGCTCACATCCTCTCCTTCTTATACTGCCACCCACTTAACGTTTAGCATGCTCACTCGTCTCGGTTCACATAGGCCGCCCAATCGAAGTCCGGTGTCAAGACTCAACATCAAGTATCAAGACCTCAAGCCGGGACCGTGTCGGATTGGGATCGCTCGCGACGCGATCGACAGGCCATGGGTGTCACGGGGATGTGTGCAGAGTCGCGCTGCGGCCTCAAGAACCTCGAGGGATCTACGTATTTACGGCATCTCGGACACAATACCCTATTTACCCCTCATTAAAGGACATGCCGGCCAGTGTCGTGCATTGTCCTGGGGATGGTCCAATTTTTCTATATGTTTGACCCCTTCGGGGGTGTCGCTCTCTCCTTTACATATCTCCTGGTATGGTGTCGGCCTCTTCGTGGCCTAGGGAATTAGTACCTCTTCGGAGGGAAGCTAACAGACACCCCGCTCGTTGGGGTTCTCTCCCCCAGCTCGGCACGAGCGTCGTGTCCCGCCTTTATGGCCTTCGTGCGTCATGTTCCTCTGTGATTTGACGACGGTTATGGCTGTATGCTGACGTTAACATTACTTTGTAGAAATAACCCTAATGTGGGCAAGGCGGAGAGAGAGAGCCTTTGGACAAGAGTCTTCGACAGACTCCCTTTTTTCGTTGGTCTGGCTATGGTACGCCCCTCTCAGACCGCTCCGACCGCTATATTAGTACCTTCGTATAGGAGCGGACCACTAGTGTGCGGGTCGTCATTGCTGCTGGTACTGGAAGTGTGTGTGTGACGCCAATAATGGACCTTTATCTTTTCTTTCTTCGGGGACGTTGGGGGAGTTTTCGTCCTTTGAGTACATTCTACCAAGGCTAGGCCTCCCTTTTTCTCCTGGTACGGCGTCGGCCTCTTCGTAGCTCAAAAGACCAGTACCTCTCCTGAGGGAAGCTAACAGACGCTTACTGATAGGTGAGTGTGCTCTCGCTTTGGTTTCACATACTTCTTCCGAGTCTGACCCGTCTTGTGCAGTTCATCTCAGGTGTATCCGTGTGAGTATGCTCAAGGCGACCGAAGTCCTGATTATACACACTCTGGCACGACGATGGGTTTTGTCGACGACTCCAATCAAGCACGACATCAACACCTGGCCGCAGGATCTGTGGTGTCTTGGGCTGGGTCTCCGGGTCTGTTGTTTCTTTGGGTCTGCTGTCTCTCTTCGTTTGCCGTCTCTCTGCATCTGCTGGGTCTCGTGGGCTTGTATTTTAGCTTGCTGGGATTCGTCGGCTTCGTCGCTAGGCTATTGTGCTAGGGCTGGTCTTGCTAGAGCTGAGTGACATCGACATCGACCTCACGACCGAGCCCAAGCGCGATATCAGCATCGCCCACGACCGGGCTCAAGCACGACTTCGACATCGCCCACGACCGGGCTCAAGCACGACACCAACGTCGCTCACGACCGAGCTCAAGCACGACATCGACATCGACCTCACGAGCGAGATCAAGCACGACAGCGACACCGAGCTCCAAAGAGCTTCAAGAACGGTCCCCTGGGATAGCGTCGACCTTGTCGTGGTCCGGGGGCTCTAGTACCTCGGAGTCCGATCCTCCGAGGGAAGCCAACAGACGCTACTAACAGGTAAGTGGGTTACCAGCCCTTCGATCCTCATCTACTTTCTGACGCATCTCGTGCAGTTTTATTTTTCTACAGGTCCGTTAGAGTGGTCATTATTTTCACTCTCGCTTTCCTCTTCTCGCTCTCGCTTTCCTCTTCTCGCTCTCGCTTTTCTCTTTTCGCTCTCGCTTTCCTCTCTTCGCTCTCGCTTTCCCCTTTACGCTCTCGCTTTCCCCTTTACGCTCTCGCTTTCATCTCCATTTCTCTATGCTTGTCTCAAGTCTTTAGCTTGAATCCCTCCTCTGGTGGAGCGTCGACCTTGCCGTGGTCCAGGGGCTTTAGTACCCCAGAGTCCGATCCTCTGACGGAAACTAACAGACGCTCGCAAGGTACGTTTCCTACTTCATACTATAATGCTGATTTCCTTTAGATTATCTCACAGGTGTGTGATTTTACGGACGGTATTCGACCCGAAACTGACAGACGCCACGCGAAACGTATTCAAATATGTGAGGCTCTTACTCTTTCACTCGAGTATCATGACTGCGCTGACTTCTTCCTCAGTTTTCCTACAGCTGTGGGATTGTGAGAATGTGAGCGCATGGCGACGGTCTGCCTTCAACAACAGCGACATCGACACCGAGGTCAACGTTCGACGTAATAAATGCTCACAAGGGAGAGATACGGAATTGTGAGTATCTTCTCTTTCTATGCACACGTAGTAACTGTGCTGACTTCTTCCTCGGTTTTACTACAGCTGTGTGACTGTGAGAGATCGGCCTCCACCTGCCTTCAACAGCAGCGCCCTCGACATGATCTCGACACCGAGCTCCAACGAGCTTCAAGACCGGTCCCCTTGGCAGAGCGTTGACCTTGTCGCGGTCAGGGGGCTTAGTACCTCTTCGGAGGGAAGCCAACAGACGCTCACAAGGTGCGTCACTTTCCTTCTACTGTGACGCTGATTTATTTTAGATTCTCTTACAGGCGTGCGGCGGTGGTCCGGGGTGAGTCCCTCTCGCTTTCGTTCGTCTAGATAATTTACTGATGTTTTGTGTTTAGTTTTATTCATAGGTGAGTCAGTGTGAGTGTGAGTCAAGGTAGGTTCTTTTGTCGAGGTAGGTCTCTTTCCAAGTGTGAGTAAAGGTAGGTCCGTTTCACAGCGGCGCTCTGCTTGCGAAAGCAGCATCGTCCTTCCCCTTGGAAGAGCGTCGACCTTGTCGTGGTCAGGGGGCTCAGTACCTCCTCGGAGGGAAGCTAACAGACGCTCGGAAGGTAGGTCTCTCCTCGTTCTATGTCGCTGATTTATTTTGGTTTTCCTCTTAGCAGTGGCGTTCGACACGAAACTCAAGATTTCCACGAGGAATATGTATTGATCAGTGAGTATTCCATTTCGATGCGCGCATACTCATGACCACGCTGACCTCTTCCTCAGTTTTGCTGCAGCTGTGTGACTGTGTGAATGTGAGAGAACGGCGTCGACCTGCCTTCAACAGCAGCGCCCTCAACACAACCTCGACACCGGGCCCCAAGAGCTTCAAGACCGGTCCCCTGGTAGAGCGTCGACCTTGTCGTGGTCCAGGGGCTCTAGTACCTCTCGGAGGGAAGCCAACAGACGCTCGTGTGGTAGGTATGCTAACCAGTGAGTTCATCCGTTCGATGTCTCGTCGCATCCTGCGCCTGGACCGAGCATCGAGGGCCATAGTATCTCTACGCATTCGTTGCATCATGATTCGCCGGTGTATATGTACGCTTCCCCTATTTCGCAAGGATATGGAGCATCGCCGACTGGGAGTCGTGGTGTCGGAAGTGGAGATTCTGGGCAGGGACAGGGCGGAACTTCGAAGCACGACAGATATCGGAGCGATGATTCGCGGTTCTCGGAGAAGACGTTTGCGGGTAGGAGTAAGTTCAATGAACACATCGAGTTTGACTGAGGCTGTTCTTTGTCGGACGGTGGGCTCGTCAGTTGAGAAACAGAAAGGTTGTTATGTGCTGGTGTGGGTGGGTGCGTGGGTAGTGACGGTGCTTTGACGATGCTTTAACGACCTCTCGTGTTACGAGTTTGTGCTTTGTATCCTAGTATGGACTCAACGCTCTCAAATTTTCTTGTATATTTCGTCCTGGTCGACCATTTCTCTTCTTTATTGCCTTTTCGTGTTGAGGTCCACCACCTTGTTTTTCGTACGTATTGTATCGTGCTGTATTTCTGCCCCGGCTCCTTCGTGCTGTTGTTTTACTACGAACCCTTTCGAGTTGGTTTCTGTTTCGAAAATGTACATACAAGACTCTTTTGACGTTCGTGCTCATGTTTTTCTTCGGATGCAAGTTGCATGCTTAAATCGAAGATGGCGATAGCGTGATGGCTTTAAGACCGGTCGTTCCGATTCCAATGACGAGAGCATGGTAGGAAGGCATCACAAATAATCGAGCTCAGCACTCGCATCTCGGAGAACAGCTCATAACAGTCCAGAATATAGGTGAGGATTCACACAACGAGAAAATAGGGTATATTGATCAACTTTCCACACCTCAGCATCCTTACCGACCACGCAAGGGAAGACGAAGAAGACGACAGCGCGCGACATCCTCAACTCTTCTGGAACTGTACGAACCCACCATCCTCGAGATGCTTGAGATGCTCATCTCGGTGCGCACGTACTTGCTTCTCCATACCCGAGGCCCAGATGGGGACGGCGATCTGTACATATACATTCAAATGAGGTAGGGTGAGGGAGACGGTAGTGGAAAGAACGCACGTAGGCGACAAAGTCGTAGAGACCGTCGAGGATCCAGTTGTTTCGCGGTGCGGCCTGGCGGGACGATGCCCGGAAGAGGTCGGTGATGAAGTTTCCAGTGATCTGGAAATTGCCCTTCTGTACACCTATTCAACAAACCGTAAGGCATATCAGTCATCGACAGGGCGGACGGTATGAATCAAACAACACTACCCTTGAACAAAATATCCGCTGCTTGCTCCGCCGTCAACCCATCGTCTCCTTCCTCAATCTTCAACGTCAACTTCGGCTTCAACTTATTCTCCTCCTCATATCCCTTCGTAAACATTGTCGGCGGGAAGAAAATATGGACATCTATCCCGTACAACAAAAACTCCTGCCTCAACATATCCGCCAGGCCCCTCAACGCATGTTTACCCGGTGCGTACGACGAGTATCCGGGGATAGTCATGAGTCCGAGTGTAGAGGAGACGAAGGTGATGTGCCCGGTGCGGTTTTGGGAAACCATGAGTTTTGTCACGGCATGCGCGGTGTAGGTTTGGACCCAGTAGGATTGGTCCATCCCAGAGGAAAGATCGGAAGGGGTGTATTCAAGGAAGTAGCGCGGGTTAGAAGTGCCGGCGCAGAGGAAGACAGCGTCGGGGGCGAGGCCGGAGTGTTTGGCGACGACGTCTTCAAGTGCGGTGCTGGCTTCGCTGGGGTCAAGGAGGGAGTGGGAGAAAGATTGAAAGATCTGGTCTGGAGAGACGCGGCAACCCTGGTACAAAATGATGCAAAGATTAGGATCAGCAAAAACGCTTCAAAGTATTCGGATAACACCACAAGACTGCATTGATTCTTTTAGGCAACAACGTCTATCTTCCCGACAAATCTCAGGACATATTTCGAGGATGCTTAGCAAAATCTGCGCGGCGCCACACGTCAGGGGTAGTCCTAACGCCACAACGAATCGTGGCTCAATGTCAGAGCCCATCGACGAATATGAAACAGTCGACTCAAGTAACATGAAGGAATTATTTCGTGTAGGGTATGGTCTCCACCTCACGTCTGAGAACATGTATCAGCCCACACGACCTAGAATGGAGGTGAAATTATGATATTTCGACAGCCCTCAGGCCCAAGCGAATATTAGCACTGACGAGCGCCGTTCAGATATTCAGCCGCTTGGCCGAAAATAGAATATAGGATTCTGGAATTCTGTAGCTGGCGACCCACCATGAAAGGCTGGGCCGAAAACATCCCTGTGAGGCAGAGGCTGTAACGTGTTTGCCAGGCCAGAGCCACAAAGACAATACAAGACACAGAGAGGCAAAAATTCCTATACATGAGTTAAAATTTCGACTGTTGCAAGAGTACTGCCATCGTAGGCGAAGCTCCCCACGGACATAGGCCGGCTTACTGTTGCTGTGAAGTATATCAAACAAAAATTACACCCACCTCAATCTCGGTCAGAGCAGAAGCTAGGTTCTTTTCATTCCGAGCAACAATGGAGACATGTGCGCCTTTAGAGGCCACAATTTTTGAGAGAGCAAGACCCAAGCCTGAGCTCCCCCCAGTGATGTACACATGCTGTTTGCAGCGAGCCAACGTCAGTGTCTAAGCTCGACTTGTTCAGAATCATGAAACCACTCACCTTTCCTTTCGGATCCCATTGTTTTGAATTCCAAAACATTGCCATACTGGCCTGTTAGTTCAAGATGGTCGAGGGGGTATGGGTGGGGAAGGAGAGCGCGACCGACACGACATGATGCCTGTTCTAATGTTGATACTTCGGCCGTGCGGCGTGACAGAGGTTCTTGCGCCTGTCACACTCGCAAGGCCAAAATACATTTTAGGCTATTTTAGGCCAGATATCCGTGACACTTTAGCTCCGAAAGATGCGGCATCTTCCGTTGAACAACTCCGTCATTCCAAAGCAGGCAAGGTCAACCCTGAAACGCACTTCCATCTACAGCATCAGGCAGACATGCCCTTCTACCGCCTAATTACGAGTTGCTATCTGCCTCGTTTCCTCTTCTTCTCGCTTGGACTGGCTGAGAACGGCTCAAACTGTGTTAGAGCGGCACGACACGGCGCTCGAAGAAGTGATGCTGCGAAAGTTGTTCCTCATCGATGAGCCTGCAGGCGAGATAGAACGGGACCTGCTGATGTGTGTCACCAATAAGTCTGGGTGCCGTGACGAGTTGGCTCCCCAGACCTGCGAGGCCGTGATGATGGTCAAGGCATTTGCCTACTCTTAGACGCTCATGAATTAACATAGGCTAGAAGGGGGTACTGGGGGATGGTGGACGGAATATTGCAAGCGTCTGTCCTTTCTTGCCTTCGTTCATCCACCTCCCTTGGGTCGCGCTGGACATGAGCGATCTCGCAACGCAGGTGTTCCAGTTGCAAGCTGTCAAGGTGAGTCGCCAGCGTATTGGAATTCTCCCATACAGTACGGTCTAAAACCTAAATGTGATATCGTCGCAGTATGTGCAGGGTAAGTGATAATTCAGCGAGGCAAGATCTCGACATGTGGACTAACAGAAACGTCTGCATGTGCAGTGGCGGCGATGACCCTCCTCGTGAGACCTTTCTTACTTCCATCGATGCTCCCGATGTTGTGCTCCGCCTTACATATCCGTATCTGAAGATTCACGATGCTGTTATATGCGTTGAGTCCGAGGTATCTGACTTTTACTCTTTATCTCACAAGCAGAATCTCTAAACATGCTTGTCGTGTTTTTCTTGAAGGTCCGCCTTATCTGGTCCACGCCGTGGTCGGTACCCAAAGTACTATACCTCATCAGTCGATATTCGCCTTTTGTTGATACTATACTCGACATATATGGTCTGTATTTTCAGTCATAATATATGACATAGAACTATTGATGAACGGATTGGTCGAACTGTAATATAATATGGAACAGATTATCTCGCTCCCCATCCCTCGCCACGGGTATGTTGTCATACTACCCTCCCGAGTATCGTATGTACTCACCTTCATATGCCCTAGGTCTGCTACATCACTTACAGTACATCAAGTGGTAAGCGCTCTTGGACCTATTGTTATTATTTCACATCTCATCTGAAGACTTCTCTCCTCGAGATAGTTCTCACAGCAGTTGGCGTCGCGATATCGGAACGTAGGTATCCTCACATACCCCTGTGTCTCCTCCTGATTCCTACTACCTACTGAGATCCGAATCGTCATGTCCAGTCATTCTCTTCGTGCGAACATGGGCCCTATATGATCGTAACATGAAACTTCTTTACGCCTTTTCAGCACTCTGGATCGTGAGTCGACCTTCTGCTCCATATTTTGAGTTCATTACTTATTTTATCCCTTTGTGCTCGCGTTGTTGTCAGGCTGGGTTTGCTGTAGTATGTTGGGCGGTAGGAACCTTCGTGAAATCTATCGTCTGTACGTGCTTTCCCTTAAGTTTTCCTCGGTAATCATGATCTCATGCCTTGGTTGGTGTCGGTGTGAATCTCAGTCGATCATCGTGCTCCACCACTGGACCGCCTTTCGGGATGCTATATGGCCGTCGTGGATCCTACAGTATTTCTATGTTTTGTGACGTTGTTTGTCGTGGAATTAAGTACGTCCCGTCCCTCTGCTCATATCCCGGCACTCTCGTGTGGGAAGGTGGAGGTCTTCATCATTAATGGTGATTCTTAGTACTGGTATCGTTAACGGTGTGGAAGGGTGTTAAGCTTTGTAAGTTACTTTTGTCTCTTCCCAAGGTTCTTGCGCTAAACTCAATCAACAGTGCGGCAGAGCCATTTAAGTCCACTCATGAAGAGTTTCTATCGGGAGAGTGCGTACAAAACTCGGTCTACCATCATCACATATTCGTGTGAACGAAGTACTAATCGCTCCAATTCGCATGATTAGGCATATTCTTCTACCTCGCTATATTTCGTGCGCTCGTCTTTCAACTCTTATATTCTCTCTATGGATCTGATCCCGAAACCACATACCCTCCAGCTCTGACCCTCGGAAACGTCATAATCTTCCTCGCCGCTCCCGTAAGCCCTTTACCCCCTTCCTCAAACCGGCCTGCAGCCATATATCAAATCGTCTGACTATCACTACGTATGTACACAGTCCGACCTTCTCGACCTCCTCGACACCCTGATGCGCGTAATGCACTCCATCCTCTGCTGCCGCATCCTCCTGCACCTTCGTTCCGCAGGCCACACCCATCGTCGACAGCTCGCCTGGCGGCGATCCGGATCATCAAACAATAATGAGCATCCTTTCAGTCCTTCCAGTTCCGGCTCCGATTCACGCTCAGGGGTGATATCACAAGATATGGTCTATGCATCTAATTTGGCGGGAGATGAGGATGGCGGCCATAGTGGGCAGCGTGGAACAGTGAAGAAGGTACCTGTACGTTGGGATAGGAATCAGTCTGATAGAGCGGGGGCGCAGAACACGGGGATATTTGGGATCCTTCGTGGGCTTGGGCATGCGAGGATGGATTCGGGAGGAAGTCAAGCGGGTATGTTGGCCGGTGCTGAAATGGGTCATGTCTGCACTCGTTATTTTTGAGTGAGGTCTGAGTATTATACATGTATGTGGTGCATGAACGAGCATGATGAAAAGGCCGTGAATAAGTTAGGTACAGTCAATTACCCCGTGGTGGGCCAGTACCCCGTAATGGGTCACCTACTGTTTACGGTGAGGGCTGGCATCGAAAGGCCAAGAATGCTATGATATCATGCTCCAAAGCTTCGAATGGGAGCACAACTCCACCATATGAGGTGTCGAGCGCCCGCATTTGGAAGGTGACCCATTACGGGGTACTGGCCCACCACGGGGTAATTGACTGTAGTAAAAGTAGATAGATTGTGAGCACGTAGTAATCGTACAGTCCCTCGAGTATATCCTGGTATAGGAAGCAAAACGCGTAAGAAACTCAAAGAAAAGAAACAAATATCATCTCATCCTTCGCATCTCATAAACTTCGTGTCCCTCTCCTGTCTCTGGACCAAACATCCCGCCTGCACCAACAGTCCGACTCTCCAGATCCCTAGATTGATCGTACCCGTACAGTTCCTCCGCTCTCCATTCCTCGTGTTCGTTCCTCGCTGCTATATCGTGATCCTGACCATGTCCGTCTTCGTAGCCATACTCGTCACCGTTACCACTGGGCCGAATGTCCAACACGCGCTCCTCGTCCTCATTGTGGTGATGACCTCGTGTCACCTCGTTCGGACAGTGCGGGAACACGCCCAATTCCCCATAGTTTCTTCCCATTCAAGCTCTAATAAATCATGTTTTTTTTTTTGTTAAATCGCCCCTAGATCATTTTCGAAGTCGTCTGGCTACAATCATAGCAGTGGGACATCGAATGGGGAGGGGGCATTTCCGACACTTTGGCGGGCGCGGCCAGTGTTCGAACGACAGTTGCCGGACAACACCTTCTGAAAAATCTACAACAAAATTGGACATGTAGGTAAGTTAGAGTAGAGGGCACCCCGTGTGCCGTGTTTCATAGCAAGAGAACTTAATCAATCACAACACTAACAGCTGGGCCGAAATGCCTCGGCCCTCAAGAGGCATAATGGTGCCTAAATAAAAGCAATGATGAAGACAAAAGGTTAAACCTACAAACAAATTATGCCAGAAATACCAAGAAATACATCCCAAATATTCATCAGTAGAAGACACGCAGCACACTACATTGGACCATTCAAAGAACCCACATTCACCCTATCCTTTTCATCTCATAAACCTCTTGCTCCTCTACTAGTAGTCCCCTTTCCAAATCCCGCGATCTGAGAGATTTTGTCCTATGACGATATAACTCCGCTCTCCGATCCTCCTCTACGACTCCGTGATCATAGGGGTCATCAACGCCATTGCGAGCTTGATAGTAGTTATCGGATCTGATATCAAGGACCTGCTCCGAGTCCTCTCTCTCTTGGCTCTCCTCAGCTTGGTGTGCAGCCAGCATACTGACCCGACTACCTCCCGACCCCACCTTCGTGTGACACGCAGCAAACACACCACTCTTGGACCCAAACATTCTCTTCACACTCCGAGTAGCCTTCGGTCTGTCTGACTTTATTTTCTCTTTCTCCCATCTCACAGACGCCGTCTTTCGATCCGTACCCCTCTTAACTCCATCGCCGCCACCATCGCTGCTCTCTCTACCCTCCCCACCCACACCCTGGCCGCCCTCGTCCATACTATTCAAAGTCTCTCCCGCCACAAGTCGTTTGAAAGCGATATCGCGGGATACTTCCCCCGAGCGTGATGATTGCTGTTGAGAAGGATTGGACGAGGAGGAACCTGACCCTGCGTGACGCCAGGCGATGTTTCGACGATGTTCGTGGCCAGCGGAACGGAGGTGGAGGAGGATACGGCAGCAGAGGATGGAGTGCATGACGCGCATGAGGGTATCAAGCAGGTCAAGCAGATCTGACTGCACACATAAACGTGAACATGAGGTGAAGATAAAAATGTAAAATGAGGGGTCTTACTGGAGCGGTGGAAAAGATTATAACGTTGCCGACGGTTAGGGCTGGAAGAAAGAAGTGAGGAGTTAGGGAGCTCGAGGTCAGGCGATTATCGTGGAGGAGTGATTAGTGCAAATTAGTGAGCTCACGAAAAAGAGCGAGATAGAAAAGAATGCCTGACATTGGAGAGATTCAGTCGGTATCCGATTCAGTTGATGATAGAAAATATACGCACTCTCTCGATAGAAGGACCTCATGAGCGGGCTCAGATGACTTTGTCGCACTACTCCTCGTTTCAGCAACCGTGACTCTTTGCGATCTAGTTCCACAAGTGATAATACAAAACAGTTTAACTCACGGAGCTTGACGCCCTTCCATACCGTCAATGACACCAAGACTGTAAACATCGTCAGCACGAGAACTGGCATCTTCACGCGAACTAGGTCCTCAGACTTGATGAAGTCACGGGGAAGCCGTACCCAATTCGACTATCAGCAGTGTAACAAAGCATAGAAACACCGTAGGATCTACGACGGCCATGAAACATCCCGCAACACGATCCAACGGCGCTGCACGATAGCCAACTAAGAGTTGGTATGATTTACCATGTAAGCACCACCAATCGAAAAAGAAATTATATCGACGAGCACCTACAGACGATAGATTTGACGAATGTCGCTACTGCCCAGCATACAACGGTGAATCCAGCCTATATAGAAAAACGCAGGTGAGCCATCTGACACTGATCGCGAGCACGAGAAGGCGACTTACAATCCAGAGTGCGGAGAAAGCGTACAGAAGCTTTGAGTTGCGGTCCCAGAGTGCCCAAGTTCGCACAAAAAGGATGACTTTGTAGATGAAGTATGAGCCTTGTTCTGATGGCAGGAGATTGCTGATGAGGCTGCCTACTTTCGGAAATGGCGACACCGACTGCTGTAAGAACTATCGAAACGAAATCAGATGATATAACATGTAAAAAGATAAATTCCGACATACCGCTGCCTACACTGTATGTGATATAGCAGACCTGATCCACGTAGAGATGAGCATATTATACAGCTGCGATGCAAGGTTATCTCGTACGTGTGGCGAAGGATGGGGAGCAAGGTAATCTGTCCCACGTCACAATACCGATGAGACGTCTCAATTATGTGCACAGCAGATACAGCACTTGTGGCACATACCATAGATGTCAATCAGGGTATCGAGGAAAGGCGAGTAACGACTGACGAGGTATAATACTTTGGGCACCGACCATGGCGTTGACCAGATCAGGCGGACCTTGAACAGACATCAAGATCGCCAGGAAGAGTTGAAGAGTATGATGAATTACCTCGGAATCAACGCAGATAATAGCATCGTGGACCTGCAAATATCAACACGTAAGTCAGGGTACAATATCGAGAATAACGATGTCGAGGCCAGATGGGAACATACCAGAAGGGTCAACGACGCCACTGCGGCCGTGACACATTCAAACTTCTTGTCAGCACAGATGGTGACTTCTCTTACAAGGATTGCTTACCCTGAACATACTATAGCGGCCACGCTTTCGGTCTTCCACTACGCATGGACTAGAAATGGGCAGCTCACCTTGACCGCCTGAAGTTGGAATGCCTGCGTCGAAACGTCTCCCATGGCCACAGCGCTGTGAAGATGGTGGGGGAGTGAAGGGAAGACAAATCAGACCAACTCTCTTTCATGGCAGCGTCTACTGGGAAGATGGCTTCAAGATCCTCCATCACGCGCACGGCCGGTGCGGGCACATGTAGCAGTTCTGAACTTGAAGCAGCCAACATCAGAACACACAGCCCTACCCAGCCTCAGGCCTCAGGCCTCATCCATGTTGGCCATCAACCGCTGCTCTTGCCATCTTTCCTGGAGCCGAAAATTACCTTTCCCGTTCGACTCCTCTGCACGATCACACGTTGATGTTCCGTACCATCATCCGCTCTAACACAAGAAGTATCCTAGTAGCCATTCGCAGCCAGTCTAAGCGCGACGATAGGGAGAGAATGGAGCGGAATGGGACCGGCTCTCCTTGAACAGTACTCGCAGCCACTATACTCAGGTTCGTCGATACATTAGTGCACTTACTTGGTGCCCCTCTCGGCACTGGCAGTTGTGGAAATAGCAGTGTGTGTTTGGCGGAAGAAGCCGGCGTCGACCCTGGAATAGGGGCAGTATTTTGGGCGTGACTCGTCACTAAGGTCCTCTCGTCACAGATCCCGCTCGAAGCTGCTCGAAGGGCATCAACACCCCTGCGAGCATCATGCCCCTCCCGCTCTCTCCCCATCTCCAACCACACTGTCTGGACCAGCGATTAAAATTAAAAAATGTTTTGGAACTCTACAAAGTGGGATCCGAATGGCCAGGTGCGTCATTAATATTTACATTTGCAGGAAACGCAGCGTTGACTTCAAGTCCGAACAACTTAGCATGTATACATCACTGGCGGCAGTTCAGGCTTAGGCCTCGCACTCGCTAAAATTGTCGCCTCGAAAGGCGCACATGTCTCTATCGTAGCCCGTAATGAAAAGAATCTTGCGACTGCGTCGACTGAAATTGAGGTACGTACGACTTTTGTCAAACTTTTGTCGTGGGCTTCATAGTATGAGGCAGCGGCTACTGGTAGCGCTCTATGTACGGAGCAAGCTCAATCGCTCAATGCATTATGCATTATTTCTCCCGGCCTGCCGAGTTCAAAGTTGGTGGATGCATCTGTACCGCATTCACCTACCATGGGTTCGGGCTTGTCGACGTCCACCAGCGTCCACCCTGCCATCCCGGTACACTTCGTAATGATGGGTCAGCGCTTAGCCAGGGCCTATTTTGGTGCAACATCTGCCCGGCGTCGAGCTCTCTATTCCCATGCGGCAATGATGCGCCACAACTCATCGCGGCGTTGATTCTATTCATAGAAGACTTGTATAGATTGATTACTTGTCCATATATTATAACTTCTACTATTGGATATCGGAAGAACTGTACTCATCCGGTTTTGTATGCCATCCTATACTAGGCCTGCCGCGTCTCCTCAGACCAAATATTTCAATCCTTCTCCCACTCTCTCCTTGAGGCAGCCGGAGCAACCGCAGCGCTCGAAGACGTCATCTCCAAACACTCCGGCCTCGCCCCCGACGCTGTCTTCCTCTGCGCCGGCTCTTCTAACCCGCGATACTTCCTCGAATATACCCCTTCCGACCTCTCCTCCGGGATGGACCAAGCCTATTGGGTCCAAACCTACACCGCGCACGCAGTTACAAAACTCATGGTTTCCCAAAACCGTACCGGACACATCACCTTCGTCTCTTCCACACTCGGACTCATGACCATCCCCGGATACGCGTCGTACGTGCCTGGTAAACATGCGCTGAGGGGGCTGGCGGATATGTTGAGGCAAGAGTTCCTGTTATACGGGATTGAAGTGCATATTTTCTTTCCGCCTACGATGTTTACGAAGGGTTACGAGGAGGAGAATAAGTTGAAGCCGAAGTTGACGCTGAAGATCGAGGAGGGAGACGATGGTTTGACGGCGGAACAGGCGGCAGATATTTTGTTCAAAGGTGCGTTGTTGGGTTTCCTCTTCCTGTCAAGTACAGTGCGAGGCTATGATTGATGTGCTTGTACGGTGTGTTTGGATAGGCGTCCAAAAAGGCAACTTCCAGATCACTGGGAACTTCATCACTGATCTCTTCCGAGTATCGTCACGCCAGGCCTCACCGCGACACAACTGGATTCTCGACGGTCTCCTCGACTTCGTCGCCTACGTGTGTTTCTTTTTCTTCCTCATTCTCTTTCACGTTTCCCGCGGATCGAGCCTAACATACGCGCATGGACCATTGTGGCCCCATCACTCAATTTCGTTACGCAGATCGCAGTCCCGGTCTGGGCCACCGGGATGGAGAAACAAGTGCGTGCGCACAGAGAAGAACATCTCAAACATCTCGAAGACGGCGGGTTCGTGGAGTTCCAGAAGCAGTCAACAAAGTGAGCATCGACGGCGCCTGCATGTCGTGCGTGGCCCTCTCGAAATCTGCGACTTGTTCGTTCTTGGTATTTATGTGTCGGGATCTTTGCTAATGGTAAGGATGGTGGATGTGATGAATGTGATCATGGTATACCCTCTTCTTCTGTGTCCGTACTGTTTTGTCGTGTTTCTCAGGCTTTCGAGCTATATTTAGATCGCCCGGCATCGTCTACTTAATATTGCTTTTTAAATCATTGTCCGACCAGTCGGTGGTCCATCGTATCGTTGCTCATACGAGGTTGCGACCGAGTCCTTACGCGAGTGAAATTTTATAAGCTAACACTGGGCAAAAACACTTTCTGTGCTCAAAGCCCACTGTTCGATGCCAACCTCGGAATAACGTTGTGTCAGTCTCCGTGTGTGCAAATAGAGTTGGGACCTCAGACCCGTAACGTCAGTACAATACGCGATACCATTTCGTGTCAACGCTTCAACCATTATATATTATAAGAACATTATGTTTACCGATCAAAACAGAACGTCGTCCACAGCCAGAAGCAAAAATAACAACAACAAAGCACGTCAGTTCAGCCCTACGCTCATCCCTCAGTCCTCGGCCTTCCATCTTCTCCCAACTCTCGACAACCACTCCCGTACAACTACACCGACCCTAAAACTCCCCCCTCCACCACGCCCCTGGTCTTCCCCCTCCCCCAATCGTCCTAACAGCCCCACTACTCTGACTCCCCTGCACCCCCGTCCCATTCCCAACCCCATCGCCACTAAATATCCACGCCCCGCTCCCCACACTTCCGAAAACCAAATTTCCCCCTTCCTCATCCAGAGACGCAGAGCCATTATAGGTCATCACGAGGGTCGGTGCCGGTGTTACGGTGCTAGAGCCGGAAAGAGAGAGATTGAGGGCGGAGAGCGGGACGGATGTGGTGTTATAGTTTAGGTTCGTGGCGAGGATAAGTTTTGACGTCGTTGACGAATTGGAAGAAGACGTGGTATTGAGTGTCCATATCCCAACATCGACCCTCTCATCCGTCACCACATGCTGATAACTCGACATTGTTCCATTCTCATTGGACGAAGGATACGGCAATATATAAGGCGTGATAGTAGGCAACGCGAGCGCGAAGGCTGACGAGGCCGCTTTGATGTCGTCTGTCGTGGGGTCGGACCAGGAGACTACGCCGAGTGCGCCTGCGTTTATGGCTACTATGGCTTGGACGAGCCATTCGAGGCCTGTGGGGTTTCGGGGCCAGTATCTGTGTAAATTAAGAGGTTTGTGGGTGATAAATGAAGTTGGATGGAAGAAGGAAAGGGAGGGAGATGGACGTACTCTGCTTCGCCGAAAGCTTGTGGGACCGTCCATACACTACGTCGGCGACAAAAAGCAACATCCAAAGATCAGTATACACTCGCATCGAACAATCGAAAAAAAGAAAAGAAAAAAAAAAACTACCTCTTCGTCCTCTCCATGCCCAAAGCCTCCAACCTCTGCCCAAACACCTCCACCCTGTTCCTAACATCTTCGAACCCCCCTGCACAATTATCACACCCACAACACCCCTGCTCCTCATCACACACCGTGTCCCACGTCACACTCCAGCTCACATTATTCCCTACACTATACGCATCCTGCATCACCACGTCCACGCCGTCCACATAGCCCTCGAAATAATAGTCCGCGCAGTTAAGGACGAGCGAGATGGGGCGGTAGGGGTCTATGGAGCGTATGAGTGCGGAAGTGGAGGAGGGGGATGAGGATCCGGTGGTGGGAACGGAGGTGCCGTCGGGTTCGTCGGTTGTGTAGTAGAGGAGGAGGGAGCGGCGGGAGGTGAGTTGGGAGAGCTGAGAGGTTACGGAGGTGTGGTTTTGGAAGGTGCTGCGAGTGAATGGATGAGTTAGGATGTGTGGGTGAAGAGGTAGAGGCTGAGAAAACGAAGAAAATAAACGTACTTGCGCATGTCATACATGAGGTAGAGCCCGAGTTCTTCCATCTTGTCGAGTACAGCATTGAATCCAGCTGCATTGTCGGAAAAAGGATCTGTGTCGGGAATAGGATGGATGATGTTGAAACTGCGATATGAATGAATCAGTTTATATGGAAAAAGCGCCAAGATTGTAATAAGTAGGCAACGGTGCTACCGCGACGCCACTCAGACTGAAGCTCTGAAGTAGAAAGCCAAAAATAGGCCAGTCACCGTGCGCCACACAGCCCCTATTCGTTCTACCAAACCACGAAACGAACATGCCATCAGCAGATATGACTCACCCCTGTTCCTTCAACGTCTCCAACACACTCACATTCCCCACCAACCAATCAAAACTCGTATAATATCCCACAGGAAACACCGCTTCGTACCCGTTCGCATCTCCCCCACTGCTTGCACCCTGTCCAAAAGGTTTCGCAAGCAACCCTCCTGTCCGTAAATCCATCTTCGTCACGCTCCCGATGGACGAATTGGGTTCGGGGAGGTAGTATAGTTGAGTCTGCGCCGAGAACGTCTGCGAACCGTCTGTAGTCGATGCGGAACAGGTGATGTTATACGCCTCCAGACTCGGTTCTATAGACAGATCCGAAATCTGAAACGTCAAGTCCGTCGTCCCATTCAACCATACCGTCCCCTTTGCGAACTCCGTCCCTCCAATACTTGCCGTCACATTCAACAATTGCCCTTGTCCGTCATTGCCGTCGAGCGTGATGTCCTCTGCACCGGCTATGGCTTCATAGCGAAGTAAGGCATCTACGATGATGCTTGTTTGGAGAGACGAGTCTTCGGGGAGGTAGGGACGGAGGGCGGGCGTGCAGCGGAGTGCGAGGAGGGGTGTGAGTGAAGTGGTGGGTTGGGTAAATTGGCCGGTGGGGGGAACTACGGTTTCATTTTTCATGTAGACTTTGCCGCACCTGGGAGCAATGCGGAAGGATAAGGTAAAGTTGCGAAAGAGAGAAAATGAGTTGGGGAGAGGATATGACATACCATGTCTGGGCGTGCACGAGCGAGATGAACAACGAAATGAACGAGTATTCTCGAAAGAGGATCTTCATTCTTTCCTTCAATCAGTTCTTGGGCTTGTTGTTGGGTATCAAGAGATGGGGGTATCAGTGGCCGGAAAACAGGGTAGGCACCCCTCAGCTATTATAGTCGACCAAGAACACTATACTGTCGGATGACAGGGTCAGGTTTGTCGGACCACTCCAACAGAAGTGGAAACGCCTACGATAGACGGTCTCGTGGCTATGTACTTCAGCTAGAAGAAGTCTACAGCCAAAAAGCAGGCCGCAAGACGATGCAGCCAAAGTGTTCAAGCTGAGCACGAGGGAATTGGACAACAAGAATAACAACCACCAGGAATGAACAGAAAAAACTCAAGTCGGATCGGGCTGCATGGGGAAATGCTCGGAAGTCGAACTCATGACGAGCGCTTGTTGCTCGTGGCTTGTTGCCCGGAGGAGAAACTGTGGAGACGGAGGCAGGCGCAACGGAACCCACGGAACCGGAGCATCCACGTGGAGGTCCCGAGAGGGTCATTGTGGCGTCTGTGTGGCGTGCACATGGACTTTCTGTACCCGCACAAAGACTGGAGTAAATATTGTTGAGACAAAAAAATACTCTGATAAAAGCCTTACTCTATCTCATGATGATATCATCAATTAATATCGCTTCTCGATGAGACACTGACGTATGCAGACTTCAGGAGATGAGGATAATTTGGAACTGATGAACGATGGGCCTAGGCTGGGCCTAACGTCTGGGAGTTGCAGTATATTAGGAGTATATCACGTTAATGCGAGGTCTCAGATCCTAACCATATGTTGTATATTACTACTACGGAGCGATGTATGTGCACTAATAATACTGAGTACAGCAGCCACCGGTGATCGGAGGACTCTCGGAGTGACAATGCATATACCTTACTTGACATCAAAAGTAATCAGTCGTCGACATCTTCAGAAATGCTCGGAGCAAAAGAGAGTCTGCTAGCAGAGAGAACCGATGTGTCATAGGGCAATTCATTCTGGAATGAGTGAGATCAAGGATTAGTATCGTACCGACCAAACCTGAATGAAATAAGGCTTCGACTGTGGGCGAAGACTCACCTTATCTGAGGTAACAAGTTTCGCTCCCCTCTTCCGCAGGAGTTGCACGACGGCTCGTTTGTTCTTGTAAAGTGCGGCCGATAGTGCGCTACCGTACTTGCCCGACTGTAAATTGATATCCGCCCCATATTTGATGAGAAGATGTATGATAGTAATATGGCCACCAGAGGACGCCGCTTGGAGTGCGGTGCCATAATCTCCTCCTTCTGCGTTTACCGAGGCCCCTTTGTCAAGCAGTAGTTGCACAATATCGTCCATACCATGATATGACGCGGATTGGAGTGAGGTGCCCCAGTTACTACCGATGTGAGCGTCCACATTATACCCATTTTTGAGCAAGATCTTCACAACTTCTCTGCGACCACGATCTAAAGCCGCATAGAACGCATTCCCGTAGATACCACCCTGAGCATTGACATTGACCCCCTTTTCCAGCAGGAGTTGTACGATCTCCTTATGACCTCCGTGTGAGGCTGCTTGAAGCGGATTGCCATAATGACCACATAGTGCCCCTGGGCTGGCCTTCTTGTACAGTAATAGTTGTACGACATGCATGTGACCACCGGTCGACGCTGCCTGAAGGGCAGTACCGTACTTGCCGCCCTCTATATTTACCTCGGCGGCTTTGTCGAGTAATAGCTCTACAATGGATATGTTGCCAACAAGAGCTGCTGCTTGCAACGCGGTACCGTACTGACTTCCCTCCACATTCAGATTGATCTGAGCCCCTTTCTCGAGGAGCTCCTTCACGATACTTTCGTGGCCGTGGAATGATGCAGCCTGCAATGCACTGCCATAAAATCCTCCCTGAGCATTTATTGAGGCCCCTCTCTCTAGAAGAAGTTGGATGATTTCCTTGTGGCAAGCCAGTTCGATGAACTCCCGACTCCGGAATATATTGATCAAGCCGTTGTCGTGCGGATCGCGCCCAGATTGTTTCGCGCGCCGAAGGTCCTCGACATGTCTGTGTAGAGCCTCATATACGACCGTACTAAAATCACGGTACCCTGGATCTATATCCTCGTCTGGCTCTTCATCGATGTCGAGAGCCATTGACATGCTGTGAATTTGACCCCCACACGATGCCGCCTGGAGGGCATTTGCGTATTTACCTCCATGCGCATTGACGTCTGCCCCTTTCTCTAGCAGATACTCGACAATGTCTTTCTGTCCGCCTCGTATTGCTGCTTGAAGGGAGCTACCAAATTCTTGCCCTTGGTCGTTGACCTCGGCATGATTTGCAAGGAGAAGCTCTACGATGTCCCTATGGCCGTGATGAGATGCTGCCTGGAGAGCGGTGCCGTATCGACCACCCTGGCTATTCACATCAGCCCCGCTATTGAGAAGCAGTGTAACAACATCCTGGTGATTGGTAGCCGATGCAGCCTGGAGTGCATTGGAGTAGATTCCACCTTGTGTGTTGATCTCTGCACGATTATCAATAAGAAGTTGTACGATTGCTATATGGCCGTGATATGCTGCCGCCTGCAGTGCATTTCCATACCTGCCGCATCCAGTATTGATGCTAGCACCATTATCGAGCAAGAGCTGTACAACGCCCATGCTGCCACCATCTGCAGCTGCTTGCAATGCAGTACCATAGAAGCCCGCTTTCTTGTTAATCTCTACTCCACTACGAAGGAATGTATGAACAATGTCCTCGTAACCAGTGTATGAGGCTGCTTGCAGTGCATTACCATATCTGCCGCACTGAGAATGAATATCGGCGCCTTTGGCGAGGAGCAGCAAGGCTATGTCTTTGTGACCCTTGTATAATGCAGCTTGAAGGGGGCTACCGAAGTAGCCGCCCGGTGCATTCACATCAGCTCCGTTCTCGAGCACATGCTGTACAACGAATTGGGCGCCGTGAACCGTGGCACAATACAAGAGCGTCGGGGTGGGCTGTTCTCGATATGCAAAGTCACGATGCACCCTCCAGTGCCACACCCAGCTGCCAAGCATCTCGGTATGCTCGTTTATTTCTAGTATAGCGTCACGGAGAGTGTTGTTGGGTTTCGCCACGCGTGATAAATGCGTCATCCAATAAGTGGCTGCATATAGCTCTAGACAAAAGCCGTCATGTTCATGCGCGCTCGTGAGATATACAAGGCAAGCATGTGCAAGGATCTCATGCGCTAGGTCGGCATCCAGGAAAAAGTAGCTATCCCGTATCCGACTCTGTATCAAGTATTCCTTCACCGATGCGTGAGCCAGCTGTACATGTATACCATTCTGGTAATCGACACGTTTGTCCACCAGGCTGGAGCAGGTCTCGAGAACGTAGCTGGAGCTGAACGGTCGTTCCTGATCACTGAAGTGAGGTTTTTGAGACATGTCGTCGAAGTGGAGTGTTAAGGTCATAGTCTCTGCAGCCTCATTCATTGTGAGAGGGCGGAGTGAAAATGCTAGCCAGAGTAGTATACGTTTGGCATATGCACGGTCATCCTCTGGAATTGCCATCAGAGTACGTTCATAGGTCTCGTCAAGAGTCCGAGGGAGAGTTTTCAGAGCCTCAAGAAGTTTTGCTGGAGTACCGCATTTCTGAAGGGCCTCGAGCTGGCAGAAAGCCCATCTGAACCTAGTATAGCATGCAATATTGAGCGTCAGCTGGAGCCGTGAAACTCAAAAAGAATACGCACATTCCATCAGCATCATGAACCAATTTCTTCTCGATTGTGGCACGGTCGGTCCTGTGTAACACTTTGAATCTCGTGTGGGCGTTATCTCCATAGAGCGAACTCTTGATATAGCGTGCAATGTCTCGATGAACTCCGACATTAATCCCAAGGTCAATTCGGTGTCCGCGAGAGACATCTTCAGCGATGGCGTTGTGAATGGAACCCGTTGGACGACTGGTGAGCACGATGTGTACACCCGACATAGCAGATTCAAGAAGTGACTTAAGAAACTGGGTCACACGGCCCGACTCCAAGTCAGAAGCGCATTCGTCGAGCGCATCGACAACGATATAAACATGCTCAAAACTCGGTAGCATGTCGTGAAATGTCGACTGCAGCTCATCGAGAGAAAAATCCTTGCGGCCTAGGGTCTTCTGGTGAAGACGCTCAAGTGCAGCAGGGATCCCAGGAGAATAGTCCAGCAATTGCCTGCAAAGCGATAGAAGCAGACTCTCGCATGATTGTTGTGCTGGATGACGGAAGTCGAAGTAGTGGTAGGCAAGGGCGGCGGAGCTCTGTCCCTCTCTGATGACAGTGTAGCGTAGGCGGTTAATGATGGTGGAGCTGAAAGAGCGAGCTTGACGTTAAGAGAAATCGGCTTGTAAGAAGATGTTATACGTACCAGAGGACGCTCTTGCCACAGCCCGCTAAGGTAAGTAGTGCATCATTGAATAAGTAACAGTTTCGGATAGGTAGAAATTAAGTGACTCACGCTTTCCCATGAGATATAGAGTCGATACCGTCCCATCTTTCCACTCCTTAAACTGTGATGAATCCAAGAGCCAAACACCAGTGTCCTTCGTGTGTCTGTCGCGAGCCTGCTTGTGGTTTTGTGGCATGTCTGGGGCGTCCAGCCATGCAATCAACGTCTGCCGTGTTTGAGCGTCTGCCACCGAAGTCTGTTGAATACGACTGCATTTTTCCAGATTGAGTTTGACGAGACGTACTCTTAACGGTTTGTAGTTCGTCGGAGTATCGAATGACAGCGGATCTTATATCTTCGACTGTCGAGGAGTTGTCTGTGGACCAATCAGAAGCTAATATGGTGACTTGATATCATATTACTCACCGCCGAACTTTTCCGCGGCATCGCAAATACGAATGAGTATCTGCCTCACGGTCTTCTTCCCCTCAACGTCGAGTCCACTGCTATCTAGGGTCACGAGTAAAACATTGAGTTACTTTATTCCCAGTAACGACTTAAAATATCAGAAGTACCTCCTTTCTGGTTTGCCACTTCTCCGAAGATGTCGGTGCTTATAGAGAGTATAGTCGCAGATACCAGGCTGTGTTCTTGTTTTATCAAATTTTCAAGCTTTTCAAGAGACTTTGCTACGGCGCCATTCTGGCCTATAAGGACCTTGATGAATTGGACTTGATGTACGAGTCAGCACGTATTCATATATCAGTAAGCTCAGACTCACGCCCTCGCCCAGTCTTGATAGCCTTTGTCGCGTTTCCGAAAATAACGAGCATGTGCGCCAGGGTCTTGACCATGTTAGTTCTGATGGGAATAGGGACATCGTGGCTAACGTAGATCTTGTAGCGTTCGAGCATGTTATTGAGGTTATCGAAGAGATCGACGATGTAATCGTAGCTTTTCTCAACGTCCTTCGCGGCCTACGTGGAAAAGTCGCGATGTCCCAGTCAGTATTTACATCTTCGGATCCATAAGCGCAGAGATGCGGAAGACACACCGTGATCAGGAAGCTGATTGCCTTCAATATCGGCTTTGCTATCCCTGCGTCCTGTGACGTTCAAGAGACGACAATGAGCGCCACCGGATCGATGCTCAAGAAGGAGAGAACCTCGATAAATCTCACCGGACTAGGCACAAGCGATAGTCCTTCCCCTGCTCCGTCGGATATCTGGTTGATAATCTCAAGGAAGGGTTTCAAGGCATTGCGGATTGACTTCCCCTTCTTCCGAAACGCAGCGAAACGGTCCTGGCGTTTCGTGATCTCCTCCATCAGTTCATCGATGTCGAGAGGGACGTCTTTCAGATCATCGATCGTAACGTTTGTCTCTGATTTATACCTCGTCTTTGCGTCTAGCATTATCGCTGCGAACTGTGCCTCCGAAGGGCCAACGTCGCCAGTCTCTTCTTGAGCAGGAGCGGCCATGGAGAACAGAAAACCTAGGGGTGATGGTGGTGGTGCAGTGATAGTAGCAGTCGTGGAAGAGGCGCCAGCGGAGCCTGAACCAATCGATCTGTGGCGTATATATGGGCTTTATAATGTAGTAATATACTAAGAATAGAGCGTTTTCGCTGTCGAGTGCGACAGCTGTTGCGCGGGTGGGGCTGTCGAGGTCCGTGTAAGATCTGTTGTGGAGCGAGCCTAACAGCACCTTCCACGACTGGATGCTCCTGGTGGCTAGTCTCGTTTCCAGACGTTATGGAGGTGATAGACCGGCGGCGGCCTACGGGTAAACAAGTCTCCGAGAAATCGAGAGCGACGGAAGCAAAAAACGCGAGCGATTTCTGGATCAGGTACGGAAAGAAACGAGTGCACGATCACCTCCATAACGTCTGGTGCAATTGGTAACGGGAAGGGGTGGTCGGTGTGACATTGTCACAGATGCTTAGCAACACACGCGAGGACGCGTCTTGACGCGTCCTCCGTTGATCGTGAATCTCAGTGCACCGTGACTGGCCTCGTCATGTCGGGGCTCGAGCGTACCTCCCGTATCCTGTACTCTCACTTTCGCTCTGTCCGGGACCCTTCTCTGCTTATTCCTCCGCTATGCCTACTGCTGAAGAATCTTCAGAAGAACAGGCACGCGCTCGGGCTCACAAGATTCAAAGCGACCTTTCCCAGTCGCTTCTCCAAGCCGCACGCGATGAAGCGAAGGCTAAATATGGCTACGATTCCGAGGCTACACGTAACGAGATGATAGAAGATATCAAGAGGCGATCGCACGGGAAGATTAACTTGCATCCATGGCAAGTCGACATCGGAGAAGCACTCCATCTCGGTCTCGACGTCGAGGCTATCGCAGGGACGGGAAGCGGCAAGACGATTCCCATGGCGCTGCAACATTGTCTTTCTCGGAACGGTATGAAGAAGGTCACGATCGTGATTTCTCCGCTCAATGTTCTGGAGGAGGACCAGGTGCGTGTTTCCTCGTCGATTCCCAACTTTGACGTTTCTCATGTCCGTACAAATTCCAAGGCTCGTCGCTTCAGGGCTCTTGGGCTATCCGCTGTTGCTGTGAATGGAAAAACTTACAATGCAAAGCTTCAAAGGGTACGTGGCTCTTCCTTCTCTTGTAATAGTTGTATGAATTCATGTTACTCAATTTGGGTGCGACAAACAGGAGATCGCACGAGGGCGCTACCGAATCATCATCACATCACCAGAGATGTCGCTCCTCCACAAGGAGTTCCGAGCGCTCCTCAGCGACCCGAAGTTTGCGAAGCGAATCTGCGCATTTGTCATTGACGAGGCGCACTGCATCAAGCTTTGGGGAGAGAAGAAGTTTCGGGAGATGTACTTTCGGTTGGGTGAGCTGCGAGCATACGTTCCGAACCACATCCCCTTCCTCGTCACCTCCGCCACTCTCACTCCCTCCGACCTCACCGACATCCGAAAATCCGTCCACATGGAGCCCTCGAAGACGTTCCACAGCAACCTTGGCAACGACCGCCACAACATCTCATGGAGTGTTCGCTACATGACAGGTAGCAAGACCGATTTCGATTCCCTCGACTTCCTGCTCCCGAACGATCCGAATGCGACGACGCTCGAGCGCGGCCTTGTTTTCTTCGACGACATCAAAATCTCAATGCACGCGTATCGCCACATTATATCAAAGCTCCCGCCACATCTCAGGTCCAGGGTCGCGTTGTACCACGCTCGAAGAGGAGAAAAGTCGAAGGCGAAGGCGTACAGGGAGTTCGAGAAAGGGAACATAGATATTTTATTCTGTACAGAGGCAGCAGGCATGGTGCGTGACTATTATATACATAACACCATGGGCCAACGCTAACTATTGTATGTCTAGGGTTGTGACTTACCGCGTGTCGATTTCGTTGTACAATTCATGGTCCCAAAATCCCTTTCGATCTGGCTCCAGCGTGCCGGTCGTGCTGCGAGAGCGATAGGCACCCAGGGCCGTGCATATTTGCTGGTCCAGCCGTCTGTTTTTCAAGAGAAGAATAAGAGTCAGCGGAAGGAGGACGACGAGGTAGAGTTTGTGAAGACTGTGGAGGAGTACTTACGGAAGTGGATTGAGACAAAGGATTGCCGGAGGGATGTCCAAGACGGCTGTTTCAATAACCCACCAGGCCGTAAGAGTAAGGGCTCTCGCTAGTGATCATTACAACTCATGCTGATGCACTTGACCAGGACCAACCGGGCCTTGCTGCGACAATTGCCAGTTGAAAGATGCTCAAGCCGAGCAAGAGCGTCGCCGTGTTGATTGCGAACGTGAACGTGAGCTCGAGGCGGCGGAGCTCCTCTTACTGGGCCACCCTCGAGGCCACCCTGCTGAACTCAATCTCGAAGCTCTCGCCCATGCCCCTATCACTCGAGATGCCGAAGATATCGACAACGATGACGAAGACCACGACGACATTCGCTCCCAAGCTTCTGAAGATACCGTCAGCGATTCGCCAAACGTATCCGGTAAGCGCTCGCGGCGAAACCCTGCCACACGACGTGGGCCCCGTCGTAAAGTTGCTCGGGACGCTATCATTCGCTGGCGTGCGCAGACGCTGTACAGACGGTATGCGAACGCACCTTGGAGCTTAGAGGGCCTCGTGCCCGACACCGTTGTGACAGCCTTTGCGGCGAACTCCTCGTGGTCTTGCGTCAACGATATCCCAGAATCGGCAGTCCCACGCAAATGGTGGGCTTTGGATCGTCACGGAGATGAAATCTTGGGACTACTGAAGAAGGTCGATGAGAGGTTTGAGGCTGAGATGGTGGCGAGGGCGGAGGAAAAGAAGCGCGAGACAGAGCGCCGGACTGCGGAGGTGAAAGCACGGAAGGCGGTGGAAGCAGAGCGGTCGAAGGCTTTGAGGGAGGCGGAGCGGGAGGTGAAGAAGATCGAGGACGATAGGAAGAAGGAGTTGGCGAGGGTAGAGAAAGAGCAAAGGAAGGCGGTGGAACGAGCTGAGAGGGAGGCCGCAAAGCAGATGAAGAAGGCGCAGGAGAAGGCTCAGAGAGACGCGGAGAAGGCGGTGAAGAAGGCAGAGAAGGACGCAGAGAAGCAGAGGGAGCGGGAGGCAAAGGAGGCAATGAAGGTCGCAGAGAAGGCGAGAAAGGCAGAGGAGAAGGAAAGGAAGAAGGCAGAGGAGAAGGTGGCAAAGGCGGAGGAGAAGGAGGTAAAGCGACGTGAGAAGGCGTTGAGCGCGTATCACGAGTACGTGGCATCTTTCGATGTCGACCGCCCCGTCGCGGTAAGCCTTGCCTTTTGTTTCTTACCACTATGGTGTCGAACGTACTCACTTTATCGACACAGGTTGATCCTCTTCGCTCTCGGGTTCTTGCCAACGGTACGCTGGCCACACCAGTGCCACATCTTTCCCATCCTGAGTCGCCACCTCGGCATGCATCCATGTCAACAGCAACCGCTGACCGTCGTGAAGCTTCTCTCTCACCTACGAGAGCTCGACGATATCCGAAGGCGAGACCTGTGGGGTATTCAGGACCGGCGTATCAAGGACATGAGAGGGGCATGATTGACCAGAACGGTGTGGATGTACATTCACACATTTCAGTTGACAGGGATTTCGTGAACCAGGTATACTTCTTTCGTGCATGATCATGTTCCATTTTTTCCATTCATGCTACGGGCTAACATATGGTGCCAGTTCGATCGCGACAGGTATCGCTTTTCAGCGTATGGCGTACAGACAGCACCGGTGCCACAGTTGCTACATACCCCACGACGTCGTGATTCACCATCACGGCCTCAAAGCTCGCGCTATCACCCCTACGAGCGAATTTCCGCACGTCTTGTATCAGAGGATGAAGGTGACAGCGGATTGAATCATTCCGGATACATAGTGAGTCCACCGATTCCATGAACAACCACTCCTGCTTACATCTCCACTTCATGAATTACTAGCTGGCGACTCATGCCCCTCCTCTAAACGACAACTCGGACACTGAGCTAACACTTCCAAGTTATTCAAGTACTTCAGACTCTCCGCAGGCTCGTCGATCTCTCTTCTCAACTCGAGCACCTTCAACCTCCCACGAAACCAACAAAATCCCCGACGGAAGTAGCGACGCCAATCAAACCAAGCGCTAATTCCACACCATCACCTCTTTCACCCTACCACTTCCTCATCACCCTCCGACTCATCAGCCTTGCTCGATACAACTTCTTCTGCATCCGATTCAACTTCATCCGAGTTGATCGTGTCATCCGAGCCGGTCTCCTCCAGCTCCTCGCTTGAGCTCTCCGGCTCCATCTCCTCGTGTTCCTTGTCCATCTCATCCTCGGTCACTGGATCCACTTCCACCACCATCCCTTCGCCCTCATCAAAATCTTCCATGCCCCACATCTCATCCCCTTCGTAGAACTCCTCGTCCTGTCCCATCCCGTGACCATCATCATTTCCACCCAGTCCACCCGGGTTAGCGAGCGCATCTTGACGCTCACGAAGATCGTTTGCCGAGTCAATCGAGTTCTCTCCATCAAATTCCTCACGTGCATCTTCCTCCTCTCCCAGAACTCCCTGTTCTTCATCCTCATTCTGTGCATTGGCTCCTGCAGGTTCTATAAGTCCCCCTTCATTCTCCACCGGCATCTCATCCTCCCACTCCTCTTTTGTCTCACGCTTGAAAGAATGCTCCTTCCACCAACGATCAATAGCGCCGTCCTGAAATAGTGTCACCACGCCCACGGTCGCGAAATCCTTTGCACGGTTGGCGTCTACCTTCATCTTGCGCCCTTTCTCTTTGAACCACTTTTCACTTCTCATCACTGTCATGTATCGTGCAATGTCCTTGTCACTGTCCGGTGTAGTGTGTTTGGTGCCTCGTTTCCGGAGCATGGAAATTTGCCCCAGGAAATGTTTCTTGACAATCTTGAGGTTCCGGGTGGCGGGTGATGTTTTGCTCATGTAATCTATCCCCGCATTGGGTCCCATGCTATGATGCCAATACTGGATGATGTCTCAGTCATGACTTTGGTCTTCTGATACCGGAGGAAGCTCTGTACCTTAACATCACCGACGACTTGTTCCATGGCCTGGTCAATCGCTGTTGAACCGTCTTCTTTACCGGTTCGGTTGACCACCCAGCAGTGACGCTTCACAAGAGACCTTTTGTGAAGTCAGGGTCTGAGAATATTAGGCAATGGGTGTGGAAGATACATACCTCACTTCCTCGGGCCACTCGACACGAAGCCCTTGAATGAGATCTAATACCTCTCCCATATACTGAGTGTTCCCTCCACCTGCAAATCGCTGCAGTAGATGGGGGAGAGAATCCTCCATCCTCCCAACATCCCCTCGTTTGATTGCATCACGAAGGCTGATGTAGACAAGTACATCAATGTTGAACATAACCGATTGGCGTTTGAACTCGTCAGGCTTCTTGTCTTGTGCACAAGCATCCATGCGTTTCAGAGCACGATGGGTTGCGTAGCGCTCGTGAACATCTTTGGCCACCTGTCGAAGAGCTTCTGGACTGAGTTGCTTGAGCTCAGCTAGATCATGGACCTGTGCAACCTCCAATGTGCACGCGAGAAAGCTTGCTGCGGCTACATGATAGAGGCCTTCATTCAAGTGGTGCCAGAATGGGCCTTTGGTCTGAACATTGTCCAGACCTTTTCGATTAAGAAGATCGAATGCACGCTTGAAGCCTATACCGCTCGAAGTCCCGTAATATTGCTTGTAGAGGTTGTTCGCCAGTGCCATGATGAGATGGAACCATCCAAATATAGGTAGCGTCCAGTCCTGCCGTTCGTATCCATTCATGTCGGCGAACTTGAACTTCCACAGTCCTTGGAGGCGGCTACGAGTGAGTTGGTCACCAATAATAGGGATGAATCTCGATGTGGATGTCTTCTTGCGTTCTTCAAGTGAATCAATTCTGAGCTGCTTCTGATATCTATGGAGGACCTCTTCGTTGCCCTCATAGCTGGCTTGATCAACGTCCTCAACTCGGAAAATGAATTGATCAGGGATGTGTTCTGGCCCGTATGGGAGTTGATCAACAGGAGGAGGTCGAGCGAGAATGGGATCGTTGCGATGTTCGTAATCACCGAGTTCGGGGGCATGAAGAATGAAGGACAAGATGAGGTGAATGTTGTGCTCCTCTGTCCGTAGCCGTACGTCGTCGGGGGTCTCGAGGATTTCGCGGAAGTCAAAACAGTTGTTCCAGTTCTCTTGAAGGGATCGTTGGAACTCCCGGTTGAGAGTAGCGGCATCGATTTTGATGTGAGCAGGAAGGGCCCATAAACATCCAACGACAACGCAGTGGAAATTGCCCTCGTGATCGATACGCATGGAGAAGACACGCCTTCGTATGTTTCCGTTGTCGTAATTCAATAGAGAGAAACGCGTGGCGAATGCAAGACACATCTCCTCCATCGCACGATCAGACATATCCATGATCGCATTGGCGGTCCACTTGTGACTCATGACGATGCCCATCGCGTGGAGAGCGTCAAATGCTCGAGCGGAAAGACCATTGGCCCTCAAATATATGGCGAAGAGTTGTGGAATACGGTTGCGGTGGTGAGAGCGGGTGTAAGAGAGTATGGAAATGATCATAAGAATAACCTAAGACTATGATGAGTATTAATGACCTAAGAGCATTTGAGGAGACCAAACATTTTTGGGGGTCTTATGAGTATTCCGTTCAGCTTGGTTCTTGCTCCAGCCGGCTTGCATGAGGATGCGTGTCAACGTCGGAGCACCCTCATCTGAGAATACATAGTCGGCAAGTTTTTTGAAGTCTGTGCTCTCAAGGCCCTCCTGGGAAAGGGGATCTTTTGGCGGAGACATAGCTTTTGAAATCCTCTGAATATCCTTCTTCACCTTCTTCCCAATATGCTCGAGTGCAAAATCATCAAATACTTTTCTCCGTATCTGACCCTCTCCTGAATTGTCTCCTGGAGGATTTGCACAGCGGCGTAAGATCCCAGGCAGCTCAATGCTCGTCATCAAAGCTGTACGCGCATAGCGAAACTTCGCATCGGCTATGGAGTCCTCGTCCAACCAAGTGATAACATCCAGGACTATGGCCAAGTCAAGGCCCATTACCCCCATGATGTCCAACAGTCTCCGGACCTTCCCAAATAGTTCATCGTTGGTGATGCCCTCACGAAACTGTCGCGTACGAGAGCGTGAGATTGGTTCACCGCGTGCGTTTTCGGAGTCTGAATCCTCAGAGTCGTCGGAATCGATATCGTTGTTCTCGACTGGTACGTAATCGGGGTCTTCGTCGACATCTTCGTCACCGAATAGGTCCACAAAGTCGTCGAGTGTCGCAGCAGGCATGGTGGCAGGGGAGAGCAAGTTGTAATCAAATTTTATTACTTTAACTACAGTACTGGCTCCTGCCGGGATTGAACTAGCGAGCTGTCAAGTCAACAGTGTGACATCGACCACCCCCGTCGGATGCGAAATGCACCAGACGTTATAGAGGTGATATGCACGCGAATTTTCTGTACCTGACTCCAAAACCGCGCTTGGTTTTTTGGCTTCCGCACTTGCGCTTGGCACGGCAAGTCCGTTTACCCGCCATGCCTACCGCCACACCGCCACCCGTGCGCCGTGCATCATCACCTCTTTAACGTCTGGACACGAGACTACTGGTGGCTGCCTTTGCCTGTGAAAAATTTCGGAAAAATGGGCCACATGCAATGCACCGTGTTTTGTACACATCTCAGTGGTCAAAAATGTGTTTGGATTATATTTCCTGGAGGACAGGGCCATTAACCGTGCGTGGAGCATCCCGGTTGCGAAAACGCTCTAATGTGGCCCTGGCTGATGTTTATGTGGCGAGAGTGGCGGTTGCCGGATCACGGTCACATGAAGCATTTGATATCGCGACCAATAATTCCTCCGCCTCACCGTGGACGCGTTCTTCCCGTCCACAACGCCTTCCCTGCCCCTCTTCGATATCCCTGTACGTCCTAGGCCATCGAGAGCCTCCTTCTTGACTACCCTCAGTCTTATTCCATCTAAGACCCGTTCAAAACTTATTTTTCCGTGGTTAGGGATACTGTACTTTTCCGACCTACTGTTCGTCCCCTGTCCCCCCACCCCACCGAACCGAACACTTTTAGGGGGACTGTCCCCCCCCTCACCGCCCCAACGAACAGTTAGGGGGGACATGCTCGTAATTCAGCAAAATTCATAATTATAATGAAAATCAACGAACATATTCCGATTGATGTTTTTGCACTGTTTGGGCCGAAATTTGTTGATGATTGTATGCTCTGGCTTACCAAAATCCCTGAGCACTCAGATATGAGTGAAAAATCTTCATCCAGTGCCCTGTAGTAATATTTTTGTGGTTAAGACATTGAACAGTGTCCCCTGTCCCCCGGGCTCGACGAACAGGGGGACAGATGTGTGGCGCCAGGCCGGCAAACTCCGGGAATTTGAAATCGAACAGTAGGTCGGAAAAGTACAGTATTTTTAGGGCCAAGAAGTGTGAACCATGTCGCACCAGTATTCTCCTCCGAGTCACCGTGGACAGTACCGCGGGCAACAGCAACGCGGAGGAAGCTCTCAACAATACAGGGGATCTCAACATCAATCTTTTCCCTCTCGTCAACAGCAGCGAGGCCCGAGACCAAAGTTCGATGAGGTCCTTCCCGTCAATGTGTTCGTCAATGCGTTCAAGGTCGAAATCGACGATAATCCTGCACAGCCTGAATTGGCCGTCTCGGAGTTCTATCAGTATGACGGTGAGCGGTTTTCGATGCTGTAACAAACCTGAAGCCCTGTTTTAATTTCCGGTTACTGCGCGACCGTTCGTTTTGCGCAAAAGTCGGTACGTACGACTTAACGCCACACTATTTATGGCGGTGAACTAAACAATCTCACGGTATGAGCAGCCATAAGAAAGAAATCTGAATCCAGTGACGGGGAACGGCCAACGAGCATGCCCCCTCGGAGGGCGTATCAGATCGTCTATAAGGCTCAGACGCAGGTTTACCCGGCACTGTTCCATGGTAGTGCGTTCGACGGAAAGTCGATACTTTATGCGCCACAAGATATTCTGGGGGGTCAGCCTTCTGGGCAGGTATGCGACTCTTCTACCTCTATGCCTTGTTGCCTGGTTTTGGTGAAGAGGCTAAAACTCTTTCTTTGGTATAGTTCCCTGTCGATATGTCGGACAGACCTCCGCAGGCGAATCAGCCTGACCGTGGTGTTTACATTATATACATTACCCGGGTTAGCAGTATCGACATCAGGTAAGTATCTTATGAAGGGCTCCTATATGGTCTCCTATCTTCAGCTACTTAGAAACTTCAAAAAATAACAGGACACTGAAAAGGATTACGAGAGGCGAAGTTGAAGATGCCGGCCAGACGGCCGTTTCTCTCGTCCAAGCTCTCGTCCGACAAGCGCCCCTGGTGTATGTTGCCCCTTCTTCTGTTATGTTTGTAATGTAGTAGCTGATGCTTGTATGGAACTATAGACAGACGAATACTTTTACTGCTCGAGCGGTTTATCAGGCCAACCTTGCGAGGATTAATTTAGGACAAGGTATAGACCTCATGAGAGGGTACTTCCAGTAAGTGCATCACACATCCCTTCTTTACGAGATATAACACCTACTTACTATTTATATAAAACTCTCTCTAGGTCTGTCCGAACAGCCCCTGGCCAAATGATCATGTTCGTCTCTTCCCTCTCAACCACTACTAACCTCACACCCATGTCCCGTTCTCTCATGCAGCAACGTCGACATCTCCTCCGCATGCGTCTACGCCCCCATCCGCCTCGTAGATTTCGCTCAACAATTCCTCAACATGCGCAACACCAACGAACTAATCCAACTCGACGAACGCGATCGCGACTGGAAGATCCTGCGTTCCATCCTCAAGTTCGTCCGTGTGCATGTCAATACCACCGTCCGCCGTAGCCCCTCCAATATGAATCAGGATCAGAGGCCTGCGAAACCGATTAAGGATATCGTTCCGAGGGCGGGGCATTACGAGTTTGTGGTGGGGCAGGATATGTGGACCGTCAGGGTAAGGATTTTATATCTGCGGTTGTGGGATATTTATTCCTCGTGGTTGGATGCGCTAATGTCAGAATTGTGGGCTGGTGTGGGGTAGGATCATTATAGGAGAGCGCATGGAGTACATCTTCAACATCCTGACCTGTTTGGAGTGATGATCGGGGACGCGGTGTTTCCTGCTGAGGATTGCTCGATTCCGCCGGGTCAACTGTTCCGAGTACGTTCTAATATCCCTGAGACTGACATTATCGACGCGAGAAACTTATTTCGATGGTGGTTGCTATTATACGTATGCAGAAGAGGATCCCGCAGAAGCTGATGACTGCGCTTCATGGGCATACGAGCCAGTCACCCTCCAGACGGCTGCAGGCAATTAAGGACGGCGTCGCGGGTCAAGTTAGTGGTTATTATCCTTATTTATTTTGTATCTAGATGCTGACGGACTTTGAAACGGTCTATTTTAGTTCTTGAACTACAGCGGGAGTACCTGGCTTCGTCAAGCCGGAATTTCGATCGAGCAACAACCACTCGAAATCACAGCCTCGATCCTTCCACAGCCCAAGGTCAGCTTCAAGCGTATGGAGGGTGGTAACATAATCACAGATGTTATTCGCACGACGGTAAAGATTCTTTACTCTGTTCCTCGCGCTGTCGACTCGTCGCAGACGGTCTCTTATTTATCTCCTTCTTGTGGACTTAGGATAAAGCAGATGGCCCTGGTGTGTGGGACGTCATGGGCAAGAAGTTCTTCGAGCCGGCTACCATCAAACTCTGGGCCGTCGTGAATTTCTCGAAGGCTCATCCGGATCAGGTCATGGCCTTTGCTAAGAACCTCCAGAAGGCCTGCAGGACACTGGGAATGAGTGAGTGTCAAGTCCTCAGTGTTTCTCCTCGAGGAACAAAAGTGAACCAATTACTTACTCGTTGTTATAGTCGTGGAGGATATTAAAGAGCCGGTTCAGGCTGGAAATGGACAGATTCCTAAGGTGGTGAGTGTGTCTTTTTATTTCTTAGCTCTGCCACGTTCGATTGCCATGATATGCCGATTTGATGTTTAATGAACGATGGATGTTACCGAAAGGCTTTGGAAGGTATCGTATCGATCACGGTAAAAGCTCCGGATTTCGTGCTGGTCGTGTTGCCGGACGATGCGGAACCTATACGGAGAGCAGTAAAGTTCTGGGGAGACATTGAACGTGGCGTTCCGACGCAATGTGTCGTGCGTGTTTTTTCCATTGTTCGATGTATTCTGTATGTGGCTAACGAACTATATATGACCCGCTCTGTTGACAGAAAGTCGGCAAGATGATGGGCGCGAGAGATCAGTACTACAACAATGTTGCCATAAAGTGCGCTCACTCCCGTGTTGATATGGGATGAACAAGTCCATTGACATTGCTTCTTTCTCGTAGAATGAACGCCAAGAAAGGAGGCATCAACTGGACCGTGAGGAATCCCGCGCTCGACGATGTCGTCAGAAGTGGACCTACCATGATCATAGGTCCGTGCATCCCTCGTCCCCACTGCGACGACCCCGCTAATCTGATCTGGACACTATATTATCCCCCAAGGTGCTGATGTCAGTCATCCGCCACCTCGAGTGTTGAGGCCTTCGATTGCGAGTATCGTGGGCTCGTATGACATCTCGTTCTCCAAGTATGCGTACGGGGTCCGGTTGCAGAATCCGCGGCAGGAGATCATTGGGGATTTGAAGGAGATGATGCAGGTATGACTTTTTTCCGTGAAGTTCTCTTCTGTGGTTATAAGACTTAGGAACACTGATCTGTTGTACTTAGGCCATGCTGCGGATTTTCACCACTGAGGTCACCATAAAGGGCAAGCTACCACCACCGCTCCCTCTCAATATCTTCTACTATCGTGATGGAGTCTCCGAAGGGGAGTACGATAACGTACTCGCCACTGAGGCGCGTGCGATACAAGGTAAAAATATGACGGTGTTGTTCGTTCATGGCCCTGATATGTTTCATTTTCAGAGGCGTGGGATCTGGGCAAGGCACATCGGAAGGACAAGCATGATCCCGCGAAGCTCAATATTGTCTTCATTATTGTGGGCAAAAGGCAGGATTAGGTTCTACTTCTCCTCGGTGACGCATCTGACAGGTGCTTCTTATTCACTTCACGTTAGACATCATATACGTTTCTTCCCAACTCAGTCTTCCGACGCAGGAGGGTAAGCAACGGTATAATATATGGCTAACAGGATTTGTGGCTTACTGATCGATGTTGTTGGTCAGGTTGACGGACAGGAGCGGGAATGTCGTTTCCGGACTATGCGTCGATACAGCTATCACTACTCCGTCGAGAAAGAGGCAAGATTTCTACCTTCAATCTCAGTGCGGATTGAAAGGCAGTAAGCCATTCTAAATGTACTTTTATTTAACTACAGAGCTGATAGTTTTTTTTTAGCTAGTCGATCTTCGCACTATATCGTCTTGAGGTCTGCACCTAAACTCAACTGCTCTTTAGCTTTACGCCCTCGCCTGATTCTTTGCTTGGCGTAGAAATGACCGTGCTACATGTCAGAAATATTCCATGGGGCTGAAGCAGTACGTATATACTTTTTACATTACGGAACAATATAACCAACCACCAAACAGGATCCAAGACTTCTCTTTTGCGCTCTGCTTCAACTATGCTCGCGCCACGAGATCCGTATCGATTCCTTCACCCATCTACTGTAAGCCGTCCCTTCTATTACTTTCCTCTCTGACTCTAATTCCTCAAATCCTTATTCTCCTTTACAGACGCAGACGTAAGTTTCTCCACACACTGCACTTCGATAGACAAACGGAATCCTAGAACTCACGGCACCTTGTTACAGCTACTCTGCACACGCGCCGCGTTTCATTTCGCTGATACGGAAGACCCTGACCTGCAAGTCTCTTCGGATGGCAATGACTCGAATGCGACTTTCGATCTCGAAAGATGGAAAGGTATCTTCAGACGGTCGAAGATAAGGTCGATGTTTTTTATGTGAACAAGTGTTGGACGTCGATTCAGACCTATCCACGTTTCGAGCTGGGACTTTTGCCGTACTTTCGGCATTCGGTGTATTCTTATGATGCTCTTTTACGCGGACGGTGGAATGGATGGGACACTCTATTGGATTATTGATCTAGTTGCCTATTATTTTCATGTTTTACGCACGTCGCAGACTTGTCTGTGTGGCGTTACTGTAATTATGTACGGCATGTATGCCCGGCACATACCGTCAGGTTCATCAACCTTCTTCGATATCTCACAGCCGCAAGCTTGCTCGAAGTCTACGCTCTCACCCTAGCTCGATTTCCTCGAACCCTGAACTCCATACGAGTGCATCTATCTCAATCTCTTCGCCCCACTGGCACCCATTCCCTCAATCGCCGACGTGTAACAATGTTTTCTGAAGTGCGGTGGCGTGGCGGCAGGCCGCTCCATCGACCTCAGGCTGGTTCATATTTGCTGCAGCTCGTGTTGTGTTTGTGCTCGCTTCCCCTTGGGACTCGTTGTGGAAAACCCCCCAACTCTTCTAACACAACCGTGGCGCCACTCGTTACCCCACGGTAGCCACTGCTCGGGGGGTAACGCTCGGGGCGACCTCAACGAAGTTGCTCTGACTTGGATCTGGATTGGCTTCGGTTTCAAAGAAAACCTCCGAATGTTGCTGTTTTTGCCATTTCACCTTTGAAGATAGGGTATTTACCCGAATATGAAGTGCTGAGGGCTGCAAGAAGGCTGGCCACTGGCAGAGTGGGTGGCGGAAGGCTGCGTCATGGATAGATACGATCACGTGCGGTTAATGCGGTATGGCGCGCCACGAAGACGCCGCCGCTGAGACCGTTTCTTGTCTGGTCTTGTTCCCCTCTACCGACATCTCTGTTCACGCTCGCTCCCTGCGCAATCTTTACGCTACTCACTCTGGTGTACTCGACTTCGTTAGCTTTGACATGCATAGGACGAAGCCCGTTCCGCCTACAACTCAGGCAACCCCTCCGGGAGTACCGATTCAAGTCGTAGTGAATACCTTCAAGGTTCGTTTGAATATCGACCCCAAGACAGGTGCTCAAACGAAATATTACCATTACGACGGTGAGCATTCCCGAACCTCATGGTATTCCGACCATCATGATACTGATGAAATAATGTCATCTAATCGGTATACCTCAGTTGGTCAGTATCATCTGCATCCTGACTCGGTTGACAACGTGCTTCTCCCTTGTTCATGCGAAGTATCACCGTACATATAGTTATCAAGAAGAAGTCTGGGCCAGATGATGGACGAGGCCAAACGACCCTGAACAGTCGCCGTGCCCGCGAGATTATGCATCAGGCTCAGACCGTTGCGTATCCTCACATCTTCCAAGGTCGTCACCCTGTATTCGACGGCCGCTCGAACATGTACGCCAATTTCGACGTGCTTTCGGGCTCTCCTGGAGCACAGGTCAGTTTACCCCTATCTCTGCAATACTCTCAACAAATTGTTAATGTCATCAACGATGGCAATCAAGCTCTCTGTAAACATGAGTCGCCAGCCTCGGGCTGATCAGCCAGACAGAGGAGTGTATATAATCACTATTACCCCAGTGAATACGATTGATCTGAAGTAAGTTATTGCATCACCTCCCAGATTTACCACCTGAAACATCCTTGTAGTACGTTGGGAGCCATCGTTTATGGGAAGCAGGGCGGGCCCTCTCAAACCGCCGTCCAACTCGTCCAGGCTCTTGTGAGGCAATCTCCTCTGACGTGAGTCCTGTACTTCTCGTACGTAACCTTGAATCGTACTAAAGGACGTTCTCACCACTTAGTGCGTCTAATACCTACAATGCCCGGTCGGTTTTCGATGGTACGCAGACTAGGCAACTCGGACAAAACAGTGGTTTAGAGCTGTGCAGGGGATTCTTCCAGTACGCCACTCTTTTACTTTATTGCTGAACAACTAGTGACAGGCCTTACAATTAGATCTGTTCGTTTGGCTGACAAACGAATGATTATGTGTGTTACGCTCGTCTCGAGACCCTTACCTCTACAAATAACTTATTTGTTGTCTTTCCCACCCCTCCGTCTAGCAACATCGACGTTTCCACAACAGCCCTATATGCAGCCCAGGCACTGCCCAATTTCGCTCTCAATTTTACGCATACGAGGAGTGTATCAGAGCTTCTACAGCTCACTCCCAGAGACCAGAAGTTCAAGATACTTCGCTCTGTTCTTAAGGGTGTGCGGGTAAATGTCACCGTACCAGTTCTCCGTCAGCCCAAGCCAGCCCGGCCCATAAAGGATATTATCCTTCGTGCGGGCCATCATGAATTTACTGCTGACTCACAGCATTGGAACGTGAAAGTATGTCCTCTTACGTTCTTGTATCCGTTTTCCGTGGAATGTTTGGGCGGCTTACATCGTTCTACATCGTAGGACTATTACGACAGGACTCATCGTTATCGCTTGAAATATCCTGATCTCTTCGGTGTAGTACTTCAAGGCGGCGCCGTCATACCCGCAGAAATTTGCGACATCGTCCCCGGACAGCTTTTCAAGAGGAAAATACCCGCTGAGCTTATGACCGATGTTCATCGCTTTGCAAGCAAGCAACCCACGCAGCGCTTGGGAGACATCATCGCTGGTGTACAAGGCCCAGTAAGTCATGTCCTTCACGAGGTCAGCATAAAGCTCAAAATTGGGCATACAGTTCCTCAACTACGGGGGCAGCCAGTCTCTGCAACAAGCCGGAATCTCGATCGATACCGCTCCAATGGAACTAATGGGTCGACTGCTTCCGCCGCCTCAAGTTGTGTTCAAGGAATCTGGGATCGTGAAGGACGAGAGCCAACGCCCACATACCGTATTCGATACCACGGTAGGTGATACGTCGAGAAGAATGTAGCCCTCATCAATTTGTATTGAGAATTGTTTAACCCTTGCAGAGGTCCGGACATGGCATTTGGAACGTTTTGAACCAACGACTCTTCAAGCCGGCGAGCTTGACGAAATGGGCTATCGTCAACTTTTCACCGCGTGAGGCTACTGATGCGGGAGTCATCGAGTTCGCGCGTAAGCTTGCGGACGCTTGTGCAAACCTTGGTGTGTATTCCGAGTCGCATTAGTCATTTCTTGAAGTTGCTAAATGATGTTTTTCCTCCAGGAATGGGTATGCAATCTATATTGATCACACCTAATCATCCAATTCATCTAACTACGTCGTAGCGGTCGGGCCCCCGCTTCCTGGAGTAATTCAAGGTTCTGGACAAGATCCTTCTAGCGTAAGGCCTCCTCTTTATCGTCTTCGTCCCAAGTCTTCTGGACGTGTTCTTGTCTACTCCAGGCCCTCAAGCAACTTCAGAGCCAGCTCACTTCGGGCCCCCACGGACTCATAGTACTCTTTATCCTCCCCGACAGAGCAGAAGATATCCGCCGTGAGGTGAAGCGCTGGGGAGATGTCACGGTCGGGGTTCCAACACAATGCCTTGTAAGTTAAAAACTTCGCTGATGTATGTTCGAGATGGGCGCTTAATACCTGCTGTGTTGTATATAGAAAGTCAAGAACATTAGAGGTGCCCAGAGTCAGTACCTCAATAATGTTGCCATTAAGTATGTAGTTTTCTCTGAAGTTCAAGTTTGCCCGTATATCAAGACCAAAAACTGATGGACGAATGCATTCATCCCCAAGGATGAACGCGAAGTTGGGCGGAATCAACTGGATTTCCTCCTCACCATTATTTTCTCTTCTTCTCAAAGAGCCAACCATGATACTGGGTGATTGTTTGTGTTCAAGACTCTGAACACCCATTAGGGCAATCACTGAGTTCATTTCATCATCCAGGCGCCGATGTTAGTCACTCGTCTCCGGGTCTTGTCCGTCCATCCATTGCGGCGGTAGTAGGGACTTTCGACATGGAACTTTGCCGCTATGCGGATGCTACTTCTCTCCAGAACCCTCGACAAGAGACGATCTCTGACCTTCGTGCAATGGTGGGCGTGAGTACTCTACATCGAATTACGTTCTTATCCTACGCTAATGCAGCCCAATGATCTCTAGGGAATCCTAGTGAGTTTCGCTGAGAGAAATCGCACGTTACCATGTAACATCTTCTTCTATCGTGACGGCGTGTCCGAGGGAGAGTACGATAAGATCAAAGCAGAGGAAGGGATTGCCATTGACGGTATGTGTGTCTTCTACATGTGCACTTCAAAGCTGTTAAGCTTCTTGGCCATGACCAGCCGCGTACGCGGATTGTCTGGCGAATGTGTCGCTCAAATTCGACGTGAAACCTCTCCCAAAGCCGCGTGTCATCTTCTTGGTGGTTGGAAAGCGGTAAATTGAACGATTTTAGTACATTTTCTACACAATACTTACTTGTGTTTTTGGTCCCTGATAGGCATCATATCCGGTTTTTCCCCAGCCAGCGCACTCCCGCTAGGTACGTACTCAATTTATGACCCTCCACACGCTGGGGTCTCGTTGACTGTGAATATAACGTCATAGCTACATTGACCGGAGCGGAAACGTCACGGCCGGGTTATGTATCGACGACACCATCACTTCGACGAGGAAGGACATGCCAGACTTCTATCTTCAGTCTCAACCGGGGCTCAAAGGAAGTAAGTGGTTTCATGCGATCTCTGTCACCTTGTTTTCTGAATTCCTGCTTCTTTTAGCGAGTCGCTCGTCTCACTACATTCTTCTAAGGTTAATGACTGCATCCCAGACCTGTAGACATCGCTAACTATATCCTCTTTTCACATCTTAAGAAATGACCTGAAAGCAACCAAGGACCAGTATGTCAGCGGTAGCTGTGACAGAGACGCGACTAACAAGCATCTCTCCAGGTTGCAAGAGCTCTCTCATATGTTATGCTACAACTATGCTCGTGCCACCAGAGCTGTCTCAATTCCTTCGCCCGTGTATTGTGCGTCATTCCACTTGACTTCCGCGAAAATCTCCCTGTAACTGATTGCTTCCACAGATGCTCATGTAAGTCGTAGAAGCCAGAATTATATAACGATCTTCTCTTAGAAATGGACCTCCAGCTTCTCTGCTCCCGAGCGACATTCTATTTCGCCAACGACCTCAACTTCTCCGACGCCGGGGGCAGCTCCGATGACGCACCATTCGATCTGAATCGGTGGAAGGCAGGCTTTGGTCGGATCAACGAGGCGATGAAAATGAAGATGTTTTATGTTTGATCAGTGTCTCTCTTGTCGAGCCTGTGGAGTTTGATACGGGTCATAAATTGTAGGACTATGTGTGTCGGTGGAAGCACTTGTTGTCTCTGATCACAAAGGAACTGTGTTCGCAGATGTTTGTATATTGGGTAGATGTCTCAATGAAATGGAGAAGTGTACGTTATCTTTTAAACGTTTCTGGATTGAAAAAACCTTTTTTTCGAGACTTGCTTGGACACAGGCCGAGGCTGACACTGCTGAGCGCTGAGGCCTGAGGCCTGAGGCTTCGCTGGGGAGCCACAGTGGCGCGAGTCCTGTTCGTACTTTTACGGATGTAAGCTCCGCCGGCACATTCCGGACACGTCATGCGATGTGCATGTTCACTCCTTGCCACTTGTTCGCTCCTCTCACCTGCTCTCACACTGGCCGTGGCAGAACCCGTACTTGTCTCAGCAGTGCTCATCACAGATTGAGCCCAGAGCTCGCTGAGGCCAGTACCAAAGAGGAGCTCGAACCATGCGGGGATCTCTATCCGTAAGTTTTGCGTCGGGTGTCGAGGGTTCTGTCTTCACGATGGTCAGCCGAGACCGTGCCATCTCGAGCTGACTCCCTTTCCTCCTTAATAAATAAGGCTATACATCCATTTGTCTTTTCTTCTACTCATTGGGCTTGTGATGCGGCCATAGGAAGCCTCGAAGAGCTCTTCATTCTGGCTCGGAGTATAATGTCCTCAGTTCTCTTACATTAATCAAAGGCCTGTCGGGCTTCCACGAGACCGCGATAGTACTCGCAAGACACGCTTATGCCGCTCATCTCAATAGGGCCTCATTTGCAGTTATTCTTACCTGACTGACACGCAGGATTATTGCTGCTGACGCTGATTTGTCCCTGATATTCCTATGGCCGTGTAGGGCCCATTTCTCATGAAATTATAGGCTCTTCAGAGATGTATGCCTCGTATTCAAGCGGTTGGTTCACTAGAACATCACCACCCTCACTAACAGCGATGTAGAGTTCTTGGACGACAGCGGGAATGTTTAGCCGCCACAGCTCGTTTTGGGACCGACGATATCTATTTTAGGGCCGTCATACTCAGGTGCTAGGGCGCGACTCGGCCAAGGCGGAACTATCATGTTCTCATGCTACCATGCTGTCCTCGCTCATGTTACTCTTCGTAACTCTTCGTTTGCCTCAAGTGGGGTTCCCAAGCCCATCACTTGACTGACTATGCACTTCTCGGACGTCATATTCTCGGAAAGCCTCCCGAGGATTGCCTCCAGGCCAAAGAGTTGCAGTCGCGACACCGTTCGCCTGTAAAATTGTATGGGTCATGAGCGAGCCTTGTGGGGTTGTAGCTGTGCCTCGTCGTAAGCTCGGAAGTTCTTCGCCGCTCCTGTTAGCTATAAAAGCTGCCACAAGTGTTTTCAAGGTTTTCACCATCCCACCACCAGCTTCGCTCTACACAATCGTCTGTAATCCCTCAACACTATCATCACTCTCATCATCATGAAGTTTGGCTTCGCATTCACCGCCGTCGCTTTCCTCATCCCCTCCGCACTTGCGACCGCTGTGCGATACGACACCACTTACGACAACGCCGGCCAATCAACAGACACCGTTGCCTGCTCCGATGGCACGAACGGGCTCGCTTCTCGCTACCCCACCTTTGGATCTTTCCCAAAATTCCCCTTCCTCGCCGCCTCCGATAGCATTCCCGGATGGAACTCTCCAAACTGTGGAACGTGCTTCGCCGTCACCTACAACGGAGTCACGGTCAATGTCTTGGCCATCGACCATGCCGGTGATGGAATCAACATGTCTTTGGAGGCGATGAATGCTTTGACGAACGGTCAGGCTACGTTCTTGGGCACTGTGGACGCCACTGTGGCCCAGGTCGACAAGAGCGCCTGTGGCCTGTAAGAAGGTACTTGTTGCTCGCTGTCTAGGATGTCTAAGACCGTTATATCTGACTAGTTCTGTGCTTTGCTAGGACATTCTCGAGATAGTAGCATATGTTGTATATGTTGCTGTACGGATCAAGGGCCACTGTTGTAGGTTCGTGCTATTTTTCGCCCTCGATCTTATGCCGCCATTATGCTTATATTTTATGACATTCTAAGGATATCCTATCGGTAGGAATGGACAATCTTTCTGTACGAATGGACATAGGACTGCTTTGCACGAACGGACTTGCAATTGTTTGTATAATGCTGTCGAAATAATATCGGACTTTGTTTCTCTTTCACCACATCCAGAGCCGACAATAACACTCTTTATCAGAAGTAAGGTCTCATCGTATCGAGACATCATGATGAACGATGACGCTGGCGTGTAAATACTGTGAGTGGCTCACAGGGCTGTACAGCAACGCGACCGAACCCAAACTCCCTTGATACGGTCCATCGCGCCGAGGCCAGCATTACGCGCGCCTAAAAGGTTCGGTTGATGTGGGTGCCAGCGGAGTTTGAAGTTCTTCTAGAACGACTTCTATCGTGTCTGAGGTTTGTATTCACCGGCAACTTATCCATCTCCAGGCCACACAAAAGGTACGTATCCACATGCTCTGACGCACCCCGATAGGGTCCCGATTTTACTCATCAACTCTTCCTCGGTGCAAAGTTGGTGCAAAGAGACCGGTCTTCTACAAATAAATATAATGACCGAGGAGATTTGCTCTCCCGATGAATCGAAGCCAACATTGAGCTGAAGTTTGACGATTGGCGCATTTGCTAGGCCCCGATTTAGCTGAGCCACTCCGTCGCTGGAGACAATCCCCGGACTTTTCCATGCCCCGATCTGGCTGAGCCACTCCGTCGCTGTAAAGACAATACCCGTACATTTTGAGAGCGAGCTACCAACACCTCACACCGTACTGTGACCTGGTCGCTGATTATGCATTGCTCACTGTCCCACCAATCTCACGTTGTTATGAGGATCTGAGGATGGTTGCCGGAGTCGGCGTTCAGACAATTGTTCTCTGCGAGCATGGTTACTCATGCATGACCGTATAGTTGACCGGAGGACCTGTCCGATGCCTCTCCTGGCTGGATACGTCCTCGAACATAGTTGCCGTCGGCGATCCTTCCAGGTCACGCTGCACACAGCATAATCTCAACACTGACGAGTGTAACTCGCAAGTGACGATTGGAGCCCCTCTTCTGCGATTGGCTACTGAAGATCCCGGCTCCAGTACATTGACATTTCGGGGCCGTGCTTCTGTCCAATCGAACATGTTCAGTGCAATGTGCTGGACGCCAGCAGGTCCGCATCCTAGTGGTACGCCAAGGCAACGGTAGTATCAGATATTTCCCAAATAGTATATCACGCCGCCCGCCTGTGCTACGAGGGCGGAGGTGGCAGGAGGCCCAGATTTTCTCCTACCAATCCGCAGCAATGGTCGATCCGCGAAGAGTTCGTCCTAAGCTGACAAATATGGGGCACTGAAAAGAAAGAGAAGCAAAGAGTCATCAAGTCGCCGTTGAATGGCGTTGAATCCATAGCAGTGGCGTGGAAGATGTTGAGGTGTGGCAGGCGCAAGGCAGACGCGCATCCAGAGGATTCGAAAGAAACACGATGACACCGCTATTGAAGACGAAGACTGCAATTCAATTAGCACTAAAAGAACTAGTCCGTTAGGTCCCAGTACGGAGACATCCGGCACTGTCCATGAAGTCTTGGAACTCAAAAGCCGAAAGTGAGGATTGCAGACTGATCGGAACGTTCGCCCCGCGCTATTTGGAGCAGCAATACTACTCTCATCGCCCGAGCATCTCCGACCATAGTCAGATGTTTTTCGTTCGTACCATGAGGATTTCAACAAACCCCCTAGCAAATTCTAGGGTGGAACGTCAACCAACGCTGAGGCTTTTACCGGTCTCTATCACTGAAGTGCCCCAAGTTCCGGTCTTCTAACAGACTTTTGGGTATTGGACATATTTAAGGAACGACGAGTCGACGATTGAACTGAGACATCAGGGCTTTGTTACATCTGGTCGAGGTTGAACTTTTCGGTGAAGCGTTGACCATTGAGCCAATGAGTGTACCTTCCAGTATCCACCGTTAGGAATCGTCCGTACCCTCCGCCAAGGGAGGGGTGGTTACTCTCTGCATAAATTACAGCCATTTACAAGCGCTGGACATTTGGTCTGCCAGTACTTGAACCTTTCCTATGAACAACTGCCCATCCGCTATGCTCTCCCGGTCAAACATAATAGGGGCGTATGAAGCTGCTAGTCTCGGCTCCCGGATATTGAGATACAGTAAGTTCTGTATAGAAGTTACCCGGCGTTCAAAGCACGTTTACGGAGCGTTACATGCCGGGCCTACAGATGTGAAATACTCGAGATCGTCCCGGATGATAACCGGAAAAGGACGTCGAAAACGTGAACAATTACGCACACTGCAAGGTCAGATAGCTTTGAACCAGACGACAGGCTACCGTTCGAGATGAGGACGGAAGCACTGCCTTCGATTCTAGGAGGATAAAGAAAGACACTTCTTCCACTGCCAGTGGGAGGTCATACTGTATACTAGGGTCAGGGACTTACCAGAGCCCAGAAGGACGGGAAGGACGAGTACCGCAGCCTATGTCGCACCCGTGGATTTGCTATTCGGGCTTGTCCTCTGTACGAAGCTTGATCATCGATTTATGCACTTACCAGAAGAAACAGGATAGAAAACAATACACGTGCTACCAGTCCTCGGGCGGCCGAGGAGCCTTTTCGGGCTCTAAGCAGAAAGAACGTCCCATCACCATTATTGGCTAAATACGGGCCTGGTGAACCATTAATCTTCTGTGGTTGGGCCTTTCCGTCGAAAGTTTGGTATAAGAACAAGTAATTAGTGCGGCTCTTGAAACTCTGTGACGACCAAGAGCTGTGAAGGCTTGTCATCGTCAACCTAGGCCATCTGAAAAACAAATGAAAGTATAAGAATATCATATGGTTTGCGGGCGGAAATGAGAAGCGGCAAAGGGGGCCCAACCCTTCTGCGTCCGATTCGAAGTCACCCTGGTGTAATTCGGGTATAGATGAGCCACGGCACCAAGTTACCCTTGTTGACAAGTTCGTGCATGAGACCTGGCTAGGTCACATCGCGACCAGTGTAATCCACAGGCGCCGACCTTCCCTGGATAGAATCAACGTCGCATCAGGAAGATATAGGAGCTTATCCCGACCACGTACGGCATACTGTACAAGACCGTGACCGAGGAACCTTTCCTCCCGAAAAGATTCAGTTCGGCGCTCAACCTATCAGTTGTGACAGCTGACTCTGAAAGGCACAAGCGCGCCTTGCTCCCCCGATGAGCCCCTAACACAAAACAAAGGGAACAAACAACTACACCGCCGCGCTAACGGATGAGGATGCAGGTGGCGCCAGAGAAAAGGAGGAAATCGAAAGCATTGGATGACCGATCAAATTCAATCGGTGGGCCCTCCACGTGGGGATCGCAAGCCGCCGGTGCCCCGCAGATTCGAGATCGTGACAATGAAGGCGGAGCGTGAAACGAAACCTTGGCCGCCTCTCGTCTGCTCGAACAGAACCTGGCACTCAATTACATCCTTTTAAAAGACGAGCCCTGCCACCTATCATGGAGTCGTATTCCCCGCTTCACCCTTCGCCTACTCACGCCCACCCTCCACCTCGCTCTACACGTCCCAATGGCTGCCACCGTCTCTGGCTGGACACCGTCTTCCGACGATGAAATTGTTAGCCTCCACCCTGCCCATGAGCCACTCGATCAGTACCCCGCCCATTGGACGACGTCCGTCTTTAAAAGGACACCCTCGTATAGGCACACCACACGTCCAGCTCCCCCCAGGTCGTTTACTATGGATTCCCCGATCAGCGATTGCTACCCCTCCCCTACTTCCTCGTACTCGCCCTCACCACCCTCACCACCGCAGACTCGTATTCCTCCACCTCTGACCTCATCCGAAAGGAGGGCGATTCGTAACCGTCTCCGCGACCCGAACTGGATCCCTCGCCCCCGAAACGCCTTCATCATCTTCCGCTGCGAGTATGCCCGCGAGCACGCCCGATATGCGCCTGGCGAGCCTACCCGTATCATCACCGACAAGACTTTGTCAAAGCGTGCCGGAGATGCGTGGAAGAAGCTTTCGGCAGCCCAGAAAGCGATCTTCAAGAAGCGCGCAGATGTGGAGAGGGAAGAGCACGCACGTCAGTACCCTGCATATCGCTTCAATCCTACTCGTCCTACCGCCCGGTCTCGGAGTCAAAGCTCTCCCGTCCCCGCCCCCGGTGTCGGCCGTTCCGCCCAGGTCGCCTCGTTCGTAGAGGAGAAGGAGAGTACCCCCCGTCTTGTGGAGGCGGAGCCAACGTCTCCTGGATACCTCGTCCAACGCCAGGTTCTCAGTCTTCTCGGCCACCGTCGGCCGTCGTCCACTCCACTCCCTTCGTCCATCACCCCTATCGACAACTCTCTCGCTCCAGGCTTGTCATCTTCCTATCCCAATACCCCCTACATTCAAACCTACCAGCCCGCCGATGGGATGTTCGTCCAGAACGTCGATCTCTTCAGCGGGTACGCTTTCGACTCGGGGAATCCGGTGGTAAGTACTTCGGCGCTGCTTGTCTAGCACGGTGTTCGCTTATACGAACGCACCTTTCAGAGCTCACCTTTGACTCCGCCGAACATCGGAGACGTCTATCTTGGTACAGACCAGTCATGTAGTGCGATGGTGCGTCTCCTATTTCGGCTCACACACAATACACCCGCTGATGTCTTGAACTCTTCCAGACTTCTCCCGACACTTCGTCCAGCGTCACCATTCCATATGCCCCTGCCTTCGATAACTCATCGTTCGGTATGGTCTCGTTGCCGTATGTGTCCGATGTGGGCTGGCCGGGTGCAGACTACAGCACCATGGCCGCTTACCCGCAGCCTTCCGAGGATACATTACCCGAAATGCAGCCGCAGAGTACAAGCCTCTTTGCCTCTGCACCGTATTCCGCTTCCTATGGTACCGCCCTCGAGCACATGTCTTATCAGCAGCAGAGCTTGGACTTGGACATGCCGAGTGCTGCGACTTACTGGGAGAACGGCCAGGGGTATACCACGCAGCCGTACCTCTCCGGGATGGCACCCTTTGACGATGCTGCCGCGGCGGTCTTCCAGGAGCCTGTGGAGAGTGGGATCAATTATCTTGATAATGGATATGAGGGAAACGGCTCGTAATGTTCTATTTTTCGGACGATACTTAGGGGTCGTGCTCGTGAACATTCTTCTATTCTTCTAGTTCGATACTTACCTGCTAATATGCTTATGTCTATGCCTCTTCCAGCCCTGTCTTCCATATGTCGTCTTTCCCTCGCTTCCCGTCCGTCTCCTTCCTATGTATCAATAGACAGAATTATGGTTAATACCTCACTTATTCGTGCTATGACCTCTGCTCCCTCTGCTACACACCCACCTCGCCTGAGCCCGGCTGCTTGTTTTGTGTGATATCTACGGGATTGATTCTCGTAGCCTGTGTTCTCGTAGTGTTTATCTTACTGTACCATACACCGAAAATACTTTCCGAGGATCGTCCTTCCTGTATTGAATTGTTCATCATCACTGAAGTCCTTCAGCCATGCTTCGTCTTCGTCTGCTTTGCATGGTCCGAGTCCGGCATGAGGTCGCCAGTCGTTGCCAACCGCTGGAGTGTAGTGCCCTGATTCAGGTGCGAACTACCACCCCCGAATGATCCGTCTTCCAACTTTGTCTGTAATTGACCTCGTCCGAGGAACTTCTATATATGGTTCACCGCCCGTGGCTCAGACATGCAATCACCGTCTGACACCGAACTCCGTGGATGCATGGACTCCAACTAAGCCACAAGAACGCGCAATTCGGAAGCTCGTGCGCGAAGCCTGATCAGCTACCAGGCCAATGCATTCAGTTTGCTGAAACGCTGCAGTTTACACCCACCGGCGGTCTGCGTACACTGACCATGACACCGATTGCATCAGGCACGTCGATCTCTGTGCCGTAGGTAGAAATAGGGGGTGCCGTCGGTACCGTCCTGCCAAGTACGGAACGCTAACACGGTTTGAGTCGAAGGTTTGTTTCCGACGTGTCATATAACGTCGGAGGCCCGATCGCGTCTGTCAGAGACAATCGACGGGTTGTTTCCACAATAGGTGGGTCGGGGTGGAACAATGAAATTTCGGGAGAAACCCTGTCGATTATACGCCGTCAAGGTCCGAGTGGGCGTTACCACGAAACCGGGACCGCAGTTGCACGACGTCAAGGAACGGCGGAAGAGAGGACGCGAGAGGCAAATCTGCATAATATATTTACAGCTTCTGCCAGGTTTTCAAATGAAGTCGTTCCGGATAGTGAACAACTGAGAATAAGATTTTATCTCGAGCCACCTTGGTGATAGTTGATTCGGGAGGCCTGTCAACTCCCTTGCGTTCGCGAAGGGGAATCACTTAGGCCGCCGAAAGGAATGAATCTTGGCAAGAAGATCTTCCGCTCAATCCAAAGTTTTTCTCCATCCTAAAAAGGGACGCGTGATGGGTGAACGCTGAGCGCTGAACTCCTGCCAGACACTCTTAGTCACGATCCACCTGAGCCTTGTGAGCGACCCCTCAGAAGACCCATTACCGCCCGAGGATACCAGCTCGATGATGGACTGGGATGCCGCGTAAAACTTCACAAAAGCGAAGACAGGGAACGTGGAGCTCTCGGGGCACCACCTAACTTGGGAAGCATGAGGATTCGATTGAAACCATGACCACAAAGGAAGGATAGCGAGGAGTCGGTGATGCGTTTCGGCGAGGTTGCTAAAAAGAAGACAATAAGACAATGAGCTGAGTGCCTACTGGGCGATGGTTCTTCGCCCCTGAGGAAAGTGAGGACGAAATATCATCTCTGAAGTGGGTTAGCAAGCACCCGTCTCACTAGCATATTCGTTCTGCTGTGATTATGGGTGGTGCGCTATGCAAACATCACTGCTAGTAATGTGAGCCGCATAAGAATGGTCTCAAACTAATCTCGGGTGGCTACTTCTCCAATACGTTAGAAGACACGCACCATCCGGCATCGTCATACCCCTCTGAGCTGGCCTCCTGACGGCGCTGCGTCGGACTTGTTGCGATCATCGTATAGGGTAGCGCTATTTTGTGAAGGGAATTATTGATGGATTCTTTCCTGTTGGGTTCTGACCAGCATCGATATCGGCCGACGAGTTTTCAGGGGCTCAGCATGGTATCTCGAGCATACGTAGGATCAGAAGTTTCAGTGGACGAACAAAGGATATTGCAACGATCATGTCTAACAGAACAGATAAAGAAATGCAATTTGGAGCCTTACTTGGAAATCGGTTCCTCTGCGGTAGATAAAGCACCCTCTGGAGTCGCCGAAACGGTCGAGCAGGTTCCACAGTACCATGCGTTCGAAGACTCAGGCATGTATGCGTCAACACGTTCGTCGCATAGAACACCGGCTGTTGAATGAACGACGGCCTTCAGAAAACACACCTATGTGATTTGCTCGGTGACTTGGTGAAGACATCTCAAGAGGAATCGGGCTCATGCTTGGTCACCGCTGGGTCGAGGTGTGGGGAAAGGTACGATCGGCGCTTACCGAGTAAAAAATTTGAAGTTCATCTCCGATCAGACCCGATTTGCTCTCACGTGAGGCCACGCCTAATTTCAAACCGCGACGGTGAACCGCCGGTGTTTCTCGAGCAAGTCGTCCCGTTTAGGTTTTGTTTTTTGACCACGACCACCTGGAAGCAAATCTTTCGAATGACATGGGCCGCTCACCAGCCCGTTAGGATCTCATCGCTCACGGCGGCCTTGTTTTTATGTATCCTTATTAGTCCGAGTCGCTCTCGTGCACCTGCGCCCGCCGGAAATAATCGTCCAACGTCAACAGCTGCTCTCTCGTCAGGCTCTGCAGGAATTTATGCCGACGGTTATTGGGCCTGCGCATGCACTCTGGGAACGCTCTCCAAGTTCATTTAGAAGCAACGCTGTGCGCCATGTACTGACTAGCAATTGCTCCACAAGCTAGTTCAAAGGCATGCTTGAAGTTATGTCTCTCCTCTGGATGTCACGGAAACAGCGAGATAGAGGATCCGTATCTATACGACGCATCAATCAAAGTGATAAATACTCTTTTTGTATGGAGTCTTTTTGTCTATCCTGCAGAACTTGTATCCAGTACGTTTATTCTGTAGGACAGCTGGCCGAGGGGCCACATCTATAGGCTTATGTGGATTGGGTCTGCTTTACCCCGTTTGTGAACGGGAATTGCTCTTTCACCGCTCTCAATAGGGGCTTATCTCATGTCTTCCCTCTTGGACATGCTTGTGAAATAGGAGTCCGCCCATGAGCTCACCGCCCGCTGTAATCCAATAGCGATTATCCGACATATCCGAAGAGTTCTCCGCTATTCTAGATGTCGACACGGGTATCGGTCTAGAGCAGTACGGTGATTTGTTTTCGATACTCTAAAGCTTGCTCTAAGCGGACATAACTAACCAATGTCCGAAGTGGAGCCTTCTGTGATCTTCGAGAGGTTTTATCCGGTTATTGACTATTCGCCGTGTCGTTGAAAGCCGAAGGGAAGACAAATCATATAGATAGAATAATTTGTGAGAGTACCATACATGGTGTCGAAGCATCTACTAAGACACCCAAGCGATCCGCCCGTATGGCGTTTCAATCGCCCTCTGCTTCCCATCTGCCACCCGAAATGCAACCTCATACAATCCAGGCCCATGTGTCCTCACAAACTCTTGCTCTGCCTCGTCCTCGTCCTTCGCAGCCGTGAGAATGAGTTGAGGGCCGGAAGTGGACGTGGCGAACGACTTTAACGGGTGATGAAGCTGCCAGGTAACTTCTGAGGGTGTGGTCGTGGTTGGAGGCGAGCCGAGAATGGCTGTGAGTTCTTGAGACAATGTTTTGAAGGAAGCTACAGGGGAGAGGAGACGGAGGTATGCTACGCTCTGCGCCGTGTTTGGATGTGTGGTATTGGTCGTTTCCGTCGGAACCTAAAGATAAACGAATTATAGACGGTCGAACTAGAATACAGATGTGCAGATCAAGTGAATGACCTACTCTCAACGAGCGATCCGTTACATCCCCACAAAAGAACGGCAACTTAGTTCCTCCTTCCTTCTTTGCCCACTCTTGCGGGGATGTAATAACCCACTTCAACTCCACACCATCTCCTCTCGTCCGTCCCCCACTGACTTCCTTCGCGTATCTAACCTCGAGTCCGCTGGCCTTCGCGCGATCGTTTATGATAGTTGAGATGGCGGGGACAGCGGAAGGAGCACCGAGAAAGGCATAAGCACACCAACCGTGGTCTTTGTTGGCCCAGTTGTGGGCAAGTCGGGCTTTATGCTCGGGAGACTCTGGAGGATAGTACGATGGCTCTTGAGTGAACGAGATGAGCTCGATATAGCTTCCATCGGGAAGAATCTACAGGAGAATTTGATTGAGTTTAAGTCGTTGACCACTTATACAATTGGATACGTGAGTGTTGACTCAGATGCGTACGACGAGTGTGTTGGCGGTGAGACCACCAACGTGTGTTCCTCCTGGTGAGACACTATCGGCAACGAGGAAGATGTTATTTCGGAAACCAGGAAATACAGCTTGTATTCTGAAATCGGAGTATACTGAACAGACACCCACTGAAATCCTAGCTCTCGAAACTGTTCAGCAGTCTTTTCCACCGTTCCCGGTGGTGTGATATGAACAATGTGGTCCAAGATCGTCGTCAAAGGAGCTCCAGTACCTGTCTTGGAAGACATTGCAGAGATAATGTCAAAGTTTGAAAACAGATGAGCCTCGAGATGTGGTGGTCGCAGACTCAGAGTCGCAGTACTGAGCGATGTTGTGTACTCATCGCCCGAGTGTGAGCAATATCATCGTTCGATGGTGCCACAGGGGCGCCGGCCACTGCCGAAGCGGAAGAAGTCAAGAAACCACGTTGTGGCGCAGTTTGTGGCGGCGGCTGTTTCACTTCGACCACCACCATGCAGACGATATCCACAGTTTTCAAAGCGACAGGCTTTCCAGCTCGCCATCATACTCTATTTCACAGCTTGAATAGCCTTGATTCTCGCTGTGACCGACGGATTGCGTCTGTCAACATGTTAGCATGGCTTTTACTGTTCACCGTTCTTACCTGTGGCAGAGCTGTAGTATTCGGCCTGTGGACAAGCAATCATACGTCCGTGACGTCAAGAAAAAATTTGGTGCGCCTGAATGTCTTCCTTCAGGGATCGTCTTCTTTGTCGACGATGTAGCCAGTCCTGACCGCTGCCCAACGTGTCCCTCATCGAATCTTGGTACAGGCTTGACTTCCTGGAAGGCAGTCTCTCAGGACGTCGATGAAAGGTCCGTGAGCTCTCGTGTAATTTTCACATACGAGGGTTGCTTAGGAGAGTAGCATCCGTTCGAAAGATCACCTCAGTCCAAAGGGTCGTGTCGGTCGCCTAGGTCTCGAGATTCATTCATCGGGTCAACCGAATGACGCGAGAGCGGGAACATATTCAATGACGGTGGTGTCGTGAAGGAATTCAAGTCCTCTATTTTGAGGTTTGCCGAGAGCGCTACCTCCATAGTCTGAAAGCTTAATACTGTCTTTCTTTGAGTTTCGACCCTGTCCCTGGCTACCGTGACCATGTGGGCTCTGGGCTGCGTATATGCGTTTATAGCGAGATCCGCGCTATATAATCACTCGAAATTGGCTAACTCTATCGCTTTAGGACATTCTCGGTGAGAATATCCTAGAAAGCTGACGACATCAGTCGGCGAGGCGTCCTCGACGACTTCGTCGATAGCATATATTGACCTTTTTCAAGATGATTTGCCACCCAGACAACCGTGTAAACCTTACATGGTTCACGGATTATACCGCTTGCTGAGGCCGTAAAGTCATTTAGCAGGGTATATGCGCTCTTCGACGTGTCCTCTCGAGTCTGATAAGGCATTCTCTGTGCTTTTACCACCGAGTCCTTTGCCTTGAACTCCGTTCCACGTTCAACAGCTCACTTCATCCTGTACTTTTAGGGACCACCCTTCTACCCAGGAAGAGGACACAATATGGTATATCTTTCACGAAACGAGTATATGACCAGTTTTCCAGGTGACTCCAGATCTACGTTTTCTTTTAATATTTATTCTCTTCCTCTGCTTCAGGTCAGCAGAGCGCCGATCCCTGATTTCTGGCTGCGTGGAAGAATGAGACCAGCCTTTGCATTCGGAATAGGCTACGATAAAGGTGATATCCATTCTGCTGATGTAGACTCCAATCGACTCTCGTTTTTGCGAGCGCAGGAAAGAGGATCCTAACGTGTGAAGTACTAGACATCACTGACTGCACTTCCCGGTCGTCTTGTACAGGCATGGATGCTCACTCTGCGTCACCGCGCCCGTCGTAGTCTTCATTGGAGCTCCGTTCTACTCTTCGACTGTGCTCACTCATTTCTGGAAGCGACTCCCTGTTGTTTGAGTCGGCTCCGTGTCGGCTTACTGACATTGGAGCAATTGTATGCTCTGGCGATCCTCTGATCTTCCATGATCCGCAGACACCGCTTTAACAGTTCGATCACAGGCATTTGTCTGAATCGCAGGTTTCGATTCGCAATCAACGCTAGTAGAAGCTACTCGGTCAGACTGACCTGGGCAATCTGACTTTTATTCCATTCTTCGTCTTCATCGCAGTATCCTCATTCGGAGGACTTGTTTTGTTGCGCAGCTTCGGGGTGCTGTGGCGTACAGATTCTGCAGGATACTGCTCAGTCTGTCGGTCTCGGGCTGGCACGGAGCGGGTCCGCGCAGCAAATTGTGGGTCCAGTAAAAAGAATTGACAAGTTTGGTTTAGGTCCGGGACAGTCCTTATCTTCCCCGCTTTGACTCGCTTTGAAGCCAAGTGCTCGCCGATATCGGCGACAATGCGGTGGCGCATAGTCTTCCGAGGAGGTCTCTGCAATTCCCGGGAGGCACCTATGATACTTTTCACAGCATCCGACTATGCATGTCCTTTTCTTGGAGGATCACCTATACAACGGAAACACTCGTGGCTGTGCGATGATTAATCTGACAGACGTGCGCAGGCCTGCGCGCCTGAATTTTGTGTGGCACCACGACCGTGCGTTTCATCGGTCCGGACCGGGTGGCCGGCGGGGCTCTACAGACGCTCTCGGAAGGTCGGAGAGAAGTTCCCATGCATTCCTAACACCACCACGATTCCGTTGAAAAACCTCGCTGCCACCTGTCTTTCTTTATTCCTTCTATCTATTTCTTGTACCATTCGTCTCATAGACTCCCCGTCTCTCTCCATCCCCCAAGTCCGCTGGTCGTGTCCTCAAGATGTTGCTCTCGCCGCCGCTGTCCAGGCATGAGTTCGCTACCCCTTCCTCCTCACCGCCACTCCCACCGACGGCGGCGCCACCTCGCTCGAATCTGAGCCTATCGACCAGTCCGTCTTATGCGTCGTTTTCAGATTTATACGCTGAGCACTCACCGACACAAGAGTCATCCACGGACCTTGCACCAGCGGCCTCAAGTACGAAAACTGCCAACGTCTTCGCATCTTCCCTCTCCGTGGCGACGCCGCCAGGCTCGAAGACGAATGCATTCTTCTCATCTTCCTTCTCGCCATTGCCGACGCCTCCTATTAGCTCTCGCCCGGCGCACGGCGAGAATCCAAAGCCGCCCCGTTCGCGAACCGATGACTTCTTTTCCTCTCGGTCGGTCTCCTTACCATCGCCCTTACCCTCTCCCCCTCGCATCCTAGAGCCTTCAGATACACTGCAATCGAACAGTTTTACACCATCATCTGTTCGTACCCGCACTGTCGACTTCTTCTCCACCTCTCGCAGTGAAGGCCCGTCGCCACCTCCGAGCCTGCGCTCTGCATCCTCAGTTTCGTCCTTCACCCATTCTACCACCTCCCACACCTCTCCTGCGTCACTCACCACGTCACTCGATAACGACCCGGAGACCACTCCGAGTCTTCCTCCATTGGCTCGATTCTTTCCATCGCGATATGCATCTATGAAAGACGATGACGACATAGCACCCTCTTCCCTTAGTCACTCTCCTAAGCGGCGTGGATTCGTAGACATCGATGAAGGCAGCATCAGCGCGCAGTCACACTCTGCGCCTGCATCGCCTGCGAGAGGTAGCGCTCTTGATCCAGCTTTCGAGCCGACCGCCACGGAATCCGCCATAAGGAAATCCCCTCTCCCTCCACTCTCGCGCTTATTCCCCTCGCGCTACGCCTCTATCGCGGACCGGGACTTGTCTGATTCCCCTCCCTCGTCATCTTCGCCCTCACGCCGAGACTTCGTGGACATTGAGGATCCGGCGTCATTCGTTGCTTCGCCCATCGACGGCCGCTCCGAGTTCCATAGCGCTCAGCCATCGGAAGGTCATTCGGTCGAGTCACCTGCAAGACCCACGTCCCGACTCCCTCCGCTATCACGACTCTTTCCCTCCCGCTATAGCTCCATTGCGTCCCGAGATGAAGACTCGTTCGTCGGCCACTCGTCTTCGCAGACCAACGTTCCTCGGGAGAACCATGTATCATCGCCGCCGGAGTCATATCGGAGTGGGAGCATTTTGAGTGGGGACGAAAGTGGGGCAGGGTATCAGCTGTTGCAGGCTGTGGGGGAGGGTGCGTTTAGTTCCGTATGGAAGGGGAGGCGTGTGAGTGGCGGGGAAGGGAATGAGAATGGGGAGTTGGTGGCTGTGAAGATGATAGCAAAGCAGGCCAATAATATGAGTGCGGACCGTACCCGTGCGAGCTTTGTGCGAGAGGCGGATATCCTCCAAGTACGTCCTGTCCGATTCTTCTTTGAAATCTGACCTCAACGGTCAACTGTTCATAGCGTCTCGCACATGTGCCACATCCCTCATTACCGGTCCTTCACGCCGCCTTCTCGCTGAACACGCACCATGTCATTGTTCTGGAGTACATGGCTGGTGGCGAACTCTTCGACGTCGTGAACTCGGACGAACAGCACTCTAGATTGACAGGGGGGATTTTACAAAGGATATGGACTGAGCTTGTCAGCGCTGTGGCCTGGATGCATTCTCACTGTGTCGTCCATCGTGACATCAAGCTCGAGAGTGAGTATATACTTTCGCGTCTCCCCCCATATCCACTAACAACTTCACCATAGACATTCTCTTTACCGCGAATCCTCTCCTCGAAGATATACCCTCTTCTTCAATACCCGGCCCTCTTATCAAGCTCACCGACTTTGGTCTCGCACGCGTCATCGACCCCGCCGATCCATGGCTCACTACCCGTTGCGGCTCCGAATCCTACGCCGCTCCCGAACTCCTCACCGCAGGCTCACACGGCTCAGCTCTGAAGCTCGAAGACGAGGAACCTGTTCCCTTCGGTTTTAACCCTACCGAAGAGGGCGCCGTGAAACCTTCGACTCCAACCATCGACGCGAACGCCATTGAACCGATCACGCCGAGAAGGGCCGGGACGTACGACGGTAGGGAGACGGATGCCTGGGCTCTGGGCGTTGTCTTGTTTGCGGTCGTGACTAGAAAGCTGCCTTTCGATCCTGACTCTGTTGAGGCAGTCGTGGCTTCTCGAGGTGGAACTAAGGGGAGTCTGAGGAGAAAGGAGGCACGGAAGGCATGGATGATGAGGATTGTCAGGGGCGAGTATGAGTGGCCTGACGATTCGGAACTAGTCGGTACTTCGGCATCCAGTACGCAAGGTGTAGAGGATGAAAATGAGGGAGACGAAGAACCGAAAGGGACAGAGTTGGCGATGTTGGAGGGTGTGAGGGACGTGGTTAGGAGGTTGTTGGTTTCGGACCCGACCAAGAGGGCGAGGATGGCCGAGTTGGCGGATGAGGAGGTTTCGTGGGGTGGCGCTGTGAGCTCGTAAGGGTTAGGGGCCACACTGGCGGAGGGATGTCCTGATCGGGGTTGTGGCTCCGTCGACGGTCCTTGCGCCGTGAAGGTCAGCGATTCCTCACAGGCCGATCGTTTCGTCTTCGTTTCAAGTCGATTTCGAGTTTCTAGCTTTGATCCTCACTCACTCTGATCCTAGAGATTCCCTTGGGCCCAAATCTGGTTTCAGTAAAGCCTCGCTTCCCATCTCGGTACCGTGCGTCTGCACTCCGTTCTCGTTTCATCCTGTCGTTGTTGTTTATCATTTTGACCGTCTCGCGACTTTTCAAAAATCCCATGAATCCCACTAACGTCGCATTCACGTCTAGTTCGTACATAGATTTTTTTTTTCCATTTGGCCTGTGGCTGCATCGTCTCCATCCCTCTCTGGGTGCCTGTCGTTCTTTACTTTCTCTGGTTCTATTATTTACTCGCTCTCAAGCTGATCTCCATCCATCAACTATACACACATCTATCTATGATATCTCGGCTCTGTCGTCATTCACCTTTTCATTCCAATTCCATTCCTCAACTTCACACATCCCCAATAACTTGCATCTATTCCACTTTTATTCCCTTTCGACTATCCCACACACACATCGTCTATTCGCCCTGCGCTCTTCCTTCCCCCGTTCACGGCCCTCTTCCTTGCCTTGCCATTTTTCAATCCATATGTCCATGTCCAAATTCGCAAGCCCTCTCATCCGTCATGTTGTCCTTCATTCCACTGTTATACCATACTGACTCATCTGTACCTTATACCTTGTCTATTTTCGAATGTCCCCGTCTTCTCCGCTACCGCCGTCTACAAGTCTACAGTCTATAGTGACGGGCGATCTCTCTGCAACAGTGTGCATCATCGCCTACCTACTTACCTACCAACATGTGCGTCCGTTGCCCTGTTCGTTTGTTTGTTCGTTTGTTCGTTTGTTTGTTGTTCGAATGAGAGTGAGAGTGAGAATCGGTTGGGTTTATTTCTGTTCCCGTTCTGTCCTGCGTAGCGTAGCATCACATCACACGTACATACGATATCCGTGATTTGGTTGATTTGGCTATGTTTCCAGAGTGTTGTTTGCGTACGTATATACATACATACAGATATATATATATACAGATAATGACAACTGGTTTGCGTTCCCCCACTATCCTGGCGTCGAGATAAATTTCTGGAGCTTCCGTTCGGAGATCAGGCAAGCAAGTACCCGCATGAGTTTCTCCGATGCCGACAGTACGAAGCGGGATCATATGTAGTGCGAAATGGTGTGGAATGATGAGGGTACACGGCTCGACGTTCGGGCATGAATATAGCGTATGGGAATGCCAGGCGGTGAGCTGTGCATCTTGTCATGGATCCGGAGGTAGAAGACTACTCCACGTCCCACGGCCGCCGACCTCGATGCGGAACGACTTGGCGTTGGGGAAGAACGGGACAGAAGCCGGGACGACTCTCTCTCCGGAAGGATACTGGATGAAAACGGACTGGACATCGGAGAGCTCCCATGTCCTGAACAGTCGCCGAACACCCGATTCTACAGAGTCCCATGGCGTCCATTTGAGCGAGACTGAGGGAATGTCGGGAAGAGAGTGCGGGACTGCGTCGTGCTGGGAGGTAGCGCGCCAGGCTCGGACGTGGAGGCTTGTAGTGTCTTCATGGCTGCCCGTGTTGCGTATGGATATGGCGTGGACTTGTGAGATATGAGGAGCGAGGACACCTCGGAAGAGGCGACATGCGCTACTCTCGCCTGGTATGTCGGGGATGTACCAAGAGTAGAACTTTGTGAGGAGTTCTACAGCGACGGACGCAGAGGGAGGGAAGCTCAACGAATTGAAAATGGTAGTGCAGGCTGTGGCCCTGTCGATGACGTTGATGAAGACTAGATAGTCGAGGATGATACTTTGCGGCGCAGGCATACGATCCGGAGGTATGTCCTCAGGTCCTATGCAGTTATTGAGAGTGAGCTTCTGTATTTTGGGAATATGTAATAGAATGTCGAATAGATGCGGTAGCTTCGACTTGTTATGTGGGTTGTCGTAGTAATATGGGCGAATCAGAGTGAATTCGACGAGATTCTTAAGCAGCGAAAAACATCGTGGAAGAGGAAAGCTTGTGAGCGAAAAACGTCGGAGGGGTGCGCCGCCTAATAGTAAGTGGTCCGAAAGGAGCCACATATGCCCGGATATCGGTAAACCGTCCTCGTCCATGCGGTCTTCTTCGCCTTCTGACTCATCTGAATCTTCCGTATCCTCCATGGATGTGTCGTCGGCTATCAGCTCGAGCTCGCTCATGAGGGGAGCTGGCTTGCAAAGGTCCATATTTGCTAGCCCACTAAGTAGGTGGGCCGATCCCGAAAGGACGAGTTTCTTCACTCTGGACAAGTGAAGCCTTATCACTTCCATGATGACCGCGATAGTATCACGATCCACGATTGCTGATATCACCAGGGGTGAGTTGCGAGAGCGGATGAGCATCAAGATGCCCCATTTGATGCCTAGCTCGAATGTGATACGGTCGGCCCAGAGAACCTTATCGTCCACAGCGACATCTCGCCAGTAGCGACAGACGTAGGTGACCTGTCAAAATCGTTGAGTATACACAAACATGATGTTATGAGGTGGAATCGAATACCTTTGCCCAATATATATAACGATAATCTGTAAGTCGGCGTGGATTCAGCACCAGCCAGATATCTGAAGCATTGCGCGAGGACTTCATGAGGCAAGCGGTTGATGGAAGCGAATCTGTTCGCCTGAACAGCCCTCGAGTCTCCCGTGTGATCGGGAGAGACGGATTCCACCATGCTTTTGGACGAACAGTCTGCGTCAAAAATCGAGTCGATCAAGCTCGAAGGCCTTTGCTAGAGGACTGCACGGTCGGAAGAAATGCGTAAGTGCTTGAGTAGCTGTGCACGTTATCTTTTTGGACGGACCTACGCGTACATACCTCGACCAGACGGAGAACAAGCGGTGAACTTTGAGTCAAAAATTAGCTCGATGCCATCGGCGTGATTTCCAACTCCGCTCCTTGTTCACGAAGTCACACCTCGCCACAGCAGCAGTGTGGCGTCACGCTCAGGTGTGGATAAATTCTTAGGACGACCTTCGGAAATGAAGGAAAAAGATCTCATATACCGGGAATCGACAGAGTTATGTATTGTTGAGACGAAAAGGAGACAGACTGAAAGATATGAGAGTCGTGACGGTGTGGCGCATCTATTGTAACAAGCGGACGTAAGGAATCGTGAACCGAGCTGAGGATGGGAACAAAACGAGAAACAGGTATGTAGGGTAGGGTGGATATGATGGGGTAGTGGTGAGGTGATGGGAATGGGGCTGGTAGGAAGTGGTTGTGGTCGACAGTGGCTACTCGGGAAGTGGATATGTTTGGGATATGTTATGTGTGGTTGATGGATGAAGAAAGGAGAAATGGTGATTGCTGTCCGTACCGCACAAGAAACGAGAAATGAGAGACGGAGAGCCTGAGACATTCATATATCGCTCTATAGCGTGGTGCCGCGTCGTAAAGTGCATAAAAACCAGGAACGAAAAAGGGAACGAAGAGACGAATGGAAAATGCCCAGAAACCGACATAGAAGTACACAGTCAAATCATGTTGAGATGAACCAAGACAGGCGCGAGGCGGAGAGATATGATAGAGACACAGGAGATATCGCATAACAAACAAGAGGAAGGGAATAAACAACATGAGATGGAGTCGTAGTCGTATGCGTGTATGATGGTGCGTACAAATGCTATATCGTGTCTCAGATGCGGATATGAATATATGTGTGTCCGTACAAATTGAAGGCGCCATTAATGCAGCCAATGAAGGGGGAAAATGAATAAAGAAACAGAAACATTTTCGAACGCGATAGCAATGTTCGTCCACCGCGATGATCAATCTCAAGCGACCAATGGTGTAAAAGGCGGCGTCGTCCTCGGGCTCACCCTACTCAACCCATTCCCCGTTGCACCACCCGATGATGCCGCAACCACCGCACCAACAGGTGTCGCCGACCCACTCCTCATCATCGCAACCGCCACCATCCCCGCAATATCATCCTCACTACTCACCATCGGCATCCCCGTCATCGCCACCGCCGCCATCCGGGGCGTGATCGTCCCCGTACTCGAAGGAGTCTGCGTCCTCGGAGAACCCATCATGGCCGAGGGTGGTGTGCCTGTCATCGCGGAAGGAGACTGCCATCCCGGACTAGCGCCGAGTCCGGCAGGAACATGGCTGCCGAGCCTTGGAGACGAGGAAGAGAGCAGTTCTTCGACGCTTGAGGCGGAGTGTGAGCGTTGGATTGGGTCTGGAACGGAGAGGGAAGAGTCGGGGCCGGTATAGAAACAATAACTGCAAAACGAATGAGACGATGAGTATTATTCAACCAGAATGTCGAGAGAAGGGCAGATAGAATAGAAAAAGGAGGAAACACTCACCGACTCAACAACTCCGAGTAATCGCTCAAATGATTAGCAGGCGAATTCCTCCCTTCCTCCTCAGTAGCACCCCTCAAACTCCCAGCCCTCTTCCCCGACGCCTCAAACCCAGTCACCCCCAACCCCACACCCACATCTCCATTCTCAGCAGCACCATAGAACCTCTGCTTCTGCCTCGGAGTTCTCGCCATCTCCCTCTCCCAACTCTCATCTCCCTTGATGCTATCCGTCAAACTCCCATCACTATCCTCGCCCAACAGCCTATCCTGCATCTCCCCAATAACAACCGTCGCCACCGACTCCATCGACCTCGCCGGATCGAACGAATCCTCAACCGGCGGACTAACGCTCCTCTCGCTCTCCTCCGTAGAGTCCTCCTCCGTACTACTGCTCGGGCTCGTCACCGACGGGGTACTGTCCTCGCTCGCACCGTCGACCGTCTGCGGGAGATCACGGTCCTGGCCGAGAGGAAGGGCCTGTCGAGGATGAGAACGCTTGAGCGCAGCGTCCCATTGTCCCGATGCGAATCCTCTCGCGGGTCCTGGTGACCTTGCTGGTGAGCCTCTCGGACCACCGCTCAATCCAGGAGACGCAGTATCCGAATTACTCGGCGGGAACGAATTGAACCGTCCATATCCTCCTGGCGGAGTCGGTGGTGTCGTGTTGTTGTTCGTAGAAGTAGCGGGTGGCGATCCCGGTGGCGTTCTCTTCACCACACTAGATCCGTAATTGCCGCTCGAACCAAATCCAAGATCGAAATACCCTCCTCTCTGATGCAACCTCCCCGATCCTCTTCCCGATCCACCAGTGCTAAACGGAGAGTCGTCGACGCGCACGACATCCTCTCCTCCCTTGCCCTCCTCGTACTCACCACCAAACCGCACATCATGATACGCACTCGGCCTAAACTCCTCATCATCAACCGCGTCTCTCGGGCTCCCTAGGACCTTCCTCTGTCCTCGTCCCTGTCCTTGCGCTTGTCCATAAATGGACTGACTGGAAGCACCGTTGAGCGACTGCGTGTGCTGATGCCTCCCCATCCCCATCCCCGTCCCTATCCCCAACGACCCAAAATTCTGCATTCCCTTCCCCCTCATCGCAGGCGGCGGCGACGTCCGTCTCTCAACGAGCGAAGACCGCTTATGATGCCCAATAGCAGGGAAGGGAATCGTCGATGGTGGAGTACTCACGGGACTCATCGGATTGGGAGAGAGACTGGGAGAGGTCGAAGAGGGGTAGGTGTTCGTCCTCGAGTGGCCTGGGTTTTTATATCCCTGCCCCTGTCCATGTGCCTGTCCAAGAGGCGACGAAACCCTCGCAATCGGCGGCGTAAGCATACCTCCGCCTCCGAGACTTGCAAAGTTGCCGGTGAGGTGCTGCGAGAACGTAGACGGAGAGCCGGTAGAATACGACCGCGACATGCCTGCCAACGACGCTGGCGAATGTGTGCGCGCCGGGCCAGGCGAATGCACACCCGGCGAACCCGGACCCGAACCTGAAGGCGACGGAGCCCTCCAAGGCCTCCTCAACGATTCCGCAAAATCATACCGCGCACTGAACGACAATTCCTCGCTCTTAAAACTCGGTGGTTTCTCCCTCTCCCTCTCCGCCGCTCTTCCTAATCCTGCATTCCCCGCTCCTACTCCCGTTCCTGTTCCAGTTCCAAGCCCGTTCCGAACAGATGATGGCGAAGGCGATCTCGAACGTGAAGGCGACCGTGATCCCGTGTACGACGAGAGCATACCCCCCACCGTCGTCGTGAAGGAGGGCACGGAGGGTGAGGGTGAGCTCGCATTGAGAGTGAGCGTGACGGTAGGCCCTTCGCCCCTTTTCGCGACACCCTCCAATTTCGTCTTCAGATCCTCGATCTCCTCCGTCGAGCTTCCCGTGCTGAAACCTCCACCTGCACCGGGCCTCTTTCTCTCTTTCTTCTTCTGGCCTTGCGGTAGGGTCGTCACAGCGGCAATAGAGGGCACAGAGGCGTCGTCGAGGGATGGGATGGCAGAGGAAGCAGTAGGAACGGTGGGGACGGCGGCGATAGGGACAGGTCTAGGAACCCTCTCCCTCGTAATCCGGACCTGATAATTCCTCCCCTGATTATTATCCCATATCTCCCTCCCACCCACCGTATACCTCACCGCCAAATAAACCACCTTCTCCGCCACCTTGCCCGTCTCCCTTCCCTGTCCTCCCTGTCCTCCCGCACCCGTCCCACCCGCCCCACCCGCACCCGTCCCACCCGTCGTACCAGAAGAAGAAGAAACCGGCAACCCAGCCAACACATCCCCCAACCTAACCACAAACCCAAACCGATCATACGCCCCCCTCCCCACCGAATCCTGATACCGCGCACTAACCTCGCTCGTCGTCTGCCACCCATCCATCGTGAACCGCACAGCGACCCATTTCTCGAACGCTAAGTTCCGGACGCGGATGAGACCGTGGAGGGTGCTGGTGGAGGGATCGAGGTCTAGGGATTCTATGGTTATGTCTGGGCCGGTTCCGGTTCCGGTTCCACTCCCACTCCCTGCTGCAGCACCATCGACGGGAGGGGCGAGGGGGATGTCGACTTTGCGGAGGACTAGACGCGTCTCTTCCCGCTCCCTCCCTGCCCCTGTACCACCTCGCCTGCCTCGCTCCCCCCCACCCCCGAACACCATCCAAGGCCACTCCCCCTCCGTCCCACTCGCACTCGTATCGCCATCCCCATCCCCATCGGCCGTAGGACTTCCATCCCGAGATACGGCCAAAGGTTTCTGAGCGGCGAGGAAGTGCTTGACTTGTTCGAGTTGGGTGGGGAAATGCACTGAGAGGCGGGAGCTTCGAGTTGAGGCGGTGGGAGTGGGGGGTTCGCTTGCGCTTAGTGCTGATGCTGAGGAGAATGTGGAGGAGGTGGGATCGAGTAGGGAGGAAGGGGTGGAGAGACTGGAGGGAAGACCTTCCGTGTTCGTGCTCAATAGCGCAGATTCGGATCCGGGCAGTTGAAGCGAGGATGGGAGGCCCGTGATGACATGTAACGAACCCCTCGTGTTCGTGTTCGTGTTCGAAGAAGAGGAGGAACGTCGGGATTTGAGCGAACTTTTCACGAGTTCGCCGGATTTCTTGCGGATGTAGGATGTGGGAGTCGTTGGGGTGCCGGGGGTCGAGTATGAGTACGAGCTTGAGTGCGAGTATGAGTGCGAGTGAGAGTGAGAGTAGGAGTGCGAATGTGAATGTGTATGTGAATGGGTCACGGAAGGGGAAGGTGACGAGGGAGCGTTGGCCCCACGGAATTCAACCGCGTTCGCGAACTGTCCGTGCCCGTGTCCTGGTGCGGAATGATGATGCCCATGTCCATGTCCGTGTATCCCAGGCGTGGACCCCGCATGGGACGTACTAAACGTCGCGGAAGACGCAGACGCAGGTGTGCTGGGCAGAGTGGGAAACGCGACCTTTCCTTGTTCTCGCGCGCCAGTCTGCTCTCGCTCTCCACCTCGCCCCTCGTCCCCCCGGCCCTCATTCCCATTCCCATTCCCATTCTCAATCTCACTAGGCTCGGAAGGCGTCCGCTCCTTAAAACTCAATCTCAACCCAAGCCCTTTACCCGCCGACCTTCCTATCCCCGTCGTCGAGGGCACAGGCGAGGGCGATGCGTGTTCTCGCTGTATGGGGTGCTGGGTGTCCTTTGCTCGCCCCGTTGGGCTATTCGGTGTAGTGTTATTGCTCGCGGCAGGGGTGGGTTTAGGCGTATGTGTGGGCGTAGGCGTAGGCGTCTCCGTCTCCTCCCCGTCCGACGCTCCCACTTCCAACTCCCCACCCCGAAACTCCCCACCCCGCCCCCGGCCAGACGCAGCCCTCGCCCTCGTCATCTCATTCCCCGACCCCGATCCTGACCCGGACTCCGACGTAGAATCAGACGAAGAGTCGACCCCGATCTCGAAGTGCGTTTTCGGGTTCGGGTTTTGGTTCGGATTCGGGTTTGGGTTCGACGTTGACGTTGACGTTAACGGAGGATTGGAGGTGGTAGACGTGGTAGAGGAAGGGAAGGTGGTAGACGTGGGCGGAAACGTAGGCCCCGGGAGCGAGGGTTCGGAAGAGAACGCAGAAGAGGTGGGTGGAGTGGGGGGTACGATCGTGATTGTCGTGTTCGTGTTCGTGTTTGTGTTTGTCGACGCACCCAAACCCATCGACGGAGAAGATGAGCCCGAGTGCGAAGGCGTCCCCATAGGTCCTTGATTGCCACTACCATTCCCGTTCCCATTCCCTTTGCCGTTCCCGCTAGCATCGCTGTTACCACCGCCCCCGCCCCCGCCCCCACCCCCGCCCCCACCACCCCCACCGCTCATCGACCCCCTCCTCGACAACGACCCACCCCCACCCCCACCCCCATTACTCCCATTCGAATACGTCCTTCCATGTGTCCGTCTCGGTATGAGCGGGAGTGCTGCTGTTGATGAGTTCGAGTTCGTGTTCGTGTTCGTATTTAACGAGTACGGGTTCGAGTGGGGATTGGGATTGGAGTTGGAGTTGGAGGTGGAGGTGGAGTGATACGAAGAAGATGATCGAGAGGAGGGCGGGGAGGGTCTCTTTGGGTTTGGATTCGTGTTCGTGGAGGTGGAGGTGGAGGTGGAGGTGTTGGGGAAGTGCAATGTGGATGTCATGTTTTCGCCGTGGATGTAGGAGACTCGGAGACTCGGAAGTGCGACTCTTGACGCTCGAGAACGTAGTAGTAGACCGTAGAAACTATACCGAACTGAGCCGGACTAGATAGAGTGGACACAAACACCGATGCGCTCGAACAAAGATCTGCGACGTCGACGCGGAGGAGGACTTATTACTGTACTGACAACTGTAAACATACGTCAGCGTCAGCGTCAGCACAATCAATTATTCAATATTCAATGCTCCAGAAGCGGAGTTGGATGACTTGGACGCACCGACAAGTTTCACACTTCACACTTCACACTGCTAATTGCGGGACGCCCAAGATTCTATACACGGAAGATTGATGATATGCCAAGCCAAGCCGGAATTAAAAACGAAGACGCAGACACAGACGAAGACGAAGACGGAGGAGGTTTCGGGGGATGAGCGCTCCGGAAGGATAGGAGAGTTTAACGCTGTGTGGTCTGGGTTGTGTAGCCTATGCAGTAAGGAGCAAATGAGGGAATGAGGGAAAAGGAGGCGAACGTGCACGTCAGCGAGATTCAGGAGGACTGTAACACTGCATGATTAAGTTGTGCAGGACTTACAAGTGAGGAGGAAAGACGAAGTAGATAGATAAGGGGAGGACGGGGATGTGGATGTGGTGGAGGTGAACCAAGAGGACGTCGCACGTCCGAGGGTAGCGAGTGTTCGCGAGGAATAGAGTTCTAGTACTCCAATACTAAAAGAGGTATAAAATCGGATCAGCGGGTTTGCTCGAATGTTCACGAACATTCTTTAGGGAAAGAGGAAGACTGGATGAGGCGCGGTGAGGATCTCGACATACCAGACCGAGTGGTTCTTCTCTTCTTCTCTCTTCTCAACGTGGAGAATCAGGAAAACGCTCGTCGACGATGGGGGTGTGAGAGTAAGAGAGTTCACAGATCTGAAAAACGTTCAGAGGAGAAGGATACGTCAGCGGGCCGATGCGTGGGGCGTGAATGGGCGCGCAACGTCGGTGAACGAGGTCCAACAATACAAATGATTGGAGGCAAAAATGGAAAAGGAAATATCGAATGATGTCCCTCAGCAGAAAAGATATGGAATGATGGCCCATGGACTTACCTGGTCAGGAGAAAGACGCCGGGGCGACTGGTCGCGCGGGCGGGATTATGGCCTGGAGGTTGTGGAGCTCTGCGTACGTGCGTGCGAGCAATATGGCGCCAAGTGTGGAAGGTGGAAGGAAACGGTGGGCGGTCGAGACTCTCGTCGGCGTCGTACGGCGTTCTGTAGGAAAGAGTTGTTTGGGAATTGATGGATAGATATATAACGTTCCCCTCCTGCTGATACGCTGAATCCAAGCTGAATGGTAGGTATATATAATAGTGATATAAGTAATATGGGGAAGAAAAGGAGGGGTCGCGAGCCCCGCGGGGCTGGGTGGGGTATTGCGTGCGGGGAGCTTCCTGTCAACAACCTCTCACTCTCTTTCGCGGGTCCGGCTTCGAATTCTCCCAGGCACCCCGCCGCTCTTCCTCCGATCGATATCCCACAAATACTTATTGGCAATTTGAAGAGCGAACAGTCGAACAACTTCACGGTTTTCTTCCTCACAATCACATCCACAGCTCGCTCGCCAGTTGTACTTACGTGACAGGAAGTGTCAAGAGCCGAACCTCTTCGAACTTGCATCAGCCTCGAGCTCAGGAGTCGCGTCTCTTTCAGAACTCTCAGCGCAAGATCTGGATCGCCACCGGCCAGCATTCCATATACTGTGCCGGACTAGGATCCTGGACAGATGGGCTTTCTCGCTCGTTTATTCAATATCCTGTCTATTAATTGCAAACCAAATGGCACATATGGGTAGTCCGGCATATATTTAGTACCCTTACAACTATTTGGAGAGTCTGATGTGCTAAATCATCACCAACAAATATTTTGCGACGACGACTGGGGAAAGTGGCAAAACAGGGAAGCTGGACGCGCGCCGAAAGCGCCCGGCTATTGCCGAATGAGTGGCGAAAAAAAGGTCAAAAGGCGCCACACCCCCTTGACCACTGATTTCGTACACATAACCGTTAGAAGACCAGCAACAAAAAGTACCTATAGTGTTTTACCATGTATCATGCTATCGGCATAAATATTTGTGGAGAGCTGCACGACCTGTTGCACTCGAAATTCATTCGGGTATTTGAGAGGTGCAAAATCGGCCACTTCTATGAAATTGTGCTCTCTGGAAGCCAAACAGTCTGGTAAAAATAAGCAGGTCTCGGCAACAGAAGTATTCGATTAGGTCTCCAAGACTATAAACTTTTTGTATGAGCAAGACGACAGATGCTAGAGCTAGAGCCTCACGAAGTGGGAGCTTCTTGTGGCCCGTTAGCCAGAGGATCCCCTCAACAAAAGATGTCGCACGCAAAAGTAAGCAAACATTGTCTGCCAGAGTGGCTCGGAATCACTTATGTAATGTCCGTATTCATGCCCCACATATACTTTTACGAACATATAGGCTGGCATTAAAGGCTGGTCGAGGCGTCCATGTCGGTCGAGCTCTCTACATGTGGCAAAATTGCCACACAAACCCCATCTCCGATGACATTTCACCATGTTCTACAAAATACTCACAAGAATCACACAAAGTGTTTTCGCATATCGCACGAGATGGAATAGACCTACAGTTTATGTAGAAAGCCAAAGGTATGAATATGCCTCCTTAAAATTCCAGAAAAGTTTGTCCAGCTTCTATGTCCGTCCAGCTTCCTAGTCCGCCACAGTACGGCAGGCGCTCTCCGGCCCCTCGGTCCTCGTGCGCCTCACGTCACGTCTAATTCCAGTTTTGACTGGAATGATTTTCCCCATTTTGATGCGAAGACGCGGTCATGTGTTCGTGCCACTACGTCTGGCAAGAACGAACGACGTCATTCTCTGCTTCTCTCAGCGCGTTGCCGCTGCTCGAGGCATGAGGTGTTTGGATTCGAGAGCATCGATGTCCGTGGATGAGATGGATGCTGCGCAGACCCCAGGCTCTGCTGAGCGAACGAGCGAGGTTCTGCGACGTCGTCACCGTCGTCATTAGAATCATGTACATAGGTACCTTCTCGGTCCCATGCGCGTCCGCACGAGCGCTCACTGGCATATGTACTGTACGACGCCTGGAAGACTCTCTGCGAAGTACTGTAAATCTTACGATTCCTGATCTTCGTCATTTTGTCAACCGATAATCGACAGTGTGCGAGAAATCGCTCCCATACCCCACTGCATTCAACATCGTTCTCATTAAACTGTACACAACTACATAGTACCTTCCTCCTCCTCCCACTGATTACTTCACGGTATATACAAACTCCATGTAACTAATTACCTCTCCCCGCACTCTTCAAATTTCCAAGTCCCGTACGGTGCATTACGCGTACAAAGGCTGGCAGTACTAGACCGATTAGGGGAGGAACAAAGTGTTGAGCATCCGAGGTAAGGTTAAGGTGTGACTGTACGTTGGCTTCTCCACCGATGTTGGACTCTAAGTGAAATGGGAATAGAATATGAGATGGAAGAAGGGAACGCGGACCGATAAGTGATAAACGATGGAAATGAGAGATATAGAAACGGGGGAACATATGAAGGGAAGACTCAAGACAAAATAGGCAACCAGTACAGAGACGCCAGCCAGAGGGTCCATGCACCAGGCTTCAGCGCTGTCAGTGCTGTTTAGCCCATTTTCTGTCACATCTTTCTTCGCCGGAAGAGGAACAGACCGGTAGGACAGAGTGAAGTTCTGACGACACTAAAACGTCGATAGTATAACAGCGCTCGCAGCTGCGTACCCATTGTGAAACCGTAAAGTTGAGCGAGAAAAATAAGTACCATGTTACAAGCTGTTGAGTTGTGCGAACAGTTCGGATCCGGCGAGGGAGTCACCGAGAGTGCGGTGAGGGGTAAATACGTTCTCCAAGGTTCAAACCGCGAGTTCTCCCAAAGCCGACTCAGACTACAGTGGCGGACACTCGAACACGGCTAGTTTTCAAGAGGTTGTGGGAAATGTAGAGCGTCGATTCGTGCTTAGGTTTGAATATGATGAGTCTCGTCAGGACTGCCAGTGAGAAGATGTACTACAAGACAGCGAACATGATCCAGAGGGGATACTGGACATAATCACTGGATGGTCACCTTCCTTTGACACTGGTACGTCTGAGCCCAAGTGCTCACGCAAGTGCCAAAGATTAAGCCGTGCAGTCCGTCCGTCGTCACTAGCATTCCTGAAGAGCTAAGATATGAGAAAAGACTCAGAGCACCGGGATGGGGAAGTTCGACTAGATATCGACCAAGCCGAGATTATAGGCGGGTCAGGAATTCGATGACAGGATGGCTCTCTTGACTCTCAATGAGAATTGTGGTCTTGGTGAGCTTCGGAATTCGAAGTGGGGTGACGATATGAACGTCTACAGTGCTCGCAAAGCACCGCTGCTGCCACCACACCCCATTCAAACCGCATTAGCCCAAGTTAGAGCTGACATCGGAGAAACGAGACAGAATATCAAGCCACTCCGAGTCTCAACGGCCTCCTCGGCATAATGGACGAGATAAAAGAGCTTTTCAGACCAGTACAAGTCATAATCAAGTGATAGAACCGACGTCTTATATGTCCCGAATATCTGGGAGTGAGAAAAGAGATCGTGCTGGGGCGAGTGGGACGGCGAGCGGAGCGGGTGGTTGAGGAGAATTTGGACGGGAACGAGCGTTTAGCTGAGATCGACGTCAGAGCCGTCACAAGTAGTGGGACAGCGAGAACAGACAATCGTAGATACGAAGTTGTACTCATTTCGCGCAACAGTCAAATCATGTCGCAAACTGAAGCGTGGCAGACGAAAGCAAGAGGAGAACCACAGGACACGATCCGGGAGAGAAAGGAGAAAGCCGGATAAGGAAAACACGCGGCGCGCTAGCTGGGCCCGGCAAAGAGCGAGAATATGACGTCATAGTTTAATACACTTCGCCCTCCAACCAAAAACGTGGCCATCTTTCTTGAAGAAATATGCACGGAAAGATATTAGCTGCATATTGCACCAGGGAATGTCTTGCCCGTTAAGCTTTCCGTTGAAAGGGCTTAGATTGCGGGAGCTACATCTTTTTCTAGTCGGAGGGTCATCATTCCTGTGACCTGTCCCTCATTCAGTCCCCGTCCGAACGACTGCCTACATCGTGGCGACGCGTCCTCCTACCTTCTCCGGCCCTGTGTCATACATATATATACTCGCCTATTCAGCCAGCACCATCCGCGCTCAGGTTCATGCCTTTTCTCCACAGCAGTGAGTCACGCCACTCTCTCTTTTCTTTTGTTATCTTTGTTTGATGCAGGCGGGATACAGTACACATGATGGTTCTCCTTGGACATAAGGCAATCGGACCTCACCAAAACTCACCAAACTTGATCAGACTTCATTAGATGGAACTACGGCTGGGAAGATTCCAGGAGACCACATTGGATGGATGCCACGCTGGCCAGGCTTCGGACAACCTGTCCTGTACAGATTGCATACGACCCTGGGAGATCCCGGGTAGTCTCGTCGACGTCGTCCCTAGTGAGAGCTCACGAGAGATCATTAAGACTCACTTATTTTATGTAACTCTCATTAGGTGTTTTTTTAACAGCGGAGAGGCCCTTCAGGTGATATAAAAGTCACGGTGACTAGAGCGAGTATGGTCCACCAGGATGCAGGAAGACTAGGTAAGGCCATATCTGACGGAGTCAAACGAGGTGTGAAGAGGTCCAACAAGGTGTGGGGAGGTCCAGCGAGGTGTGAAGAGGTCCGAAGAGGTTGCCCGAGGTTGTCGCCGGTTCGCGTCCTGAGTAGACAAACCACCGACAATCTTGGGCAACCTCGTCGCATTTCATCAGACCTCGTCGAACCTTATGGGATCTCACCAGACTGGGTTGAACCTCGTTGGACTTCATCAGACTGCGTCAAACTCCGTCAGGCCTTGAACAAGCTGAGTGGATTCATGAAGCACGTAAGGGCTGTACTCTACACGCGGGTCACTCACTATCGGCGTCTCCGAAAATGAAAGGATGATACTGTTCAGACGCTTGTCGCTACGAACGGAGAACGAACTCAGTTTTTGGGCAGTTGGAATCAGACTGTAAGCGATACTGTGACCGTATGTCGATGGGGCCGAGTAAGTATTGGCACCGCTACAGTATTTTCGGACACTTTCCTCTGTCCCTGTTTGGACCGAAAACGTATCCGAAGGCTAAGGCAGCTTCACGCTGAGGATCGATGATAGGACCTTACAGAAGCACGAACGGCTTAACTCAGTCCTCATCTCACCATTTCCCGTTGTGACTCGGAGATAGCTACCCCGCTTCTTTGTGATATACAGTGACTGTGAAATCGGCACACTGGCATGCACACTGGATAACGTATGCTGGATAGCTAATCGTGTGCTATCCAAGTCCTATCGCTCCCGCTCTATCAGTTCAGAGATCAAGTTGAGATCATGATTGTGACGGCGTTAGACACAGATCCTGAACCGGGATACTGATCAAGTGCACCTGTGGAAAGACGAGCACGAACGTTCCCAGAAACAGTGTCACCTGCAGGATAGGCGCAGGAGCTTCTGCACGCTTTTCGCGCGAGGGACGGGAGAAGGAGGTTTGGAACAAGTTTGGAGAGGTCCACGTAAGTAGTTTAGGAGACGATCCTCTCTCTCTCTACAGAATGAGGCGGCACATTCTTATGAAACCATTCTTCCCATTCACTCGGGCTGAACCTCGAGGACCTGTTGTCACATTAAAGACCCACCGTACGACCCTAGTAATGTGACTGTTCGAATAGCCGCGTTCGAGTACGGTGGTACTTAATGGCTAACCGCCGCACGCTTCCATCGTAATGAGTTCGGCCTTGTCAACACTCCGAGCGTCAGAATATACTTACCCAAGGCCAAGACGGGGTAATGGTCTCACAATTCTCAGACAGCGGGACGACCGAGACCGGCTGTGGCCACATCGACCATCATTTGTCAATATTTGATGTTATTTGTACTTGTTTGAATCAAAGGCCTTCGGCATTAAGTACTCCGCTTGAGCTCTGCCGCTACATTTCTGTTCTTAACAACTTCGACCGACCTCAAAATCGGTCCATGCTCCTTAGCCTCTTCCTAGGCTCGGACACTGGCAGCCCCTTCTCCCAGCGCTACATACTTACCGCACTCAACTCTTTAGAATGTTCCAAAAGTGTTTCTTCAACTTAGTAAAGTTGTTTCTGAAGATATTGAGTATACTGTACTTTTTCGACCAAAGGTTCGTCGCGCGTTCTCCGCGTTGATGAACCGAACAAAATACTGTGTGACCTCACGCATAACGCAGGGTGAGCGAACAGTGACCTCGGCAGGCGCTTGCGCAAAATAATCATTTTCGCAAGCGCCTACGTTGTTTTCTGAACCATTTACGGGTCCCGTCACGCTCACGCACGGCTTCTGAACCGTGACCCGGGCGAAACTGATGGGTGACGTAAATTCTTGATGAACCTTTGGTCGAAAAAGTACAGTACGTGTACAACTCTTTTGGATGTACTAAGGCAAACTTTCAAAACTGTCAAAGATGAGTCCATGTATTTTCTGTAGGGAAGCGGTATTGAAAAGGGCCCAGGTTGGCTCTGGAGGATGCTAAAGGCTATTGAACCACTCGAGCTTGCTATGAGCCTGATTTTTTAGCGCCACATATCATCTTTCGGAAAGGGGTTTGGATTCCGCCGCCGTGTTATGGAGGGAACGAGATCGTTGCATCGTTGTTGACAACGAGAACAACCAAGTTAGAGTGAGTATGTTGCTGTGTTCGTACGTATTCTCTTGATACTATTATAGCTGAGAAACGCCAGCGCGTATACTAACTCAGGCGCCGTTCTGTTACGAACATGTCGTATATGATTCCACAGCTATACACAAAACTACACACGGCACTATGACTCCGGTTGTAAGGCGTATCTTACTATGTGTTATGGAAGTCCCCCAGACTCGTTACGAGAGGCGTCAAGCTGCCCTATTTTTGAGAAATTTCACCTCATGCCAGGTCATGTTGACCTTTGCGCTTCATGCATGCACACTGTACGCGTCCTGAGTATTGACATTCACTGACAGACCCTCGTCGAGGATAGCCGGCGAGTCTCATGCTCTGATATGTGCGGGTCTTGGGAGGACACAAATACATCGTAGGTGTGATAAGACGTGTCAGTACATATAAAAGACTGCACTTGCACTTTGCATATCACCCGGCAACGAACCTTCTTGCCTCCCACTTGCTACTCTCTCCATCTACTTCTACTCATGTCGCAATCTGCAGCTGTGACGTCCGAAGAATGTGCATGCGACACACCAGACCATGCTCGTAGATATCCGACTCCGTGAGCCGTTCGCTTTCCCTCTCTTGTTGTGTACCCCGTGCTCACTCAAGTTCTCTGTGTATAGTTCATTTCCCGTTTTGCCTCGGTCCCATATGTGAGGTCCTTTCCACATCTTGTGTATCAACACTTACATAATTATAATCTACCCAGCCCCCAATTCTTCGCAAACATGTTCGCTCTCATCATCGGAGTTCATGTGTACCAGAACCCGAGCACCATCATGCAACCGTTGCCTGGCGCTTGCGCAGACGTCAAGTCCATGAAGGCGTTTTTGCTCAGCAGGAACGTTCAAGAAGGGCGCATTAGGATGCTTCGCAACAAGGAAGCCACCAACGCTAGGATCATCCAAGAGCTGGACAGCCTTGCGAGCAGCGAGGACATCAAGAGTAACAGCCCTATCCTCATTTATTTTGCAGGGCACGGAACAAGGGCCTTCGCAAGGGGTGGCTCGTCCAAGATAGAAATGCTTTGTCCATACGACTTCATTCCAGCGGAGAATGAAGGACGGAAAGATACAGTCTACGGGATCCTCGACATCACGCTCGCCGAACACTTGAACAAGATTTCTTTAGCGAAAGGCAATAATGTCGTTCGTGGTTTCACTTTCATCTACTGGTGTACGCGGTTCTGAAGTACCTTATATCTTATCCATTTTCCCATAAGACTGTCGTCCTAGATTGCTGTCATTCTGGATCAGGAACACGCAAGGTCAGAGACTCCGCCACGACGGTTCGCGGTGTCATGCTCCCTGAGTCTACGCAGGCGGATATCCTTGGGACCGGTACTCGCGGAAGCGGCCTGCCCAAGTCAGACGCCGATCGGGAATATACGAAATCAGCCAAGGATAGACTTCTCGGGTCATTCTCACATGTCCTACTGGCGGCTTGTAGTGCACAACAGTCCAGCAGTGAGGCTCTTGTAGGCGGGAAGTTCACAACCGCTTTGCTCAAAGTCCTTCAAGGGTCGGGGACGGACCAGCTGACGTACAGGAGGCTAATAGAGAACCTTGAAAGCATCCCCGAGTGAGCTCTCAATCTGTAGTTTGGTGCATATTGGTGATGATCAGATATTGATACGTATTCGAATCTCCTTGTTCTTTGATACGTCTAGACAATACCCTCAGTGCGAAGGCTTCAATAGGGACAGACATATCTTCACCACCCATACCCCCATCCCCGAGCACAACTTCTACAAGGTCACGCTCTCCCCGAGAACATACCAGTTCACGTTCGACAGAAGTTCCAGCGTACGATCCAGGGATGCATACGAAATCTATGACCGCTCTGTCCTCATCAAGGGTACCCCGCCGCTTTGCACGGTCACTGTGGACCACATTATCGACTCTACCGCCGTGATCATCGTAGAACATACCGACATTAGCGAACGAACAAATGCGTTGTACGCATTTCCTGTCAAAAATGAGTGAGCATATTAATCGGTATTATTGATTTCTCCTTCTAAGATATCTGCTTTTCACAGACTCGATTCGGCCGAGTCATCGAGAAAAGGCTATGCCTTGACTCGAACCACAACCTATCAACTACCTGCTGGAGAAGCATACGGAATAGTTGTGGGTTCCAAATTCAACGTCCACACGCGCTGCGACATAAAGTCGGGAGTGATCGGAAGCTTCATTGCTCAATCCGTGACAAACCGTACCGCCGTCCTCGTGCAGACAAGGTCTCCCGCCGATACCAAAGACCCCGCATCGGTAGCATGGGGAATACAGACACAACTAGGCCCAGGAAAGGAGTTCCATTTGGGCATTCCGGAAGAGCTCTCGTACATCGCTAGGATCGTGGAGGGAAAGCTCCTCGGAAAGTACAAAAACATTCCCGTCAAAATCCATACACCTCCCGGAGACGACACGAAGCTAACATTGGTGAAGCGCCATGGCAACACAATCGCCTTCGAGCATCACGAAGGTGTGGCCCGAGAAAACGGACATACGCATCTTTATAAACAAGTTCGCTGCGGGCTCGAGAAGCTCACTCCGGCACTCCGTGCCAATGCTAACTCAGATCCCGCCATCATTGCTATATCCGGTGCCGCTGACTTCTTTATGTACCTCCATCGCAGCCCTCCGTTAAATCCTTTCTTCGAGGAGGGTAAGGAGAAGGTCATCTTGGAGTGCTACGAGCTACTGGACGATGGGATCGACCTCATACCAGAAGACCCTCCGAAAAACCTCATCAGTAATCGTAAGCTGGAGTTGGAAGATAGGCAAGGGGATCCCCAACCATATGGCTTCAGGATTGTCAATAAGTCCAATACCTCTCTCTACGCGGCTCTGTTCTATTTTGACATGAGCAGCCTTAGCATCAGTGAGTCAGCTAAGTCAACTGCTTATTGATAGAAAATATATATCACGACTTCAACATATCGTATCACTGACTACCTTCCTCTACAGCATGCTACCATCAGCCAGGTGCTGCCAGAGATGGCCATGCCGACTACACGGTGCCGGCTCAAGATTCACTTACGATCGGTTATGGACAAGGTGGTGGTGGACTTCCGCGACAATACCGCGTACGGCAAGGTCAAAGCGTGGACGTCGGCTTTCTGAAGCTCTTTGTTTCTTCGCAGTGGGTAGACTACTCGGGCATTGCACAAGGGTCACCCTTGGTAGGTGCCAAGCGCCAAGATTTGGTGCACGAGCGCAAGTCCTCTCCGTGGGATGCACTTCTTGTGCCGCTGGTACAGCGGACGAACAACGGAGGAACGTAAAGGTATGGACATCCAGAGTTCGTCTTTATTCATATTTCTAACTCGTTGGTTTTGGTTTTGGAATACCGTGTCTCCCTGATAAATAGAAATGACCGAATCGTGTCCGCGCCAGTATCTTCGTTGACGAAGTTTCAATTTAACTGTGGAAGACAGAAGTGAAGAAGTATCCTGATGATGTACTACTAGTGATTGGGAACCTAGCACAAATGTGACCGTCGTTTTTGAGTCGAACAAAACAGTCTGAGGAAATGAAATGTCGACCTTCAAGAGTGACGATCCTACTCCGTCTTGTTGACAAATCCGCACTTCTGGATGGCAAGAAGCTCTAGTCATTCTTTTCATTCGAACAGTCATCGAAGGAGGCGATACATATCGAACTCATCGGCCCTCTAGATAGCTGCCATCTGGCACGGTAGCTAAAAGTCGTGGAATTCACACATGCTGGAAGGCACAATCGTATGCCCGCGCTCCCGCTTTCGCTTTGAGACTTGTGGTGACCATCGTGACGACGTTCAGAAGAGGCCAAGCATTGTATTGGTGCTTTCGTATGAAATCAAGAGCCTGGAGCAATAGGTCGATCGGAATGCATCTAGTATGAGATCTGAACGGCCAGTCGGGGAAGGTTCAGGGAGTTGTTGAGCGCATTCCGACAATATCGCATTAGGTTAGCGCGCCAGGAAGATGGAGTCTAGCATGCCGGATAGCGCTCCTTGTTCATGTCGTATGAACGGAAGCGCTTCGGTTCCAAACGTACGCTCTGTGGCCGATTAGCTACACCATGCGTTACCATACATACAAAACCTCGCATTCATATCGATATCGAAGAAACCAAACGGACCATAGCCGCTCCGTGAGCGATCCGAATCACCGCATCTCCCGCACCCTGATCCATACGACCCCCACTACGAGCACCGCGAAGCCGGCGATGAAGGCGAAGAGCACGAGAACATCCCTATAGTAATTGTTCGTTCCGAACCCGAAGAGCTATTGGACCGCCACCATCACGCACCGCCCAACAGAAATCAGTCAACCAGAAGTATCGACCCGACATCCCTCAGGCCTCCAACTCCCGAAATGAAAGTGATAGTAATAATCACTCACCAGCTCCATAATCACCTCTGCGCTCACATCCACAGGCACCCCCTCCAATACATCCTGGATCATCAACCCGCCGCCCACCTCATTCACGCTCAACGCCTCCAAGGCATAGTTCAGCGGACAGAGCCACTGCAACCAGCGCAAGACGGGAGGTATGGAGGAAAGGTGGACGAAGAAGCCGGAGTAGGTCATTTGATAGAGTGCGGAGAGTGCAGAGATAAGGATGGCGAGGCCGCCGTTGCGGAGGAGGGTGGCGAGGAGGAAGTTCTGGGGCGGGTGTGGGTGAGGAGTTGAAGGTGGTCAGTGAAAAGGGAGAATGAGAGGGAGAAAGTAGTGAGTGAGTGGGGAAGCTTACGAGGAGCGTCATCGCCAGCGTATACAGCACAAGTATGAACAGGAACTTGAAGAAATTAGCCGCATGTGGCGCGAGACCCGCCATCCAATACGTTCTGTACGCACACTCCATCAGCATTTTTTTCTCCAGGGAGCCCACATAAAAAAATGATGCAAGTTGCAAAGAAACCCACATAGTCGATACCAAAATGGTTGGGATGATTCGAAGCGGGATGACATCGAAGACGAAGCGAGAGAAGAGCCATGCGGTTGGGCTAGCAGCGTATTATGTGCCACAATAAATGTGTGTTTTTGGTTCGGACTGAGGGTTTAGTTTGGGTGGACTGAAAGAGGTGAAGGAGAAAGACAGACCTGTAATAACCACTCGACCGCTCGCGCAGGAACAGTGGTCGGATTTCGACGACATTGTATAACGCGCTGAGGGACGAGAAGGCTATCAATGCACCCTGCAAGATGTAACAAGTATGATCAACCATGATTTGGTAGAATTGCAGGCGGTGAAGAACACGCACCAAGAAAAACAAACACCCAACTCGGGACTGGAAACCAGCTATCGTCAGCCCTGTGTCGAAGTACAGGCCGCCTGACGCGTCGATGATCTTCGTTAGCCCCACGACATCACACAATGATAAGTGTTAGAACCTGTAGGGTAGAACACACCTCAGACACCGATAGACGAGTGAATGGATTGAAGTTACCTGTAGGGTAGAACACACTACAGGAAGAATAAGTACAGTAGACAGTAAAGTAGATAGATGTTGCTTACCCTCAGACACCGATAGACGAGTGAATGAGGGAAAGCGAGAGGCGCGTCCAACGCGCACAAAAGACCTGCCGGGAATTACCGAAACTGCGTTGTACGTTCGAACTCCGAACTCCAACACTCCTCCTCAACGCAAGCGGAAAGTCCTCCTGAGATCGTAAGTAGTAACTAAAGTAAGAGTAGAGAATCACAAGAGAATAAGATGAAATGAAACAAAACATAATAGAAAGAAAAACAGTTCCCATGAAACAACAGACTAGTAGATATGAAAACTCCTCCTCATCCTCAACCCAATCCGAGATATCCTCGCAGTCGACAGAATGTCCTTGTGTCCAAAGGCTTGGTAAAAATGTCTGCAGGATTCTCTGATGATGAAACTCGGCTCAATACAATTCTCCCCTCACCTACATGATCTCTGAGAACATGATACCCAACTTCGATGTGCTTCGCTCGTGCATGGAATGCTTGGTCCTGTGAGAGAGTGATAGCCGAATTATTATCGCATAGAAGAGGTGTCGGATTTTGCTGTGGGATATCCAGACCCTCGAGTAGGTATCTCAACCAGACACATTCTCGGGATGCTTCATGGGCTGCAATATATTCGGCATAACAGGATGAA